TGCTTATTGGTTCCTTCCTTTGCGTGCGTTCCTTTGTTTCGGGTCCAATTGAAGTAAATAAACCAACCAAACAAAGCGTGTCCATGTTCGTCCGCCGCTTTCTGGGGAATGATATCCATTTGGATTATTCTCTTGGTTGTTGAAGTCTTTGCAGTCAATGCAAAGGCTGAATCGAAGGCCCTTTCCGATACTGTCGAAAGCGATTGGTTCCGGAACAGATCGCAGGAAGTATTTTTTTGTCAGGAGTCATGGGCCCACATTTAGGGCACATCCAATGAATGAGTTGCACAGCTGCACGGCACCATACTGCAAACAGCAAGCATGCGCTTCCCGCGCCAAGGGGTATTTTGAACCGCACCGATGACTCTGCAGAAGAACGTGGAACCCAAATAGGAGATTGCTCTAAACATGGGGGACTTGAGTTTCCACATTCCCCAAAATGTGGCAGTCCGGCTGAGGCTTGCAAGCCCAGAGCGACTCCGAGAGTGACTCGGAGCGGCGCCGTCGCTGTTGCCTGTTTTATGACAGGGCTGCATGGGGGTCAAAACTAGCTCCAACAACTTGTGGGTTCCTGGTTGGTGAATTTCCACTGGGCGACACTTTAAAATTTGCCCACACGGTTGACATTTGTGCGTGTAGACTGGTCCCTGTGGTTGCCTCCTGAAGAAGTTTTCTTTCAGGGGCGTTGGTAGGCACAGCGTGCAACATTACATCACGAACGCTCCCTGAAGTTTGACAAAGAGTCTGATTCCAGAAGGAAGCTCCTTCCCGGGAAGAGGTGGTTTGGAACCGCCGAAAGATTTGAGATCTCACACGGCCAATATATTTTTTTAAGGGAGCACCTTTTTTGGGCTAGCCCAGTTCTGTGTTTCCGACTTACCAGCCAAAATCCGCTTACCGCCCAGCCGCCCATCATTTTTGCAGGATTAGCAATTGAAGGAATCGCTCTTTTGGGTTGACCTGTTTTTCCAACCCGTTGTTTCACTTCCGTTTGAATTGTTTTGCTTAATGGGCCCAAGAGCAACAGGTTGGGGTCCGAACGAATCCGGGCCGTGCAGGAGTACACCAGCAGCTCTGAGGCGGGTTGTGGCTATAGGTGTTGGGACCTGTCAGATTTTGCATGTTTTGAGGAGCAGTCAGAAGTTGATGTAGCTGCGATCCCACACAGTCTCTCAGTCTTTCATGACCAGGGCCAATGGAACAAGAGCATCTTGTGCTGAACGATTCTTACTTGTGTCGTAGCCCTACGCAGGAGGCTCCGCAGATGGCCCTGCCCGTGCCAACAGGCGGGGTTCCAGAAGCAGATGTTCAATTAAACTTCTGTTTGATGTCAGGACTCCTTTCATCAGATTCCACTGCAACGTGGGTACAGGGTACAGGCAACTGATACAATGACCGACGCCAGAAGATCCAGTTGCCCTATGTGGGTGAGGCGTTGCCTTCTTTGCCGCTTTGGCAAGAGCACTCCTCCCTGGATCGTGCTTTGTGTTTTTGCCTTACTCGTTTTGTGTTTTTGGCAAACGTCAGGCATCTTGCACTTCACATCCAGTTTTGGCTTGTCAGAGTGGTGTCGGTTTTGTGCAGACCATCTCACGGGTACACAAGGCCTGTTGGGAAAAATCTCATTGGGGATTTGTCACACTCAGCTCGTGGGCACCCTGGAGTACGGGACGCCCGAGAAACTTTCACGAGTCCGCCAAGAGACATGGAAGTACACATGGCTCCCTTTCCTCCCAACGGAGGTCGACGCCACATCGTGAGGCCGACTTTTGACGCCACCTTGGGCTTCAGGGGCTTTCTCGCGCTAGGCCCGGAGCCGAAGCCCAAGAATGGCGCGTCAGGACCTCAAGGAACTTGCGGGTGTCGCGCATTGAAGCGGCCTGATGGACCTACATGATCAACGTGATTTGCGTTTCCTTCAACATGATCAGCACATGATCATTGAATTGGTCAACATGATCAATATTATTCAATATTTGGGCCGTGATGCGTTAGTTGCAAGTCTGCATTGCTTGCAACTTGTGCCCTGTCAGCTCCCGACGTTTGTCCAGCGTGTGACAGCCGTTGGTTTTAGGCGCTTGTAACAATCATGCGAGTAGCAAGTGTTGGGGTGGGTCCAGCTGGATTTAGGGGTGTGAAGAAACCAACAGCTACCTGCAGCCCAAAAGACTGCTTGATGTTTGGTGGTATTTTGGGCGACGACACAGAGAGTTGTTTTGGTCGTCAGCGGCTGATCTGTCGTAGTCCACCAATGCTTGGTGCCGGCTGGCAAGGCAAAACTTTGCAGTGCTATTCGTTGTGGTCACAGCATGTTTATCTGGTGCATGAACAGGCGCTCAGATGTTGTTAATGCGGCTGGTTGTTCGATGCTCTGCCGCCATGAGACTGCTCTCAGTGGTTTGTAATTTGTTTCTTGCTGTGCTTTTCCTTCGCATTCCTTCGCACCAAACCATGTTTGCACATCATGCCGAGAACAGTCATCAGCCTTGCCCCACTAGACTTAAGGTTGGCAGCAATACCTGTTTCGAGCAAATCCGTCTCTATTTTGGCAATCTCTAAGCAGACGTCTTTCTGGCCACAGGCGCAGAATGGGGTTACCCGCGCGATTTGTTGGTTTCGAGGTTGCTGCTGCACACAGGCACAACTTAGGGTAGACAGATGTTGGGAGGGTCATGTAACATGTAGGGTTTGCGGTCCGAGATCAAAGTCGTGAAGGATGTCTCACCAGTTTCCAATCAGCAACAACATCTTGCAGCCAAGCGCTCATGTACGTGTGGTTGGTTCCATACCCAAACCGCATAGGAATCAGAGCGACCGACTCCAAGGTCGAAGCCCAAATCGGAGCGCGAGCAGCTGCTAGGCCCGGAAAGTCGGCATCGGCACGGGGCGTGTTGACATGACCAGCGCAACCCGGCAACTGGCGCTCTGGTCCTTCTTGCTTTGCTTCTGAAGAAGGGCCAACTCTTGTTTTTCCATGTTGATCCTTCAAGGATAGCCGTATTGTCATTTCAAAAAGGGTGGGGCATGATGACGGCCAGCGAGCCAAGCTGCGCGAGGCGGGCTATGTTGGCTTTCAAGGATGGCAGGGGATGCAACCCAACAAGTCAGTGTGAGGAATCAGACTGAAAGCACAGGCGAATAATGATTGTACAAGAGGAACAGGCCATCAGGCAAATAGAGCCAAGTTGGTGTCACGTGTACGTTCATTGATTGAGCCATTGAGCAGTTCAATGCTCCTTCCGTGTGCGTGGCTCGTTTTTGTTTGGTGCGCGGAAGACGGCTCCGTGCGGTTGGGAGGCGACATCTTCCAGGACCTCTCGGACTTCTGCGGAACCCCGGGGCGAGCCACCGTGAAGGCTCCGATCTGGGATTCTGGGACGTTTGGCGTGGCTTGCAGGTGAAGCTTCGAGCTGCCGACAAGGATCGATAGATGGGGTAGGAATGGCAGGGTGGGCTCCCCCCCTCAACGCCGGCTGGGAAGGGCTGACAGCGCATTTTGATACACATCGGTTGGGGCTGCTCGTCAGGGCAGCGCTGCGTCATATCCAACCAGTTCCCGTTTGGGCCGCTTTCGCAGGGAGAGACATAGTTTTGACACATTGTAGCCGAAGGATTCCGCAGGTGCCAGGAACGTCCAGGACCAAAGCAATGAGGTTGCTTTTGCCGCCTTAAGGCCTGAAGTCCTGCGTGGAAGGGGGGTGCGCACCTCCAATAAAGGAGCCCTCCCGCATGCCAAGTAGAAGGTCACATCCAGCCATGTGACAACAGGGGTGCTGGACAAATAGTCGTGTGACTCACTTCCCGGGTGGCCTTAGGGCATGCAGCGCTTCGTGACTATGGCCAGTATCTCAGAGCTGTGCAGCCTCAGCTGAGCTACAGTTGATGCCCCCGTGTGCCAGCGTCGTTGGAGCAAATTTGATGGGCTTTCCTGCTCTCAGAATCTATAGCGATTTGTGTGCCGCTTAGGGTGCCAATTTTGGCATGGTCTGCTTTGGTTTCTTTGTCGTTGAGCCGGCCATGAAACCACACCATTGGCAGGGTTGGTGCTCGGGTTGCCAGTGCGAGTTGCCTTTTGGGCGGGGAGAGGTTTCAAGAAAACATCAAGCAGGAGCCATGCTGTCATTTGCGCAAAGTGCATCCCCACTAAAAGATAAACACTGAGCCGAGCTCCGCCAGAATGAAGGCCCGCTGCCTTTGCTCCTTCGTGGCATGGAGGTGACACCTAAAGTGTCCATTTACGGTTCCATGCTCGCTTTTGTAAAGACTATGAATGGGGGTCGCCTAGTTCCTTTAGGCGGTGGGGATGACTTCTGATGCCTACTTTGCCCACTGCCCACGCGCGCTGTGTTGTGTCAGCACGTCTTTCGCTGAGTATCCGATTTGTGGTGATGCTTGCGCGGCAGGTTGCCCCTTGTTGCCTGTAACTGTCTCCCCGAGACGATAGCTTGCATCCGATGGGCAGCTGCTGGCATTTTTGTCAAATTGCCAGTGATAGATCTAGGTCCAGATAGATTCTGTTCGGCACTGGCTGCAACACTTCCGGCCAATGTTATCTACTTGGCCGCGCCTGTTTGGTCGTAAAGGGTGTTACAAGCCAGCCAAAACTGGGTTTGCCTGGTTTTCCCCCTTGCACATGCACCGCGGTTGGAGTCATGCAGGCAGGGCCAGCCAACTACGTCAGGATCAAAGAAAGCATCAAGGTTGCTCCGATGAAACCCTGAAAATGAAGCAGCAAGAACACAACCACGTTTTTGTGTTTGCTACGTGTGCCATATTTGATCTGAATTGTCCAGCCAACAGCATCCCTTCCAGCACTGCAACTTGCTCTTGTGGATGCTTCAAGTGTTCCCTGAACTAAAGCAAGGGTCCACTAGCTTTGTCACAAAGACAAATCGGTTTGTTTTTTGTTTGCGGGCTTCCTTTTTGGAAGCTTTTCAAGTCAAAAGGAAGCCAACCACCATAAGGGGTCCCCACTTTTGAGACAGAATCCGAGACAAGCCATGGGCTGGCTTTGCGCCTGCAGTGCTTTGGGCGGCTTGGTGCTGGCTGCTGGGGATGCTGTCGTAACTCAGCGGGAGAACGAGGGACTGCAAGATGGTCGACATGACGCTGGGATGGAGATGTGTTTTTTCTCCTTTTTTAACATATATTTTATGGGTGTGTGTGTGAGTATGTGTGTATGTGATGTGTGTAATTATGTGATGTGTATGTGATGTGTGTGTGTGTGTGTGATGTGTGTGTGTGATGTGTGTGTGTGTGTCTCTGTCGTCGTCTGTGTCTGTGTCTGTGTCTGTGTGTGTGTTTGTGTTTGTGTTTGTTTCTTTTCTTTCTTTCTTTCTTTCTTTCTTTCTTTCTTTCTTTCTTTCTTTCTTTTCCTTCTTTCTTTCTTTCTTGCTGTGTTTGTGTGTGTGTCTTTGTTTGTCTGGCTATTTGTGTGGTTGTTTGTGCGCGCGTTTGTGTGGTTGTTTGCGTTCGTGCGTGGGCGGGTGGGTGCATGGCCTCAGGACGTGTTTCCCTGCCTCACGGAGCCCGAAGTGATTCCCTGGAAGAGCGCGCCCGTCTTTAAGGCACCGGATCCAATGTTGGGTGGAGGACGCTAGAGGCATCCCTCGAAAAGGAATCAATTCCCGACCGAAACGGGAAGAGTAGGGTGGTCCGGAGTATTCCGAAATCGACATTAAAGGGTCCATGAATCAAGTCAGGCACCCGTGACACTAGAGAGAGTGACAGAGACAGTGACTGGCTGGGCCGAACAGTGATTTCAACTAGTAAGCTGAGGTAACCTCTCGATTCTCAGGGTTCCTTCGCTAGCGCGGCTAACAGACAAGTCTTCTTCAGACACTGATGTCCTGCGATTGTCAACGGCTGGTCTCGCTGTGCGGCAAAGGGCGGAACACATGTTTACGGTACTTCATGCATGCTTGCCCAGTTTGTCTGTCTCGTTTGGCAGGTTCACCACTTCAAATTGGTCAACCCCAAACATCTACCACCGGCTACCCTTGTAAAGCAAGGCAGGGGCGCACTACCGCATGACGCACAGAGGCATGTTCAACGCGACCTCTTTTCTTGGAACGGACTATGGACACCATAGACTATACAAAAGGGCCCCGGAGCCCCCGTCGAGCTTGACCAGGTGAACCATGAGCCGTACACCAACACCAAGAAGGTCTTCGTTCGCAAAGGCCAAGTGCCGCCGTTGACACAGCTGCCCAGCCAGTGTAGCCATTTTTCCATTGGTTGTCCTTTTCGGCCAGTTTGGTTGAAACATGTTCGGGGGTAGGAGGAGGAGTGGTTCAATGCATTTCGCGCTTGTCCCAAGGGTCCAAGCACCCTTTGTATGGCTTTTGAGGAGTTCAAAGGCGTCTATAGATACCTACTCACACCCCGAGTCTGGTCGTCTGGTGGCTAGCCTGGGGCGATCTGCTCACCGAGGCTGAGCGTGGCGGACTTCGCCGCCGCTGGCTACTTCGAAGATCACGACCACGAGGACATGTTTGAAATCTTCTATGTCCTGAGGCTCGGCTGCGCAACCGCTTCACTGTCTTGAGATTTTTACTGGTGGCCTTCTGTGTTCCCTTTGTTAGTGCAGTTAGAACGTCACCCGCAGTTTTGATGTCATTTTTCCCTGAGGTGGTGTTGGGAGGGGCCATGCGAGGAACCCTGCGGGTCATTGCTCTCGTCGTGCAATGATGTCCGCTTTTGGGGCTGAAGAAATCATAATGCTGAGAAGGGTGAATGGGCCCAACCCGTGATCAGCGCAGCCTACATTTGAACGCATCCTCAATCTCAAACAATCTGAGACAGGGGCACTTCTTCGTTGCCATTTGCAACCAAAGAACGGGCCACCTTGGTTTCGAATCTGTGTTTTGTTCCGCTTTTTTCCGTTGCCGTTTGTTCGGCTGGCGGCTCAGTACACCTAGCACCTGTTCTCTGCGTTTTACCTCCGGCACTGAGGAACGGCACCGGCAAGTTCGCGATTACGTGGAGAGGCCAAGACCAGCACTGGACCCGGACAGAGCTAGCGGCCGAGCCGGGCATGTTCTTGTACATGCCGCCGGGGGTTCAGCACGCCGGGTTGACAGATTCAGGGTCGCTCATCTGCCCAAAGCAAATCGGTCTTTGGACCTTGTGGTCCACTTTTAGTATTCCACGGTATTCCAATTATTTCCAATTGACCTTATTCTTCCAATGATTTCCAATTTGTCCAATTATTCCACGGTTTTTCCCCTTGCAACGTCCTTTGGGCAATTCAGGTTACAGTTCCTGATGGTGGGCGCAGCCACGACCGACAAGGCCTGCACAAAGACAGCCATTCTGGGCGGTGATGCTGATGCCTGCCGCTTTGCTCAAGTTGCCACCTGCTATCACCTGTGTTTCAGGGACCGGCCCCCTCAGGCTCCCTTGTCGGAGCTCCAAACGCTGCATGATGGGAGTTTAACTTCAAATATTTGGCCCCTGCAACATGAGCTACGGACAGTCTGTCTAGTGACAGTTTCCGCTGCCTTGGCCTGAGGCAATGCCACCACAGCGTTCAAGCAGTTGCATACCGCGAAAGCAGCTTGCATGCAAATACGGGTGCCTCAAAACCAACAATGGCTGGTTTCCTCCTGTTTCGAGTTTCCCTTTCTTGGGTAGCCTCATCAAGACACACACACATGCGTCACAAACTGCCAATGTGCACATCACCAAGCCGGGAGTGTCTTACCCTGGTGATTCCTGGTCCCGGACTGTCGCGCTGCGACTCCCACATAGCTCACACAAACGAGCGATGGGCAGTTTCACTCACACTTTAGCTCACCTTGGCGTGACATGAGCTTGCCGATGACGTGATGCTCCCCAACATCATATTAGCTTTGGATGAATCCAGAGGACCCTGGATTCCACGAGTAGCCCCCTTTGATTCTGCTGAGTCTCTCACGTTTGTGAAATAGGTATACTGAATTAGTGCCGAGTGAATTTCTAGTTCCTGAGGATACCTTATGAATTTTGAAGAGGCAGGTATCGGTTTTCGATGGTCCCTTACGGCCTTGTCCGTTTGTGGGGGTCAAATTGTCGGGCAGCTTGGGAACGTCAGATGTGCATATGTCAACAGGGTCGATTTCCACATAGGCGACCCGCAGAAACGGTATTTTTCCTTTCAACCGCTGGCCTCGCTTCAGGCCAAGCCGGGAAAGTTGCCCCAAAGCCTCGGAGGTCGCTTCTCCCCCTGCGCCGTTCCCAAATTGCGACTGAGGTAGCGCACCGAGCACTACGAGAGGATAGCCAAGTTCAGAGTGGGCAGTTGCTCACTGCCGGCAACTCCATTCGCATTGGGCATGTGTCGCTTTGTGGCTGTGAGCCCCTTGAGTTGTAATTCGATGGGCACATTCGAATACCTGGAGGTGAGAGGGTGGGAAGATTGTGGGCACGAAACGGTTAAACGGTAGAGGGTCGCATGTGCATTTGGTACATCTTGGCTGGCGGGAGGGCCCTGTGCGGGCCTGGACGCCATGCTTTGCCATGTGTTCAGTCTTGCCATTTCAACAATCTGAGTTTGGTGAACAGGTAGTTTTGGCCCTGGCAAACGGTGCCAGCGTTCGGTGCGTCCCCTCTGCAGCGTTGATCTGGTCTGCATCTATGATCGGGCATTTGTCCGTTTTTTTCTGTGACTCATCCCTCTATCATTTCACGTTCCCCAATGATGTTGCCACACAGACATCATGAAAATATGATGAAGTGACATTGGGTAGCCTCCGTTTTCTTTTGCTGGATGCTGAATTACTCTGAATTCAGGCTGAAGCAAATTCCCCCATAGGAGTTGGAGCTATTGAGTTTTGAAGGTCTGGGGCCCTCTACATTCCCCCGACACCCAACTTAAAGGGAGCCCTCAAGTGTCGAAAGGTGCTTAGAACCACAAGACTAACTCCCATGGCTTCCAATTTGCTTCCGAACCCCAAAAGGAGATTCCTGTCATCAGAGGGCCTTCCGGGGTTCTATGATCAGTGCAACGAGCTAGACAGTTCATCATCATCTCATGATTCCAGCTTTGGGTTCTGACCCCCATAACCCGATCAGCATTCAGGCCCGTGTAATTATTTGAGTCTCTTTTTGAGGCTGCTCTTTTGAGGGTTGTGTTCAACTCACTCCCTGAGTTCATGGACTTTAGACTTTTTGGGAAGACCATTCTAGTGGCAAACAGACAGTTCAGACTTTGTTTTGGCCCGTCCCCTTTCAAGTAAGTTGAGGAGAGACAGAATTTCACTTCCACGAGTCCCCGATTTCTTTTCGAGCGGAGGTGAGCTGCCGATGGCAGGGGGGCTCGAACACCTCACAGTGCCGCCTGGGCAGAGCTACACTGGGCACGACCAAATGACGCTTGGCTAGGGGCTTGAAAGGGGGGGGGGAAATGCCTAAAATGCCCGGCACCTGCGTAAATTATTTCGTGAGTACTGTATACGGTCCGGTCTTGACAGCAATCGGTTCCAAAAGATTAGGGGCTCAAATTGGGTCATGGCAGTATGAAGAGAAGACGTGCCTTCGCTGAAGCACGGGCGTCACAGAGTGAGGAGATGCGTCGAATCGGGTTGCACCCCTCTTGATCACAGTTTGCATGTGCGTCCACAAGCTGGGTGGCTTCCTACATACCCCAACACATGCTGTAACAATCCTGTAACTACATCCACCTGGATGGCCCCTACTCGTTTTGACCGGCCCCGGAGTCAGCATCTCACAGCTTTGAAAGGGCAAAGGAACCTCAAGTGGGGATACGTACTTACTTCCTGAGTTCCTGGACTTTAGTTAGACCATCTGGGTGGTAAACAAACTAGTGAGTATAAGTTGGGAGGTTTGGGGTGGGATGATAGGTTGACTTCCTGAAAAAGAAGTCCCCGTGTTTTGGGTCCGTACCAAAAACTGGCACCCTGAGCCCGGAGAAGCTTTCAGGAAGAGCGGGATGCATGCATAGAATTATTTTTTAGATCCAAATGCCCTGTTTGCCTTGGCGATGATGACAGCGGCCTAAATGCACGGAGTACCTTAGAAACATGTGCTTGAGACCTCCCAGGCAGCAGCAGGATCAGGTGCTTCTTACGCCTTGCGCGAAGCTTTATGCTTCATCGGTAGCGCGAGCGACATGTTGGCTCCTAGCAGGCTCTCAGGGTCTGTGTTGCTCGGCGGACATCATGCTCTGACCCTGGGCGCAAACGATGGCAGGTTGCGCTGTTAAGCTCACAGCGTTCCTGGGCGAGAGTTTTTGTTCTCACGCGCCTTCACATGCGCGTCTCTTGGGCTTTGGGGAGTAGGACGCGGGCGGCCATGCCTGGCCTTGCGACTGCTTTTGTAGAGGCCAGCCCCCCTTCCCAGAGGCTCCTGTGGTCGCTTCTGAGGATGGGGGCCACAAAGGGGTCAGTTCACATACTTGGACGTTTAGGGCCTCCTGAATTCCAACAGGTAGCTGGCCCTTCTCAGGCACACCTCGGTGTTCTACGTGCTCAGCGGCTGGGGCGGCATCCGGTTCAGCATGAAGACGGGGCTCTTGGAGGCCAACACGGCAGTGGTGGTGCCGGCGCAGGTGGAGTACTCCATCATGGGCGCCGGGCCTTTGGAGCTGCTGCTCGGAACCAATGAGGGCGCGTCCCCTTTGATACGTACCCATGACCCGGGGGCAATATATGATGACGAACTGGAAGCAAGGGACCTTGATGGGAGCTCATGGATTTCAGCTCGTTTTACCCCGGATCGCTCATTTGAATTCGTCCAGATTTAATGTCGACCGCACAGAAGTCAGTGTGGCGAGCCGTAATGCAATGAATTGTATGGTGATGTAATGTAATGTAGCGTACTTGTACTGTATGCATTAATAATTTGAGTTATCCATTGTTTGTATGTGGCAAATATTCCATGTGATGCAGTAAGTGTAATGCAGTGCGTTGTATGTGTGTATGTATGTATACATGGGTGGCAGGCAGGCAGGCAGGCAGGCAGGCAGGCAGGCAGGCAGGCAGGCAGGCAGGCAGGCAGGGACATGTGTGTGTGTGCGTGTGCATGCGTGGCACCTTCATCTAGGCATGTGCTACGCATCATGTGTAAATACATCAGCCAGTTCCGACTACTCGGTTTCCCCATTTTGACGCCTGACCAGAGGGTCCTTCCATTGTTGGGTGGCACGAAGACACGCAGTGGAACAAATTTCCATCGGGTTCAACCGACTTAGCCTTTGCAACCAACCGCCAGAATCCTTTTTGAATCGTACGGATTTGCTGTCCTGGCAGGGCCAAGCCTTTGCAGCCGATCCGTGGCTTGCCGTTGCTTTGTCAAGCAAGCAGAGCACTTAATTTAATGCAATCAGCGAAGACCACTACTGACAGCAACCAGCGTTTGATTTCACAGTTATGGGTGCTGAAACCCTACAAAAGACAGGCCTCCCGGCCAAGAAGTACCCTCAGTCCCCTTGACGACTCAGTCAACAACAAATTACAAGACTCCTGCAAGGCGCGCAACCCCATTTCTGCAGGGCATTGAAGCAGTATGGAGGTGAGAAGTTCGTTCGGCCTTATTCTAATTCTGCATCGAGGCTGCGATTGGCTCTTCATCCATGCCCCAGAGCGCATGATGAGCTTTGAGAAGGAAAAGAGGCATCCGCTGCTGCTAGCATCCATATTGTCCATGACCTCACCCTTATGGAACCAAACACTCCTGTTTGCCAAGCAAGTCCTTTTTTGGGGGTGACCCATTTTTGAGAGTGAATGATTTGAGCAGTTGGAGTAGTCGGATTGGATGACTGATGTTTCCTTGAGTGGTGTGACAGCCCAATAGCTGCGGGCCAGCCAGCCCGCCCTTGGAGTTGGAGCGACCTGCTTGGGCTCTGAGGTCGGCTTCGAAGGTTCCGACAACGAGTGGCGCGAGGAGTACCGGTGGAACACCAAGATGTGCGTTTGGTTTGGAAGCAGCGGAAACGCAAGGGTTCCCCAACCGGAAAGTTTTGTAGAAGCTTCTTAGAAGGGGGCTTCTTGAATGGGGTTCTGAGAGCCTTTCTGGCGCAGCCATGTTTTGAGAGCATAAGCTCCGCCCTAGGAAAGTGCATCAAACATGGCCCACTTTGGCGGCTGAAACGAATAGGTCAACCACTTGAAGAAGCTCTTATCCACCTGGTGTGAGCAACTGATGCACGTGAATGCTCACCGCTGAGGTCCTTGTGTCGGGAATGGCTGGTGCCTTAGGGGTGGGCAGCAAGCCGAAGAGAGTTCTGACGGGGTACACACATGTCCACTGGCGGTCTTGCAGAGCCAGCCGTGTGAGGTCCATTGCGGGTCCATATCCCCGCGTCATGCAGCATGACCCCATAGACTCGCGGTTCGAGGGAAGGGCCATGTGGATTTGGCGCGACCCGGCGCCGCACGAAGTTACAGAAATCCTGATGTGTCCATGGCTTAGGAAGATGCCGCCCGACACAGGTTTCAACCAGGCGCCGTGCACTTCATGGTTTTTTGCTTGATCTGTTTCGTTTTTTCTGCCTACGTTTTTGGACCTTCTTCTTAGAAAGACCGCTTTCGCTGTGAACGACAGCTGTGACCTTTGTCTTGGGCCAATCCACTTTGGACCTCTAGAAGATTTAACTCAGGAGTTAGCGATCGCCGTTTTCTTTTTGGGTGCATGTCCGTTGAGTGCTGCAGGAAGCATTTACCAAGTTGGTGGATGCCGTGCCCTTAGCTGATTGCGTATTCACCGTGGCACCCGAATGAAGGGACCCTTTACAGCAATGGTGTGGGGAGGAAGGGACATTTTTTCCTCAGTTGTGCGCAGAGAGTGATTTGTTTGCGCGTGTGCGCACACGCGCACGTGTGTGTGTGTGTGTGTGCCTGCCTGCCTGCGTGCATGCCTGCGTACCTGCCTGCATGCCTGCCTGCTTGCCTGCTTGTTTGCCTGCCTGCCTGCCTGCCTGCGTGCCTGCCTGCCTGCCTGCCTGCTTGTTTGCCTGCCTGCCTGCCTGCCTGCGTGCCTGCCTGCCTGCGTGCCTGCCTGCCTGGTTGCGTGGGTGCGTGGGTGCGTGAGTGCGTGAGTGCGTGTGCGTGTGCGTGTGCGTGTGCGTGTTCGTGTTCGTGTTCGTGTGCGTGTGCGTGTGCGTGTGCGTGTGCGTGAGCGTGAGCGTGAGCGTGTGCGTGTGCGTGTGCGTGTGCGCGTGCGCGTGCGCGTGCGCGTGCGTGTGCGTGTGCGTGTGCGTGTGCGTGTGGGTGTGGGTGTGTGTGGGTGTGGGTGTGGGTGTGTGTGTGTGTGTGTGGGTGTGCGTGTGCGTGTGCGTGTGCGTGTGCGTGTGCGTGCGCGTGTGCGTGTGCGGGTGCGCGTGCGCGTGCGCGTGCGCGTGCGCGTGCGCGTGCGCGTGCGCGTGCGCGTGCGCGTGCGCGTGTGCGTGTGCGTGTGCGTGTGCGCGTGTGTGTGTGTGTGTGTGGGTGTGGGTGTGGGTGTGGGTGTGGGTGTCGGTGTGTGTGTGTGTGTGTGTGTGTGTGTGTGTGTGTGTGTGTGTGTGTGTGTGTGTGTGTGTGTGTGTGTGTGTGTGTGTGTGTGTGTGTGTGTGTGTGTGTGTGTGTGTGTGTGTGTGTGTGTGTGTGTGTGTGTGTGTGTGTGTGTGTGTGTGTGTGTGTGTGTGCGCGTGTGCGCGTGTGCGCGTGTGCGTGTGCGTGCCTGTGTGTGCCTGTGCGTGTGCGTGTGCGTGTGCGTGTGCGTGTGCGTGTGCGTGTGCGTGTGCGTGTGGGTGTGGGTGTGGGTGTGGGTGTGGGTGTGGGTGTGGGTGTGGGTGTGGGTGTGGGTGTGGGTGTGGGTGTGGGTGTGGGGTGGGTGGGTGGGTGGGTGGGTGGGTGGGTGGGTGGGTGGGTGGGTGGGTGGGTGGGTGTGTGTGTGTGTGTGTGTGTGTGTGTGTGTGGGGGGCGTGCACGTGCGCGTGCACGCGTGCGTGCAATGCTCCCATGCAACAACCTGAGGATCAGTCGCCAAGCGGTTTGGCACTGAGCATTTGAGACTGAATTGTGATGCACAGGAATGTCAAGGGTACTTGTACCAGTGCGAGCAGCTCATGCGCATTCCAGACTAGTATAAATTTGTTTGTTCTCTTTGAGAGCTGCGCGGACTTGGGAAGTTTGGAATGTCCTCAACTTTCATGACATTTAATTTATGGGAGTCTCGACATGGTGCGGTTGTGTTCCACGGGTCTTAGACGTCCTGCGGCCAAGTACGCTAAGTTGCATTTGTGGCATCATGTTGGGCAGAGGTTCAAGTCCGTGCTTTTGTGTTGTTCTTGCAAGTCGGCTGCGGTTTCAGGACTGCAGATGGCCCTTCGAGTGAAAAAGTTGAAATGAGCACACCATGTGTGGGGGATGGCTTCTCTTTAAACCGCCATGTAGTAGAGGATGTCAATCCTTGGACCCAGTTCACGCATTGGTTATTCTGAATTGTTTAGTAGGCCCGGGCTTTTTTGTTTTGTTTTGGTATATATAAATATATTGTCCATAGTTTTTTCATTTGGGACCTTTACTATGTGGAAAGGATCCGCAGTTAATTATACAATCACTCAAACAATCATTGGGCTTTGCATTCCTTAAGATCTACTATGCTGGAAATGGATGTGGGGGGAATCGAATAGCATATAGAAGACGAGAATGACATAAAGACATCATCTAGTTCTTCTGTATATTCTATCACATTGTGACCAGCTATCTCCAGCATATGATTGCAGCTTACATCTCTTCTATCATGTCTTCAACTAAAATCCCCTGCCAAGGCTGCTATTGCTCCAATGAAGAGCTGAAGATCATTCTGGACAAGCTGCGGTCAGCCCCCAGGGCTCCCAAAGTGAGGCCCGGTTTGCTTGGGCGGCAGGGACCACATCCTCCCGTTGGGTTGGCCATGGTGAGCCTTTTGCGGCAATCTGAAGTGGAAGCAGGGTGCACAAGGGGGTTCGAGGTTCCTTGCTAATAGGGGGAACAGCAGGGCTTTCGCCATTTTTCCGTTTGTGAGTTGCGAGACTGTGCGCCGGCTACCTCAGCACAAGACACCCAGGAATTTGCCCATCGCAAACTCAATACCGCCATCCAGCCGAGTTACCCCTCTTTCTTGAACGGCCTGCCCCTTTTCCTGACTGCTATTTGGTTGCATCTTTAGACTTTAACTTTTTGGGAAATCAAGGGTTTTTCCACCAACCAAGTTTTTTGCGACCCACACATTCAGGACGGCTTGAAGACGTTGCCCATTCCACACCGATGTTTGTAGCTGTACGCCTGTGGGTTGGGAGCACTTTGGACTGCTTGGGAGGGTGCATGAGCATGTGTCGCGGGTCAACTATGATTTGTTTGTTTGCCCACGGGAGGCAGCTGAATCTAGATACAGCCGACGGCTGAGGTTTTTTCAGAAGGTGGGCAATGTTTGTGGCAACTGTTCCTTCCTTTTGCAGCAGGGATCTTTTTGGCACTGGCCCGAGACTCTGGGTGGCTTGTCCCTCACGTTTCGCCACCACGCTGTAGGTATGTGTCGCGTTTCGGTCGGACAGCTGCAAACAAATGGACTTTTTTGTTCAAGAAGAAGCAGCAAGGCGGGGCCAAGCCTTTGATTGAACCATGGTTTTAACACTTGTTTACAGCAACCTCCTTTTGGCTTTTTGTAAGGCCCAAATGGGTCGCGGTTTAAGCACATTTCGCGCAACTCGAACCCCCCACACTCCCTTTTTGTTTGGTCCTCGTGGCTTAGAGCAATCTTTTTAGTAGAATGCTACCTCAAAAAGTAGTTGGTGGACGCAAAGGATCTCCACCAAAGGGTCTGTCATCAGTTTGCATGCTGTTGGGTGGGGAATTTCAGCTTGGGTTGATTCGATGTCGCCAGGAAAGCGCCTTCGCCAGCGCCACCTCCAAAGAGACAGAAGGTAGAGGTGCAATTCCAGTAGCAAGGCTTCGATCCCTTTGCTCGGTTCAGTGGATTTCACCCTGAACACATTATTTTTGGTTTGCTTCTTCTTTTTGGTTGGCTTCCCACCAAAAAAGGATTCCAGCCCCACAAGCTCCTGTTTCCTACCATGGTTAGGACAAAGATCCATGCAAGCGGTTGCCTCTTGAGATGGGCTCCAGCGGACACCCTGAAAGTATAGGTGTTCCCTTGGACCAATGCCGAACTGGTTTCAAAGGCACGAGGACCACCCTGTTGAGTGTCACTCCTGTGGAGAGGTTTTTCTGTGTCGAAGCCTTAGTGGTATTGCATCTTCCGAAAGCCATGTCTCACATTTCCCAGTTCGTGGGCGGGGATTGGCAGCCGTTGCGAAAAAAGGGCAGCAAGTGATACAGAATGATGCAGAGCTGGCTTCCAAGACATGTTTCATCCGAGGTGAGTCAAAATGAGTCAAGATGAGTCCCACACTGAGTTGAATTCTCAGACAAAGACCTGGTTGCGGACACCCCTGCATAAAGGAGCTGTTCCAAGCCCTCTCGTGTTGGGAACATTTGCATGTACAGTTGCAGCGCGGTGTTCTTGGTTCCTTGATTTGCCGCATGTCACCATGCGGCAATTTGCCTGCAACATCCTGCAACCTTTGCTCTCAAGACTGCTTAAGTTCCATCAAGTTCGGTCACGGTACAGCAACAACATGACAAGCCAGTCGGGGGGCACGGTACGCCTGTTGGCGCACGGAAATTGCAAGGCGGGCGTGCCATGCGCGAACCGGTGTGACAGTGGGGTAGGGTCCAAGTCAACTCAGTGCCAGGTTGGTTGAGAGCACATGGTATGGAGGGGTATGTACAAGGGTTTGGCAAAAAATGTTGAAGAAGCACACCCTGCCCCCCTCTAAAAGGGGAACCCAAAGCATGATATTTCAGCAACTGGTGCCTTTTTGGCTTGACGTTTTTCTCGAAGGCAATCCACGGGGAAACCACTCGTCTCGCCATGTGCCAAAATGGGGAATGAGTGTACAGCATGAGAGGTGAAGGACATGGAGAATCCACCTTCATAGGATTCTTGGGATCCCCCATGTCGGCTGGAATCATTGCAGAAGCCGCAGATATGTTCCTTCATTGGACGGCGTTTCGCTCACCTTGCCCCGCGAGGTGCCATGGCGCTGGACGGAGATCCAGTGGCAGAAGCTCTGAGTGTGGGCACCTGGCGCAAAGGGAGGTCCCAAGTTGAATCCACTCATTCCCTCTTTGATGTCGACTGGGCTGAAGCCGAAAGAATGCCCAGGCAAAAAGAAAACCTTTTGGTTTGCTGGGTTCAACAACAGAGTCCATATGCTCCAGCAAGGACGGCAGTTGCCTGCCGCCACTGGGCAACTGTTCCGACTTGAGGTGCCGTTAGAGTGTGTTGTCTCGTTTGTGGCGAGTTTGGGGGCTGGGACATTGGGAGAGTTTCAAATGGGTGGTTTCCTCTGTGGTTTCCCTTCAAAACATCCTCTCACCCCCGAAAAGGACCCTCAGCACATGAGACACCCACTTGTCAACACTGGTTCCTAAACTAACCCAAAAGCGCCCACCAGCAACAGCACAAGGTCGCTTTGTTTCAGCGATGCCCTGCCATGGAACAACTGCCCCCATACTGATGAACAAATCCCAAAGGAATAAAAGACAGAGTGATGGGGATCACATCCACTCTGTGATGCCATTGAAAGGCCTTCCCGCTTCCCAAAGACCATTCCCTCATGTAATGGGAAGGGGGCAAAACCGCAGAACCCCTGCTCCTTACCCTTAAGGGAACACCTCTAAACAGGAGACGTCACCGATATGAAAATGAGGGGTAAGCCGCAAAGGGCTGGGAAGGCTTTTCCCACGCTTCGGCATGTTCATGTTGGATTTGGCCCTTGAACTTGCTCGTATTAGGATATTAGAGGGCATGTTGACAAGCTTAATTGCCCACTATTGAGCCAATGACCCATGGGCCACCAATTCCATCGGAATTCCCACCGTTGCATGTGGGGCTCCGGCGCTTTCTGGCGTGAACATGCACGACTCCCCTGCACAACCCCTTCCCTTCATTTTCCAAGCTGTTTCCTGCCAAAGTTTGCGCTCAGGTGCTGGCTTTTGCTGGGCAGTCGGCATCACCCTGCTCTCCAGGCAGCGTGATGAAGAACCAACAACAAACCGCTCCTCGCCTCCCCCCCCCCCCACAGCCACAATCGAAACCCAATGCGATGTCTTGACGTGATCTTTTTGGCTTGTAGACTGCTATCACTACCAGGCTTGATTCTGACTCACATGTTGCCCAAAATTGCAGCCCCCCCGGGCCCCCCCACCTGCTTAGATTGCCACTAAGACGTTCCGGTTTCTCGAGTGTCGGGGAGGGCTGATAACTACGAAGTGGACTTCTGAAAAGCAGAAACGATGTCCTTATGCTTTCCGCAAGGCATGGTGAATTAAATTCAGGGAACGCAGAAAGCATGGGCCTGGGTCATGCCTTGCTTTTCCAGTCCCCATGTAGCACCCACTGCCTGAGATTCCTTGGAAGTAGACCCACATCAGAAAGACATTCGCGAGGGCGCAGTGGGGACGATTTGTTGCTCTGCGAGACTGGGGAACCATGGGGCCCCTCTCCTAAGTGAAGAATGAGTGAGTTCTTGACCTTTCACGGTATCACTTTGCTTATCTTTGCTTGATAGGGGTGGGGCAGTGGCAAGGAGGTTCAGGGGATTCTGTGCCAGGGACGAAAGTCTGCCGCGGGCCCAGAAAGGGTGAGCCACAGCCATTATTCGGACTTGTGTGGGACACTCATGATGATGCATAGGGAAGAAATTATGCTAAGGTGGATGTTGCGTTTTGAAGCAACTACAGGCACCTGAATTGGTCCCGTTTTGTTCTAGTTTATTGCCATACCAGTTGGAGATGTATTGGGGCTGTATATTTTGGGCTAGTCCATCAAGTTTTGGCACTTTGGAGCTTCGGTGGCCTGGCATGTTGTTTGCCGCTTTTGCTGCTGGTGCTGGTGCTGCTACTGTTGTTGCTTTGCTGTTGCTGTTGCTGTTGCTGTTGCCGCTGCTGTGCCCGCTGCTGCTTGCTTCTTGCTGCCCTCTGCTTGCTGCCTGCTGCTTGCTGTCTACTGCCTGCCGCCTGCCGCCCGCCGCCCGCCGCCCGCCGCCGCTGCTGCTGGTTCTGCTGCTGGTTCTTTTGCTGGGTCTGCTGTTGCTGTTGGTGTCAAGATTGGATTTGCTGCTGCGTTTGCTGCTGCTTGTATTGTTGCTGTCGCCGCTGCCGAAGTGTTGTTTCTGTCGCTGTTGTTGCTGCTGTTGCTGTTGGATCTTCTTGAACCTTCCGATTCCATGCGGGAAAGCACGGCGTGGGGGGACTTCAGAGGGAGCCCGTATTCACCCTCGCGAACTTTGAAGTTACCCTTAGTTTACCCTTGGGTGGATATCCGAACGGCTCGCACCTTGAGACTAGGCCAGACATCTCTTCTGGAAGGCCGCAGCCTTGAGCTGCGAGATGAGTCCAGAATTTGGTGGGTGAAAAAGGCTGATTGTTTGAACCCACGGCAATTTGGGGAATTATTTGGCAGCTGGTTTCCCATTGGTAATCCATACTTATTTCTGATGTATTTCATCACCTGCGGGTCATACCGGGGTTCACATCATACATTCAGCGTTTGGGTTGTGTTTTTGAGCCCCACAACCTCCAGTGCCTCTTTGGATGGCTGTCTATCCACTCGTGTTTTTGTTGTGCATTCCTTGGGGCAGGCAAGATGTCGCTTGTGCTGCTGCACATATGGGAATCGTGTGAACGGTTCAGGTATGGAGATATGAAGTGAAGCGGCATTTGGTCTTCTGCGTTCGCTTCGCGAAACCACTGCAATGGACCAGCCGGGCGGCGTTGCAGACTGGTCATGCATACTGGGCTACTTTGCCTGGCCGGGACACGCTGTACAGCACCCACAGAGTACAAAGTACGTTCGCTTCGACAACTCCAGCTCAACCATCGCAACTTCTCAGAACAATCGTAGAACACCCCATGCGCGGAAAGAACTGATGCACTTCTGAGACGTGCGTGATACTTTCACGCACTTCCAAACAACGGCTCACAGGCCTAGATGGATTGACTCAAGTCTCTTGCACTGTCAATTCGCGCAGCTCCAGCTGGAGTTGCCAAAGTGCGCTTCGTGTACTACGCTTATGCTGAAATAGTTGGATGTTCCAGCCGGGGCTGCCACAGCACATATTCGTACTGAAAAGCTATGGTGGAAGCTGCCAAGTGGACTTGACGGACAACTGTGTCTGTTTCTTTTCCTAAAACATCCCAAAACATAGTGTAGAAGGGTCGTACCAAGAGTTCACCCCGGAGAAGTTCCGAGAACCTCTTTGTTCACGAAGATTTCAGCTCCCAGAACAGGTTAGCCGCGATTTGGCATCTTGTGGTTTGTTTGTTTCCTGCTTGATTGCTTGCTTGTTTGTTTGCTTTGTTGCCTCTTGATGTTTTGTGCATGCATGGTTGGTTGGTCGGTCGGTCGGTTGGCTGGCTGGCTGGTTGGTTGGTTTCACTGGGCAAGAATCCGAGCTTCCCATTTTCTTATGGGTCTCCAATCAAAGCTTGAGCGATGACTGTCAGGCCTTCCCTCACCGGCTTCCCTCGCCTGCGACCATCCACCGTTTGCGGAGTGCTGGCGCGGATGCTTCGGAAGATTCGTGGGTCAGCGGGTGCTTTATATCAGCGCGGCTCTTTTGAGTTTCTGTGTTTCGTATGCTTGTGAACTGCCCCCCCACAGGGGCCCCCCAATCCCAAACCCCAAACTATAGGACTTGTGGTTTCCTTTGATGACTTGTGGTTTCCACAAGGGTATAAAAGGGTGTTCCTCTCTAAATTCGGGACACGCTTATATCAAATGGCCCATATGTGTGTCCATGTTGGCTGTGCAAACAGAAGCCAAAGGAAAACCACTCATGTTCCCGCATTTAGAGGCGCACCTGTCTTCATGGTTGAACTGAGGGGGTAATCCGTTCCCCCTCCCCGCCCCAATTATAAAAAAATCATCCATGTTGTTTTTTTGCTTTTGGGGTTGTTTTTTTTTTCAAACAATGTGAGGGTTCACATAGGATTTGGAGGAAATGGATTGAATTGTAAGGTCCGCGAGTAAGCGGTTTAATAAGGACATTTTATGTATCATTCTATTTGTTTTTAGTTTACTGGTTGTTTGTTTGCAGCCAGGCAGGTTAGGTCCCAGCATGTACGGGAGAGAGACAGTCGCAGCTAGACAGCTTTTGGGGACATGTTTTCTTTTGAGGGACGCCACTCCAATAAAGGACCACCTTTTGGGGAACCCACCTTTTGGGGAAACAACCTTTTGGGGAACCCACCTTTTCAAAAGTAGGGCTGGAAGCTTGTTAAAAGTGCCCCCTAATAAGGATTCCAAGACTTTAGTAAGGGTTTAGTATTGGCTCAATTAAAAATCAATTGTGCGGAGTGGAAATCTGGTCCCGGGCCCCGGATTTCGATATTTTTATTAATTGGGGTCATTCACTAATAGGGGGAACGGATTACAAATGAAAGCAATTCCAGGGCGGCAAACAACACCAAGATGCAGCGAGTTCTACGATGTAGGTGCGTGTGCACTTAGATGATGTTTTAATATGGTTTTGCAGCGTCTGATTTTGCGATGTTGGCTCCTGTTGCGCCATGTTGGCCGATGGACTGGCTGAAATTCTTCAGAGAGCGGTATTGTTGATGGACCGTGCGCCGGCCCGGGGCTTATCCCTTTGAGTTCCCCGCAAGGCCACAGGACCAACAACATGTTGCAGTTTGTTAAGCCATTGATTTTGAAGCAGTAGGGTGAGAACAAGAAGGCCAGCCAACATGCTGCAGAGCGAGCTAGCAGCATCTGATTGAAGCTCAAGCTGGGGCTGCCTTGCGTATGTTGGAACAGCAGGTTTGGCTTTTGCTCAGTGGCACCGCGTTCCACTTCTTGTTTGGCAGGGTTTCCTCCAACAAAAATGTTCAATCCTGAAAATGCGTCCCCTTTTCTGCCAGGTTCACTAAACAACCGTGGTTGCCTGCTTTGCAAATCGTTCGTGTGCCTGCAGATCTACGCACTTGGCTATGCGCTGAGCGTGGTGTCGGCGCAAAGCTTAGATACAGACAGCAGGTGATTGAACCCTCGGGATGTTTCACACCACGTAAGACAGCTACCCGCCGACACATGAGCAGCAACGCCGGTGTCGGCAGACAATTTAGAGGGGGAATCAGCGGGGGTGTCAGGCACCAATCAAGTTGTGCACGTTGGACGGAATAGTGATCGACCATACTTACTAAAATTACCCTTGAAGCATATTCTTCGTCATTGGGGTCGGTCTCGTGGGTGCCACCGGCCAGCGCATTCGACTTCGACTTAGGCCGTGTGGTTTGGCAACCTTCTTGTTTGGGGCAGCAGTATTTTCTTGCTATCAGTCAGCAACATTAAGTTGCCTTGCTTAATATGTTACTTTGAGAGAGGGCTTTACAGAACGCATCATAAGTTGAGTGGCCTTGCTTCACGCATCTCTGCCCTTTCTCCAAGCGGAAATGCGGGGAGGGTGAATGACATATTTGGAGATTTGTCTAGCCACCTGGGTTGGAAATGTTGGCTTAAGCAGGGCAACATCTTGTTTCACATCAGGAGTTGGTTCCACTACCCGTTCTCCAACAAACTGGAAGTTGACACAAGGGTTTGTTGAAGCCTACGGTGTGAAATAAGAAGCAAGGCCCCTGTCCACTTCCGTCCTTGAACTGAGGGCTAAACGTTGTTTAGCAACATAGTGGTAAATGATAAAACTATACTTAAAAATGTGCTTGCAACACAGGCCACAACTTTGGCCCTAACGCCCGAGGCCCTATCACCCACAGCGGACGACTGCGCCCCTCGCCGCGCTGCGGCGCTGTCTGCTGCGCTGCCAATCTGCTGCTCAGCTGAAAAGGCGAAGGCGAACAGTCCGCTTTCGCGCTCCGGAGAAACCCATTGAAAAGGGGCTCAGAGGGCTTCTAAATTTCTAAGAAGCTCTTCTGACAAGGGTGTGGAGGTACTTTGAGGGTTCTCGACAGTAAATTTGGCGCTTCTTAAACCTTTAAGGCCCTAGTTTGGGCACCCATTCGGAGGGAATTGGATGGAATCTGAACGAGCCTGCTGTGAAAGATAGAGTTCCTTCCAAAGGGACTCTTTTCAAGCGGGGACTTCGTATGAGTGTTTAGTGATTAGGGGTATAGTTTGTGGAATAAGGGAAGCACCGCAACTTTGACAAACGAGGCAAGATCTATTGATTTCCCATGACTTCCCGGGGTCTATCCAGTTGAGGCCAGGGTGCAACAGGGTGTGTTACTTTTCAAGGGTGTTTTGTTTGGTTTAGAGGGATTCCACAACGAAACCTAGTTTGGAGCTTTCCCAATGTTTAGACAAATTCGGATTGTCTGGCCCGTAATCCTCCGGAGAAATCCGAAGCTTACGTTAGTTGTGGAGTGTGGATTTGTGATTTTGCCAGCCACCTGTTTAGCACCTACCCTGTGGTGAACGTGAGCAGCGTGTTTAAAGAAGATCCTCGGGAACAGGCCCCTTGTCCACTTCCAGGATTGGGGGAGAAAGGCTCATGATTTTACCTGGTCCGGACATTCCGCGCACGGAGCTGAGGTTGGCTGGTGCAGTGCGCGTGCGCTGGCTCAATTGGGACTTCAACTGGGAGCACTCTAACCCTCGCCCCTCCAGACCCTTGGGGGGGGGGGTCGAGGCACACTTGTTGATTTGCTTGGGACACCCGCCATTTAAAAAAATAAAAAATAAAAAACATGGGGGGGGGGGTCCAGCCAATCCGCCAAAATGGTACTTTGTGCGCGGAAGCTGCCGCCAGGCTGGGCAAAAGCACTCCGACCTGCGTGGAGGCAGGGAAGAGCAATTTACTTGAGCAACAATCGAAAGGCGGGCTTGAAAATACAGCGATGCAGTGGCGCGCTCCATAAACGTAGGGGCTTCTTCATGTTCAACCAAAGGCGCCAACATGCGCCACAATCATAACCGGTATCAAGTGGCCTAGCCCAAAACCATATGAATAATCGAAAGGGCGGACGCACCCACTCATGATTGGGACTATCCCTTACCAAACTTAACTATAGGCTATCTTGCGGAATGGGAAGACAAACCAGCTGCCCTTCCGCCCGGTCCCTGTAAGATGACAAGATGAGGATGGTTTTCCAGAGCCTCCAGTCAAGTTCCATGGCAATGCGGGGAGGGTACGTTACGGGGAGAGTAGTTCCAAGTTCCCCTCAGTCCAAGCACTGTTTGTTGGACATTGTCAGAAATACGAGATACAATTCTGCAGTCCTGCACAGCGACGCAGTAGGCTATATGTTCTCAACATCGGAACGCACATAATATGGCCACATGTTTTGCGTGGGATCCGTGTAAGCTGCATTTAACTTGATGAAACCAGCAATTTGGACACATGAGTCAGTAGATCACTTTAGTAAAGCGGGGTGGGCAGCATAAGTTTACAGAAAGCCTCGCAAAATGATAGGGCCCCCGCCAGAAACAATGAGATGCGCAGAACGCTGTAAAACGATAGGGCGCCCACCAAAAACGACAACTACATTAAAAACCTCCTGGACGAAGACAAGTGATTTTGCCGGTAGCTCACATATTTTCCGCTCAAAGCAGCTCTGGAAGAATGTGTGCCACATACTCAAAGCTGTCCGCACAGGGCGCGGGCTACTGGCTAACCTTCTTGGGAGCGGGGCCCTGGCTGATGCGGTCTGGCGCACACATTTGCGAACCTTGGTGGTGAGGTGCAGCGAGCAAGCATTTGCTCGTTTCCTGGCCAACTTGGGGCATTCATATGCCTTGAGATGCCACTGTTGTTACCCCATAACATAACATATGCATGGAAAAGTCAGGGGAGCAGTTGCCCCAACCAAGAGACAGTGTTCCGTGCAGTTTCCTTTTTTGGGTGCACAAATGTGTGGACAGGGGAGCTCTCAGAAGGGTGCAAGTGCATTTGCTGACCATTTGCAGACCGCTTAATGCATTGGACTTGTCGAGTGCTCAGTTCGATAAACTTTGTTGATGAGATCTGCTGTTAAGAGCTCCATGTTCACCTCTTAGAGGATGCAAACATTACATTCGACAGGCTGCAAGTCATATGCGAACCTTTGCAGCCATGGCCAGCAGTGAATGTCCCAATCGTCATTGATCGGCCCTTTCTTTACAACGAGTTGCCACTGTAAGGCTCCGCACTGTTGCAGCTTACCGCAGCCTGGCCGCGAGAGGCGGGGAGATTTATCCCCCTCTAGTCAACGGGTGGGTGGTTTTCTTTGGCAATTTGCTTGACGGCTGCCTGGGAACTGCTTCGACATGACTTTCAGGTTTGTAAGGTTCACTAAATCTGGACTACACTTTTTTCGCATAGAATTTCGATGATATATGTGGGCAACAGCTGGAGGTACGTAAATCACTTTGCTTTGGCAAAAATTATAACGGCCTTACAAGTGGACCCTGCAACACCGTAATGGAGGCTCCTTTTCTGGAGAATGTTTGTTGCTGGCCGGTTGGTGCGTACAATTCACCCAGGCCGAGCCAGCTGTTTCCCCTCATCAAGCAGTGTTGGCTGCTCCTTGGTGTGACCGTTGGCCTTGCAATGCGCAGCGTTTGCAGGATCAAAGATCAATCCGGTTCACGCTGGCTCCAAGAAGGGTAGCTTGGGTTGGGGTTCGGGTGGGAGGTGGTTCATGCGAGGCTGGCGAAGTTGTGGAGGCGCAGCTCAGTTGGCGTGTCTGGGAGGGAGAGTGCCTCGATACTCACTGCTTGGCGCCAGCGCAGGCAGCCAGTGCCCCGCATAGTTCTGTAGGGTGACCGGCGTTGTATAGATGGATTGGGAGGTGCATAGCCGGCCCGGCAAGAGCCCCATGAAGCAATTCCTGGAAGATCCGGGCATGAAGGTCGTGACCATGATTGGCTTCTTGGACACCCTGTGTGTCGCCCGCAGCTCCCAGCTGAGTGCTGCATGGCGGCGTTTGATCCAAGGTGCTCGGCAGTTGCCCAGCACATCAGAAGTGGAAGCTTCCTGGCGAAGAGTTGCTGCTGACATCCTGGCAGCCTCTGAGGAGAACGACTGGGATGATGAGATCTTGAGGCGCAAGCAGCAGGTAGCTTACTCAGTAGCTGGGTACCAACCTAAATAGGTCAATGAGCATAATTCCAAAGGCAAAAGGGAGTGAGTAGTTTTGTTGATGTTCAAGAATCTCTTCTTGTATCTATTTGACACCCGGGTAAGCAGCTGCTGTCGCACAATAGGGGCCACTCCAAAACTGTCTTGTGTTTGCTGTTTTGTTGTTTCTGGGGGGCTTCCCTCACAACACACACCCGAAAAGGTGGCCTTAGAAACCCCCACACACACACACACACACACCCACAGTCAGTGTATGCATTCTCCATCATTCCAAAGTACAGTTCTCACTTGTCACCCGAGGTTGCTACATGTAGAGTGCCCTGCCCGGATGATAGCCCCACAAGTGCAGAACTCTGCGTTTGTGTCATTCTCGTTTCATTTTTCACCAGGGACCACGTTTCTACCCTCTTCAGGGTAACTTTGTCACTGGAATGACCGGGGGTTCGCTGCTTTCTTTGTGGTTTCCAAGAAGCCCAGGATATTCAAGATGAAACCTTTGAAAGTGACAATGACTTTTAAAAGGCGACCCTTCTTCAGTTTGATCCATTTCGCTGGTTCGCGTGGATTGGATTTCCCGAAGCGGCTCCAGGACAATCAGCGAGGAGTCCGCGTTCACCGACCGGATTTGGCAAGGGGCCCGGCGAGCCTTTGAGAGATCCTCTGCACGGCACACGCGTATCTCCGAGAGAGCCATGGTTTGTTTGCTCAACCACCTGGAGGAGCAACATGGCAGGGACCACAGCACAGAGATCAGTGCTGGAACTTCGGATGGTGACAACAAGGCAAAGACAGATCTGACGGCAGCAAGCTCTAATGGCAGAGAGAACATGAAAGATCACGTATCTCACGTCCGCCTGGCGAATCTCGAGGAACATGGGGCGCTGTTTTCCGGCGTCGGTGCGGCTCGGTGGGCCAAACTCTTTGCCAAGGAGCAAGACTTTGTGGCGGAGATCGCGGGCGAAGCCCGTTTCGAGGAAGATGAGCCTTGCCACGCTGTCTTTATTATACGTTTGGCTTTTGCTGATTAGTCGAAAGACACTTGAAACTTGAACCGATCAACATTCCACTCATATCAAAGCTGATGGATCGAACATGCAGCCAGGTATTACGTATGTTCAGGAAGCATTCAAGCTGATGGTTTGAAAATTCAACCATATATTTATTATGTTCAGGAAGCGTGACAAAACAGTATGACAATGATCGAGAATGTTTAGCTTGTTTTCCCTGACGGACAAGAAACGCAAGCATGCGTACAGGTGGGATGTCGCAATGCAGAACATTTCCGCATTTTTTTTTCCGGGGGGGGGGATCGTGAAATATCACATTGTGCCTTCCCAGGTTTACGCGCCAGCACCTGCAAAACAGAACAAGTCAACAAAACATGTTGAGCGTGGTCATAATTGAACAATACTCAGTACGGCACATGGATTGCCGTGCCTGATTGATCTCACGATTTGAAAGCGTCGGGATGAGTGAGCTGCGCCTAGAAAGGACACTAAACGCCCAGATCGCTCAAATCACCTTGAAAACCAGAACGCCTAGGAATGCCAAAGACTACTGAAGGTCCAGGTGACACAACAACATGGATGGCAAATGATGCGATTACGGTTCGCGCCTTGTCCAGTGCGCATGGCGTGCAGATTGTTTCAGTGTTCTGCTGTGCAGAGTATGCCATACCCTTTTGCGAGGCTGGGCAGACTTCAGATCACCACCTGTTGGGTTCCTTTGCATTTCCTTCCAATTTCTGAAATTGTGCATATCTCAGGACTTTAAGGGGCTCCTGGAGCTCATGTACCCGGGCCGCCGGGTGCTTCATGCTCGTTTCGAAGCGGGTGAGGAGGTGCACGAATATGGCTTCGGGTACAGTCTCTTTTGGCGGCAACAGGGCGTTCAAGATATGACCTGTGACGGCGAAGAGGGGCAAGATGACAAAGAAGCACAGCTTCCTTCGGAACCGACTTGGTACCATGTGCAGCTGGAGGTCGTTTTCTTCAACCCATGATGGACAGACAAGCGTCATCAGCGATTTGAAGCTGCGTCCCCTTCCATGTGGTCTGACGTTGTTCTATCTCGATCTGAGAAGCTTGAGCCACTCATAGCAAAGCTCACATCGACCAAATGAGATGTCGATGGCGACGGAGGCAATCTGAGGAGCTCTGTTCTACCACCCCTTTGTGATATCACATTTGCTGGGGTCGGTCGACTGGTTGGCTTAAATTACCCCTTTGCCTCCTTCTACTTGCGTCGGCATGCCACTGCGTGGTGATCCAGCTTGGGCAGATTCGCAACGTGAAACAAGACTTGCAGCTGCAGCTTTGCGTCCAGATCCGTACGACCTTTACTCAAAATACATCGCCAAGAGGAAAAAGGGTGCAAGCAGGTGCCGTTCGGTATCTACACCTTGGATTTTTGAGTCATGAGAAACAACGAGGATTCGCGAGGCAAAGTTCATCCAGGATGAATTCCCTTCTCCCTGCAAAAGAAATATTAAACGAAAAGGTTTCGCTTGCCAATCACCCTGAATTTTGGAGCTCCGGTCAGACCTGCGTTTGGCCAGTCCACTCAGGAAGTATACCACTTGGATACTAACAATTTTGGGTTGCACCCACCAGGCCATGGATCAAAAGCCCGTACCCCCAGTGAACATCCCAACCCCCACTAAAATGGGTGGTGAATTCACCTACTCCAAAATGGGATCCCATGGGTTTTGAGCTATGGCCGCCACTCGTAGGGCTCCACCCGGTTCGCCTCAGGGCCCAGGCGCGGGCCTAGAAAGCCTGCGGCGCCTGGAGGGCTTCGGGCAGTTCCCGGCGGCGGCTCTGGCGGCGCCTTGGCGTCGGTTTCTGCAAGCAGTCGCTCCCTTGGGGTGACGTTCGGATCGGGGGGGCCTGGTTTGGACCATGTTCCTTTTTGAAGGGACAACTTGTCAGGTTCCATGTGAATTGGTGGGAGGGTAGATGGCCACCAATGTAAAGGGTACAAGCTATATCGTTGATATGTTTTCATATATATACACATACGCCCCAATTTGCCTGGCTTGGGGGTAGTGGAAAAGTATTTTGATGCATTTCGGTTTCTTGGCATGTCGCCCAGCTGGGACACCCCCTCGCTTTGGGGAGCGTGAACCATTAGAAAGAGACCCTTTATCACTGCTTTTGCTATTGTTTGTTTTGCTTTTTTGGGTCATGTGTGAAGGGGGGGCAAAGAAGATCAACGTTGCTGACAGACTGGATGTTGGGAAGGCAATGTGAACTGCTGAAAACCGCTCCCGGTGTGGTTTTGTCCAAGTTCGGTGCTGGGGAAGGAAGAAGCCTTCCCCAGAATGAGTCGGGTAAGATTTCTGAAGGTCCACACTGTGTGCTCGTTCAGAAGCAATCAAATACATATGTACAGTGGGGCATCCCGTTCGGTGCACACGAAAGTCGACCACCGCGCATTTGACTTACACCATCTTACTCCGTGATACAGAGTTATGTTTATAGTATACATATGTAAGAAGTAGGAACACCGCTGCTTTGCAGCATCCTAATTGTTCAATGGCACCCGCTTCGCCACTAGAGTTTGTCAAACCACAAGACTGGTCCGTGTTTCTGCTGCTTGGCAACTAACCACAGAGTAGATGCACGCTTGGCTTGAGGGGGTGTTCTCATCCGGGCGAATCTATGACTGCTGAGGCCTACTTGCTGGCCTGCCTGATGTGCTTGTTCGCCGGATGCCTCAGCCTCCGCTCAGGTTGGCGCCACTCCTTCAAGGGTGGAGTTTGGATGCACGAGACTTAGTCATGAAATATCCCTCGGCGAGTTCAAAGCATTTGTGCAGACTTTGATTCTTGTGGCGGAGATTCCCTGTCATCCGGAAACATCTGCCAATTATTTATCCGGGCATTCTGGCAGTTCCAGCACTAGCACTGTTGCAGGACTAATTACCCCCTAGATGCGAGCAAGATGTTCATTCAATGGATGACCCTTTCCCACGCAGCATTTCCCTAATCCCCGATTTATGAAAACAATTGTTTGGCAAGGCTTGGTTGGATTCGCATGTCCCGAACAGTTGTTATTGATGCTACGCCCTTGCAGCTGTGCAGGAGTTCCTCAAGCCGCAGCTTCTGATTCAAGTGCCACTCGTGGGAGGAAGGTTCAATCCGTTTTGTGGTCGCCCTGCTAAGTAACGGTTCACAGTTCTTCTCGGGAGTGCCTATCTTGCATCACTGCAGGCTCTAAATACTGCAAGTTTATTGGGTCAGTTCCACACATCTGCTCTTTTTTTGGGTTCCTCAGTCCCTTCGTCCGTCCATTTGTCCATGCAATCCAACCACAACCGCTTTGTTTGTTCTGATGAACTTGGCAGCTGCTGCCAGCACCGCCAAGGCAGGACTAGCTTTGGTCTCGCAGACCATGTCGCCATCCACTCAGAGCGGGGATCAAAGGGCGAGATTAATTTGAAGTAAGAAGTAACAGCCACCACGAGCCAAAGTGGTTCAGATTTGCAATCTCGGACCTGGAGACAAGTGTGCGACTCATGGCTGCGGCCAGATTTGAATGGATGGAGGGCCTCTTCCGTAATTTGGGGGGCTCTTGGACCGTGAAAGACCAGGCGTGTAAAGAATCCGCGATGGCAAAGTGCTCGCAAGTGACATGTCACGCGCTTGTGTTTGTCCTCCTTTTCTGACTCTTGCTCGTTCAATTGTGTCAAAAGGTGGTCAAAAACAAGTTTGGGTTCCCGGAATCACTCCTGGAGGGGGCCCAAACAAGTGGCTTTGCGGCATATGGATGTTTTTGTTGAGTGGCCTGTTGCCTGACATCAACCACTCGTCTCAGGGGCGCTCCTGGAAAGGCTTTGGCCCTGCACCCAGTCGACAGTACCCTGCGGACATTCTTTTCACCCATGCTTTGCTTCAAGAAGCCATCCCACCTCCGTTTTGATGAGCCATTTCCGGAAAAAGAAAAAGAGGAGGGACCCCTTGTGAGTAGAATGGACAGAAGTACTGGAACATGTCCTGACCAGTGACATAATTGAAAACCAGCCCTTGCGAACAGGAACCTCCTTTTCGGTGACTGTTTTTCGTGGAGGTAATGTAAGCTTTGCAAGCATTGGCGTGCCAGCATGACTGTTCTCCAGATTGACTCAAAACCTCACTTTATAAAGCTATACTTCGTCACCACTTGACTGTTTCTTGATGGGAGGGCGAGAGACGCTCCCCGAGCCGTGTTACGAGTTGATCACAGACGGCTCCAGATGACCAGCTTCCATGAACCGGAAAAAGCCCACCAGTCGCTCTCAGTAAGTCTTAGTTGCAAGGGTATGTTCTCGTTAGGCACGTTTCAAGCGTTGCATCTAAACGCCTTTGCCAAAGTGTAAAGACACCTGCAACCAGTTGCGCCTACGCTTGCCTGTAACGCTTGCCAGGTGGGATTTATGGGGGCGGGGGGGCGGGTGACGAGAGTGCGTGTGTGTGTGTGTGTGTGTGCGCGCAATCTTTTGGGGGCACCCCCTTCTGAAGGTGTTTGAAGTCCTCCCGTGTGGGTACACTAATGGGAACCACGGATAAATAAAACTGGTTGATTTTAGTTCGGGGCTGCCCCATCCAAAAGAAGCATCACTTGAGCACTACCATGGTTGGAAATCACCGTAAAGTTCCGCGTTTTGTTGCGTTTGCAACTAAATTGACATCCCCTCTCACCCTCTTTCCAACAGTCATGGAAGTGGACATCCCAAATGACAAGTAGTCTTCCAACACCCTCCTGCCAGCTTCCACGATTGGAGGGAGGGCGCAAACAAAGCAGGGGTTCAAAAGGAAGCCATCACCCCTTTCGTGGATCCCCTAAATTCAGAACCTGCTGATCAGGACTGCCCCAGCTGACGTGCAGAATTCCCCCCGCCCCCGGTGTTTGATTTTGTGTATCCCCAGGTGTTTTGAGACCCCAGGAACGGTTCCTGGATCCGCTGTCCCCTGCGGTGTGCTTCGCGCTGCTCTGCGGCGCGGGCTCTGTGGCCGCAGAGCGGGGGCACCCAGAGGGATTCAAACCGCCGGCTTGTTTCTCTGTTTTTTTGGAAAAGAACCCGGGATTTTAAGTCTACCTTGGAGTGACTCACCTCCTGAGTTCCTGGAGAAACTTTTTGGGAAGACCATTTTGGTGGCAAAGATTCAAGTTGGGACTTTTTTTGTTGGCCCATCCACTCATGAAGTGAGACAATGGAACCCTAGGAATGAGTTAGTGTGGTTTCTCGAAGGGTTTATTGCAAAATCGGTTGATTCAAGGCACTTGGCAACGTGTTTTGTGCTATGTTAACAGTTGGTTATGCCTTTATTCTTACGCGGCTTCAAGGTTCTCAGGGATCGAAGTTTGAAGCATCTCAGATTCTCGATTTCTTGGTAGGGGGGGATTGTTGTTTTAGGGTTTAGGGTTGTTTGTTTTTTTTGGGGGTTTTGAAGGACAGTTACTCAGTTGTTGTTCTGCTTTGTTCTTGCAGCGGAGGCGTTTTCGCTTTTAGAGTTTCGGGCCGTTCATGGGCTAGCTAGTGCGCTACGGTAGGCAACTTTTGGCATTGGAGCATTGTGGCTGGGTCGTGGAGGCCGGGGCATGTGCGGGGAAAGATCTTCCGATGTTCCGCCTCTTCCATGGCGTATTTCCATTGTTTTACCACCCCATGTTCCGCATGTCCAGATCTGAGTATGGGTCAAAATTAAACCATCAGGGGACCACAGGGTTTAGTCCATGTTTCCATTTACCAGGGCAACCCATTTTGGGTACCGATTTTTGACCCACGGCCATCTTGGAGTCTGAATCTCAATTCGATTTTCGCTCCCTTCTCAGATTGGCCTTCGCCATTGGCACGGAGGTGCGCTGGGCACAGGTTGGCTGTGGCTCGTGCCTAGTGGGTGTCAGACCTGCAGCTATCAAGTTATCAAGCGAAGAATTCCCACAGCAAGGCTTGGTTGGGGCAGGGTTTGTCATCCAGTACGAGGTGTGTGGGAAAGGGCTTGTCCCACTTCGCTGGAGCTACCAGAAGCCCGAGGGCTGCTCACGGTGGGATACATCAGGTTCGTTGCAAAGTTCGAAGGCATATGATGGCTTTTTGGGGGCTGTCCCAAAGCCAAGCTGTAACTTCATAAATGCAGATGATGTGGTGTCTTTTAAATGGAACTGGTCAGGACTGGTTTATACTTAAAATTGTTTAGCTGGCACACTGAGCCAATGAAAGTGACCGTGTCAACGGAGGGTGGTCATATTTGTCAGATGCTTTCAGGAGTGCATTGAGTTAATGCAGTTAATGTCTTCATGTGGCTCTCATGGCTGGTGGCAGCCTGCCTGCTATTTAGAAGTGGCCAATCAGGATTCCCATGTTTCCATAGGGGTAGTCTCCATACAACTTGGGAGATTCCCCCTTGGGAGTTTCCATAGGTTGCAGTTGGATGTCAAGGGCAGCTCACTTGGAGGTGAGCCACATTTGGTTCAAGAAGCCATTTGGTGGCTTCTTCCGTGTCAGAGCCACGGGCAGTCGTGAGACATGCTGTTTGCTTGCCAGGCAGCCATGCACAACAGCGAAGCACAGTATGGCCAGCGACTCAGGCCCAGAATAAGAGGTCACAGAAGCTGTTGGCTTAAGATCTGGGTGTGTGTTTTGGAGCGTACCCTTTTTCCGCTCGGCTTCAAGTGAAACCAGAAGTAAAGCCACCAGCCACCTTTGGGTTGGGCATGTTTTAACATGTCTCCACATGTGGCAAGCATTTCTCTCAAACACGTTTGGGTTTCCAGGAACTTGAACATTGGCTACAAGCATCGCAGTTCCTGTGGAGATCGACTTGCTGAGCCTGCATGAAGCAGTTGCTTACCTTTTGCCACCCCGTCCGCCCAAATGCTTGAATGATGCGCTGAGGCACCTTCGCGCTGCTCTTGGGCCTGACCCTGCTTCTGCCTGGCTGGCTCGCTGTTCTACGGGTCCAGTTGGATAGAAAGACATCCTCAAAATGCGGCTTGCGGGGAAGAAGTGGCCAATTGAATCATGACCTTCTCGGGCAGACACAAAGAAGCCACAATGTTGGGGTCATGATCAGGTGAGCTACTAGAGGAGCCCATGTTTATGGGCAACTGGCACATTGAGCAACTGACAGATGAGGCACTCGAACAATGACTGGTACTCTATGTTTGGTTTGGGCCCTGGGGACCACATGGTGCACACCATGCCCCATACTCTCTTTGGGAAGCAAGTATTGGGCTCGTGCGTTGGTTCATGATGGTTTCATTTTGGTTTAAAATCGCAAACACAAGCACACGCACGCACAGAAGGACGGACACAAACAAGTCACATAGAACAAGGAGACGGACGGACGTACACACAGACAGACAGGCAGACAGACAAACGATAATCAGACACAAATTCACCGAGAGATAGTAAACACCAAAAAACAACCGACCAACCACGGAAGCAAGGAAAGCAACCAACCAACCAACCAACCAACCAACCAACCAACCAACCAACCAACCAACCAACGAACGAACGAACCAACCAACCAACCAACCAACCAACCAACCAACCAACCAACCAACCAACCAACGAAGCAACCACGCAACCAAGCAACCAAGCTGGCTAATTGGCTGTGAAAGCAAAACAAATAACAAGCTTATCAACTAAGGAACCAGCAGACTAACTCACTAAATCGATGATGCACCACCAGGCAGATGCGCAACCGCCAACAGAGTCTTTCAGACAAGCAATCAGCAAATTTGTTTTGAGAATGCAGCTGATATTTATTCGTGATTCAGCATATGACGTTGTAGACGGTGTTTGGCGTTGTTTGAATTTGCGTGTGTGCATTGCAGCGTTTGTGCGCTAGCGGATGCGACCATGTGTTGATGAACCCGTTGGATCCCCCTATAGGCAATCCATCGCTAAGACCTGGAATGGCTTCTACAGGAATCGCTTTATGGGTTCTTCTTTTGATAAGCGCCAGAGAGATGCGGAATACCATGCTGTGGATCAGGGTCTCAAACCGATGTTTCCAGCGCTGGCCAGGCTGGTAATCAGATGCAGCTGGGGGCTTAGCTGTTTATTTGCATACCTTTTCAGCTTTGTCTTCAAAGGAAATTCGGGACACCGCCCAGTTTGCCCACCCCCCTTGGACTCAAGCCCGCGGCGAAAGGCATTTTGACGTTTCTCGAAACTCAGGGCCTTTTCAGGTGGGGTGGCTCCTTTTGGCTCCCTTTATATAGACACGTCCAAAAAAGCTTTCCATGTTTTTGACAGGCTCATTCAGATTGTGCTGGTTAATTGTTTCGCATCTCCGAGTTTGTTTCGGTGGCTCGTCACTGCCCAGACTTGGCCTTCTGTTAGTCACCTCTTGCCTGTTGCGTTGCATGCTGGAGGATGTTGCTGTTACATGTCTTGCAGTTGCCGGTTTTTGCTCCACCATCTCCACTGTCGATTTGAGGTCAGCAATGCTTCCAGAGCCTCCAGGCGCCTTTGGCCAAGTTCGCCCCTTTGCTCTTCGGCTCCGCTAGCGCCTTTCGGGTCCTCCAGGCCGGATCTGTGCTCGGGGATTGGGGATTCGACCGTGGCTCCAGGCACTCGTTTTGGTGGCTGGCGTTTCTTTCCCCAAGTCACTCACGACTAGTCAGGTTTGGGGCGCTTTGTTTGTTGAACCTTCTTTCAAAATCACGGAATGAAACATTTTGGCCGACTGAAATGCGGTTGGCAGGCTCCTTGACACTGGACAAAGGCAGCCTGCATGAATTTCTTTAGGTGAGCAGTTTGAAACAAACATTATTTTCAGTAGCCGTGCCCTTTATAGCTGTTGGTGGTTCAATCCCTGGACTGCCGCCTTGTGTGTGTGTGTGTTTTGTTTGTTTCTGGTTCCATGGGGGCTTTTAATACCCAATCCGGTCCAGTGTCTTCGGGGTACGATTTCAGTTTTGAGGGTTCAGGTTATTTTGGTTATTCGGGTTATTTAGGTTATTTGGCGAGGGCCCTAAATCCGCTTGCTTGCATGTTTTGTGTCAACCTCATGCAAGGGGATGGATTGGGACTGTAAATATTTGCGCAGTCAGTTCCAGGCTCACTGGTCCCAAGCTGACCTTGTGTTCCGAATCATTGGCAAGAGTCATGATTCCAAACGGGCACCCTGTGATTTCCTGGCTGCCGCATGGTTCATGATCTTAATCTTCTCTCAGGTCCATCTCTCGGCTTACCAAATTTCATTGGGCGGCCACTAGGGACCTGAAGGCCCCTTTATCGCGTGGAAGCTGGTTTTTTGGATTGCCATGTTCTGTGATACCAGGCAAATCACGCCAATAAGTGGTGCAGGTTTGCCTCATGTGCAACGCTTGAGTTCAGGGCAAAGTCTACATAAAGTGAGGGTTTTCGGTTGGCATGGCCTGCTAGGTCGTTTGGAGCTAGCAGTGATTCGTCCATTGACCCTCAAAAATATTTACATGTTTTTGCTCATAATTGTTTCTCTTGCAAGAGGGGGGCTGTAACCGAAACTGTCGAAGGGTACTCCCCCGTTTCCAGGTCACTTTTGAAGTGCGCTTGAGGCTGCAAGATGTCCCAACTCCTCGGCATTTCTGAGAAGGGGACCCACTCAGATGCCATGAGAGCCTTCCACGGCAGGCCCAGCTGCTCTTCCGAAACGTCTCACGCCGGCAGGCTGGGCCCATTTCAAAGAAATGGACCGCTTCTGATTGCACAAGTCCACTGGCTTGATGAACGACGTGCGAATGTGCTTACCTTCCGATATCACACTTCTTCGCATTGACACCCTATTGCAAACTTATGAGCCGTGTTGCCATGTGAGTTCATTCAATCCATCCTCGCTGACTACCTTTCCGAGTTTGCTGCTGGATGGCAACGGGAAGTTCGGACGTGAACCTGACCCCATGATTGAGCTAAAGAGAAGCATCCGGCTGAAAGAACGCGCTGCCTACCCCCCTTTGGAGAAAAGGGGTATGAACAACAGCCTCGTTGTGCAAGTTCCCCTCGGTTCGGGTCCGCGCGTCGCGAATCGCTTCGCCGGCCCAAGCGCCTAGGAGATTGCTGGGCTTCCGTCCCCCCACGTGTGCGTGGCAGGCTGGAGCCGCAACCAGTTCGGTGGCACACTTTTGGGTCCACTAAAAATGGTCAAAGCCAAATATGAAATGGTCCCCTTTTTTTGGCAAGGCTGGCCTGGACTTGGGGCGTCGACGTCTATCAACCGCCCCACACATCTGAAATGGGAGTGCCATGACAAAAAGGAAGGACTCAAGGCAGCGCTACATGGTGCTACTGGTACTTTTAAAGAGCTTCTTTCCCGAGTAAACACATACTCTGGAGGTTTTTCAGGCTTGGTGAGGACACACTGTCCTACCGCTCTGGGTGGTCGGACCTGGGCCTGGGACATGCAAGCTGTTTCGGCTAGGGATTCAACCCCTTTCCCCGCGTATAATTATAAGGGGTTTGAGGATGTCACTTTACCGGACCGTCTTCACTGGGCTGAGAGAGCTATTTTCGCGGGAAACAAAAGCTTCGGTCCTCTCGCCCGTTTGGAGCGCGCCAGGCGCGGCACTGCTCCTCATCTCGATGCTTTTGGTCAGCTATCAGCTGGCAGCCGCCTGAGATAGGTTGATGCAACCAGCAAATCGATTGAGCAATTGGAAGCGTATTGCTGGTTGGAGGAGAGGGGGGGGGGCAATCAGCGTCGACCACCATTTTCCCAGTCAGGGGCTGGTGCCCAAGTTGGGGCTGATTTTAAGAGGAAGCCAAGGCTCAACCACCATCTAGGGTTAGGGGTCTCCAGGTGTAAGATTCACATGGGGAACCTCAGGCGAATGAAAGGGCATAACTAAGATATAGTTCACATGTGCGAATAGACTTGCTTCCCAGGCTTCCCAAGGGATGATCATGGAGCTACGGTCAAGAGTAGCAGTTGTGGGCCATGACAGTCTGGAACGTTGCGGTTTAAAAACAGGCCACTGTTTGAAGCACAACTGTTGAAACGCACGCACGGAGTTGGCTGGCCAGACTCGGATACAAGGCCTCGCTGCCCCTTCTTACCCTCCTCAAAATTTGTCATAGCAACAAGTTATCTACCTCATACCATTTGAGGGTATAGCACTTCTATGATGACACTTGTTTGACCTCCCAGCGGAGACCTATGACCACGCAACAAGCGCGTGGACTTGGTGGGTTGCATGTTTGCACTTTGAATGCAAAGGGGCGTGAGATGCAAGGTTTCTTTTATTTGACCAACTTCGAGGTCAGTTGACAGGCTCTGCTTATTGTAAACGCTGCGCGTTGCCCGCCTCAGCCCAGCCGAGCACGCAGCGTCTGTGGTTCGACTGCAAGCAGCAGAGCTGGTCAAGTAGCGATTCAGGCATGGACAGGTTCTGGCGTCGTTGGACCAATTGATGTCATGGGCCCGCAGCGCAAGGGCAATGCGATGCACAGGACCAGGAGTGAGTCATGGAGCCAGCAGACGGGGCGGGCTGGGCTGGGCCTGAAGCGAGTCTCAGTGTCTGTGAGGCTAGGCTAGTCTCAACATGTGAGTCTATTTTTAGACATGCCAGGTTGAGACAAGGCTGGTTTGCTCCTGGAGCCTGACTGGGCGGACTGGGCTGAGCCTTGCTTGGGTAGGTTGGTGGTCGGTCTGGGCTGTGAGGCAAGTCTCAGACACGCCGAATCCAAAGAAAGGCACTTGTGATTCTCAGAAGGTGGTTGAGACGTTCAATTCCCAGGAACTTGCTCAGCATTCCGCGCGGTCCCAACGCCAGGACGGGGAAGGATTGTCGGTTTGATTCCTCGAGTAGAGGTAAGCTATGGACGAGTGAACAGGCCGTGGCTTTTTTCGATTCCATTCAGGCCAGCACTGCCCGCTTTCAACTTAATGCACCCTTCAGGAGGCTTTTCAAGATGGTAGTCTTTCGGCGCCCTGGTGAGCACTTCCAAGATTATGGTTGGGAGGCAACCTCACCCAACAATTGACCACCTATTTTCAAGCCATGTAGTAAGCCGCAACCATGGCAAGGGAACCATGACCCGTTCAGCAAGCATCCTTTGCAGGCCACACGAAACTGCGCCCGCCAGGAGGAGGCCACTGAAACCCTGGAGAGCAAGGAGTCGAGCCCAGTGGCTGGACTCAAAGTTCAAAAACTTAGCGGCCCCAAGTCCTGAAGATCCATTGACAAGTGAAATGCGGGAGTTGTATTTCGCCATGAAACGTCGCACAGCCCACAAAAGCTGGACCAGAGCATGATGTTCAGAAGTTGCCACTCAGGTACACTTTGAAGCGAAGCCTTCACGGGAGTCCAGGCAAGCGCCGATTTGGTTGGAGTTTCAGGCCTGGCGGCACCACCAAGGAAGTACAAGGCCGTTGGCAGTCCACTGGTTTATCACCTATTTAACTTGGTGTCACGCAAGATGCGTTGCTTACATACGTGCGATGTATGCTCTATGTGTTTACATCTATGTACATGTACAGATGTATATAGCTTTGCTTGCCAATGTATTTCTATGTAAGCTATCAAGACATACAGTTAAACTTGGCTGATGGTATGGCTTTGCCATTTTGCATAGCTATTTGGGTCTTTGTGTTTGCGGGGTTACTCAGACAAAGGAGCGCTTGAACCTGGACAGTTACATGGGACATGCTCGCGCCAAGGTTGAGAACGTGATGCCCGTTTTGGGGCCTTCGGGGGGAATGAAGCGATTCCTCAGCAACGCATGGAAAGGGGTGCCTCATGGTTTGCCAGCGGACGGGGGTCAGATGGTATCAGACTGGTTGGCCCAAGGGCTTCGGTTTTTCCGAGGCTGCATAGAGGGCGATCCTTGTTGGACTCCCCCAAGCTGCAAAAATGCATGGCTTCCCCAAACTCTTGTGGAGCTTTGCCTTTTTTGTGACACAAGAGATGGCACACAAAGGTCCGCTCCCTCTAGGGACCACTTTGAGAAACACTGTCTCCCGGCCTAGTCCGGGCACGAAGGGAAACCAGACATCCAGTGCCAGGTTGGAGGATAGCTGCACCTGGCTGCAGTCAAGCTGGTGGCACAAAGGCACTCGCTTGGCTGAGGGCCAAAACGTGTTGGATACCTTTGGCGGTGCGCGCCACGTGTTTTTGGTTGGAGGATATTGTTATATATATACCTATACATTTATATATATATAGATATATTTATATATTAATATTTGCTTTATTGTATCAAATGCACACGCACACACACTCACACACACGCACGCATGTCCCAGACCTCCAGTGTTGCCACCCCTTGTCCTTTTTTTGGAGGGATTCCCCGTTTTCTAGCTCCGCTTTTGCTTCACGAAGATATTAGCGTCTACAAGCATTGGAGCACGGCGGCATGTCCCCGCTGTTTGAGGACCAGTCCATATGTAGCTATTGTTGTTGCTTCTGCGCTTGAATTAATGCCTGGCGTTGTGAAGCGTGCAAAGGCACTCGGATGTTCTCCAAGTGAATGGGTCAGCTGAATGGGGGGCGCCACAGAAAAAGCGTGGCAATTTAATATTCTCATAGTGGTGTTGGTGTTACATACATATATCATCTCACAAGCTAAGTCCTGGTTGGCTCTGATGTATATACCGATGTTTTGTGCAGCTCATGTCGTGGCTTATGCGTTGTAGCTCATTTTTGAGCTATGAGAGTTGCTGAATTGCTTCGGAGGCTGGCAGTGGCTGGGGGTCATCGTTTGTGCGGTGTCCTACTACATGGGCATCACCCGAGCGCTTTTTCTGATCACCCCGCCGGCGAGGGTACTCAGTTGAAAGAATCCGTGTCCGAAGGAGCTTGGGGATCCGTTGCCCTTTTTGGACAAGACAAATGGAACTGGGGGACCCTGCAAAGCCCCTTCCCCCCTTCCCCTACCTTACGGGGGGGATCAGGGAGGTAATGACCAGTCGGACTTGCATTTGTTTCCAGAGTCGTGTAGGCCCTGTTTGGCAAACAAAGGCATTGGCATGTGTGTGTGTGTGTGCTTGTGTTTGTGTTTTGAGTTTGTGTTTGTTTGTGTTTGTGTTTGTGTTTGTGTTTGTGTTTGTGTTTGTGTTTGTGTGTGTGTTTGTGTGCGTGCGTGCGTGGGTGCGTGCGTGCGTGTGTGCGTATGTTTGTTTGAAGGTACCTTTTTGGGGTGACTTCAAAGAGGAACCAAAGGGAACCCAATCACTTTGGGGTCTAATTTGGCACATCGCCGCATGAAGCGCCGCTCAGTGAGGCTCAGTGCATGTTTTGTTTTTTCTCTTGCGGGAGGCAGTTGTTGCGTTTTGAGAACACCAGCGCAGAGCAAGCAAAACCTATGGCTTCCCTTGACACCCCTTTCTTGTACGGTTGGTGTCCCTCTAAACTAAACCAACCAAGAACTGGCCACAAGGCTCATGATCCGGATCACGTGGTCTGCCAAAGCGAGGCTGTTCTGGCCACGGCGCCTGCGGTGGAGAGGTGGGAGCCTGAGGAACGCCCGGACGAGCCGAGACGCACTACCCACAGGACAAAGTGGCGCACCTACCTTCCCAAAGAGACAAACATGGAACCTGAAAGGGTCTTTGTTTTGGCAGGCTGAAACGTTAAGCTGGTTGGTGTCTTCATCATGTTGGGCAAGGCCCGAAACCAAAACTTGGCGAGTAGAGTTGGCAATGAGAGCGAGCTGAGCTCACCGGGCGGAAAAGGCGATCGTAGCCATGAAGCTTTTTTGTTTAACTAGCGGATCCCGTGTTTCCGGCTGGTCAACAGGTGCAATTTGTTTGGCACAGGTTGTTTGCATGTGTTGCCACATTTGCTGGGGAAGCCGGATGGCGGAAACACATGCGCCACTACACTAGAATTGAGATGCCGCATTTGTGAACTTGTCCATCAATCCAGCCAGGCAGCGCACTCAACTCGGTATTAATTTTGTTGACTAATCAGTGAAGAATGGATGCGTTCTGAAATGTAGCTTGCATTACTTCCTCCACCTATACGCTTTATTCAAGGACTTCCTGGTCAACAAATTCAATGGATTTCCCTGAGCTGTGGTGATGTTCTCTGTCGCCTTTTGTTTCAATGATGCAACCAAGGGCCCCATGTATTGACAGGTGCCTAGCGTTTCCGTTTCCACTCCATTGGCAAACACAGCCACACACACACAGAGACGGAGACACACACACACACACAGCCACACTCACGCAAGCACCCACGCCCAAACCCGCACCAACACGCACACGGAAACGCAGATACACACAGGGGATCACAGGGGCACAGACACACACACACACACACATAATATGCAGATGCACACACACACATACTGTGGCACACCACCCACTCCCCCAGCCAGCCAGCCACCCACCCGCCTGCCCGCCCGCCCATTCACGGAAACTTGGGCATTGTCTTTGGATTCGGTTTGGGGTTGGGAGACGGGGCCCCGGAAGAAGTTTGACTTTAGTTATTGGCAATGCTTTTCCCAGTTGTGCTGTGTGCACTGGACGGTCCAGTTGCTTTCTCACTGAAGAGCAGCAACACCAAAGGATTTTCCTTGTTTTCTGGGAAAATCTACTGACAGTGTCCTCCGAGACATTCAGACTTTGAACCACGCCTTTCTGGCAGAAAGATGGCGTATGCTGCTTTGTTATAACGCAGCCTGCTTGGATTCGATTCCGATCATTTCCTGCCCTGCAGGTCGACATGGTTGATACTTCTGGTTAGGTTTTACTAATACACCGCCCCTGCTGCTCCTGAGCCTTTACTTGCAAGGTGTAAGCACCGATTGTGCAAGAGCCGCAACATGGCGAAGGGGCTGAATGTGTCTACTAGCCTCAAAAAAGTGACACTCATGCATGGAGCGTTAGCCTTTGCTCGAGTCAGTTCCGTTTGGTTGCTATGAGGTCCAACATTCAGCTGATCGTCTACCTTGGCAAAGTGGGCATGCCGTTGGCCTCCCTCATGGTGCGCCAAGGGATGCCGGGTTTGGTCAAGCTTGCTGAGATTTTGTTTCGCCAAGAGAGGCTGATGAAACACTCCCAGGGGAGCAGCTCTAACCCCATCTCCCTTTACATGCCAAGCAAGAGTGGTGTCATGGGAAGTCGCCGCACAAGAGAAGCCCTACAAGGCGTAAGCAGGCAGAAGCACTTTTTGGAAGCTCATGCTGCGTGAGCGCCCTCGTAAGCTCTACTTCGTGACTGCTTGGGGCTTAGCCGCTCAGTGCCCGCTCGCCCACGCCATGCCGCAAATGCCGATCCTTGACCTGCGGCGAGGCAACACAAACTCAGAGGCAAAGTAAGTTATCAGCCAAATCGAAAGCGCTGCAGGCCCCGAACAAGAACAACAGAGCCAAGTTGATCCGCCTGAGAGCAGTTCTTCATCAACGTATTCCTACTCAGAGTCATGCATGTTGGTTATCTTGAACAGCGGCGGCTGTAGGCCGCGCAAACAGTTCTTGAAGGGCAAGCGTAAGCTTGACATGCTCGCTGACTGCCTCGTAAGCTAAAACATGGGTCGCGTAAGCAATGCGCTAGCTCGCGCGTAAGCAACTGCTCAACGACAAAGTTGCTTCACGCCAGCGAAGCTGGTCATGGACCCCTTCCAAGGGTAAGGGGACCATGGCCATGTCCGATATACCAACTTTTTGCCGGCACATGTGAGGTAGCTTCCGGAACTGTAACATATATACATATATATTATCTTCACCACTGGCATCGCAGCCGAAGGTGTTGGTTTTCTCAGTCATCATCCCAGTCTTCAAGTTTGCCGGGCCCTCAGGATCGGCCAACGTGCATTGAGTGCCTGGTTGCCGAAATTCCTCAAAGCACCAGATGGATGCTTCAAGTACTCCCCTGGTAGCGTGCCTCGAAAAGCGCATGTTAGTTGGGCTTCCGTGAGATCCTATGGCGGACCGTTTTCCCAAAGTGCACTTGGCAACTTCAACAGGCCTATGAGAGAGACAGGTAAGATTCGGGTGCCATTGTTGGAAGAAATGTGCCAGATGATTGGCTTTGTGCTGGGCTTAGGCAACGACCTTCCTGGTCATGCATCCGCCATCTTTCGTGACAAGGGAGCAGCATGCAAAGCGCGGCACCTCAAAGTGGCCAGGAGATGATTCGATATCAAAACAAAGGATTTCTGGATGCTAAACCTGCTAAGCAGCCAGATATTGAATTGCTCGAGCCCCCCTAGTTGGCAGTTGCAGTGCTTTTTGAACGGCTCGCAAGGTTCCGGTCATTCGGTGCTTGACGGCCGGCTGGGCCAACAGATGGGGAAGCCCGTTGTTCAGCAGCACCCTGTAAATCCCTTTGGCTTGGTGGGTTCTCATCAAAAATCGTCGACCCCCCCGAAAGGATCCCCCTTTCTCCGCTATCGCAGAAAACAAATCAGCACGCCTCTCAGGGTTAATTTGCCTTTTCTGTTTGTTTTCAGCGTGGCGGCTTTGAGCAAGAGTTCATGTGGACAAAGGTATGCCCCCAGAATTTTGGGGTGTTTTGCTGGCCGCCCGGTTCATTAAGGGTGATGCCACATCTCCTGGGTTTGCCCGCTTTTTCAGTTCTATTGAAGCACGGGTGGACAAGGTGACACCGGCAAATATCCTTTCTGCTTCGGGGGCAGGCATCCTTGTTTCTCCAGTGCATCCTCGGTGTTTTGCCTGTTATGCGGGCTGCGGGACGCTGATGCGCCTGAAAAATGGCAGAAGCCCCCGCTGACTGCCGACATGCGTGCACTCTCCCGTGAGACGCAGCATATTTGGCATATTTCTTCCCAATCCATACCCGCAATCCACACCTATCAATCACAACAAGTGGTGTGTGTTTTGTTTGCTTGCTCGCTTGCTCGCTTGTTTGTGTGTTTGTTTGCTGTGGGTGCTTTGTGGGCGAAGCTTTTGAGTCCCCAGCCCCAGGTTTTGCCAGCTCCTGTGCGCATGGAGCTCAGCTGCACGCACAGTATGCTTGAAGATGTGGGTCTAGGTGAGTTGCAGACTCTGACCCCCTGAGCTCTGGACGGTTCAGGGGGTCCACTCGAGGGGAATCTTTAGAGTCTTCTGGTGTGTTTCAGAATCCTCCCCAGTTTTTTAACATGGAAGACCATGTCAGTGGAATCCACTCAGCAGGTGACGAATCCATGGGGATCACAGATGTGGTTGGCCTTTTGCAAAGTGGGAGTTGCGGGTTACCCCATTGTTGAGCCACAGCCTCTTGAGCGCGTGTGGGTGAATTTGCCAGTTTAATGCTTGGTAACACCTGGTATATGCGTGCACATGTAATGACATACATATTAGGTTTGTTTGGTTTTGCTTAGCAGGAACGATTCAAACCCAACTTGGGGGATCGATGATTGCGTCTTTCTTGCTGTCTTGGAATGTTCTAGCGAAGCCACTCAAGGACATGGCGTTTAGACTCGCATGTTAGTCGCCTTCGCGAGTGAAGCGGGGACAGGGCCAGGGTGTTCCAAAAGCTGCGATCATTCCATGAGGTTTGTTCTGCTAGAAGGATGGTGCTTGTGGATATGGGGGAAGTAATTATTTGAGCGGGCACGTTACCCACGCTTTCCCCAGAAAGCGATCGGGATGAATTTGAGCAGGGCGATAGGTAGATTCCGATGGAGCCGGTGCAGCCGAGGCGTTATCTCCATACCAGCCTTGAGCCGAGTTTGGCGAGTTCCAGCAGTAGGGAGCCAGAAATGGGGAGACCCACGGGGGCTTCCCCAACACTAGCCTTTCTAGAGGCGCGGGCGGGTAGCCTTGGAGGCAGTGCACGGGTACCATGGTTTCAGGTAGGCTCCTTTGGTCTTTGACTTGCGACTTTGCGGAAAGGTCGGGCGCGGCTACGGCCAGTGAAGTACTGGGAACAGCTAGGGTCATGGGGCTGCGCAGGGGCCAGTGGGCCAGGGTCCCCCCAAAAAATATATTTGACCTTATGGCTTACAGGTGAGGCAATGTGACCAATTTCGGCATAGGCAGCTTTGGCGCCTCGGGCCGATTGCTACACATTTGAGGTTCTCAAAACCGCTTCCATTCGCACAAAATGGACGATCTCTCTTTTGCTGCGCTTTTTAGAACCAAGTGGCACACTCATATTTGAACCTTTTGCATGCTTGCCGCTGTCCAGAAGGGAGATGCAGCTTTGCTCAGGATGTCAGACATCTTCTTGGTGATGCTGATCTTGGCATACTTGAATACAGGCACTTTGCCGACTTTTGACTGGGTCGATTGAAGTGACATCCTCAAAATGATCCTTTAGTTGGAAGCTTGAAGGAACGCAACCCTGAAGAGCAATTTTGAGAACCCTGAAACTTGTTCGCTTCCATGGACCCAGTTTGAGGCCAACAGGGGCCTACGTAACCAGGTTGATCCCTTTTCCTCTCACCAGCGGTTTGTTTGTGTCGCGTTCCGAGATGCAGTACGCAGATTGGCGAGTTCCCTGGAAGCCCATTTCAGAGCCTGGCCCCTGCCCACCAGAGCCCAACATTCAGTGTCCGGTATCCAGCAGCAAGATGTTCCGCGAATTCAAGGGACTTGCTGATAGGATTGGGACCCCGAAGCACCTACGTGCCTGCCCCTGCGGCAAGGCTTCGCCGGTAGCGGCGATCATTCAGGCCCGGCTGCATGGCCGGCGGAAGCTCGCGAACTAGGTAGGACAGGATTCCCAACCTCCCCCTACTCCGGACCCCAAGTGATTTTGTAGGTCGTTTTAGGCCTTAGGTCTGTTGGATGTAGGCGGATTTATTGGTCCTGTTGGCGAATCCACCCGCCGTGGCCTTCCCTACGGTAGCATGAACATATTCTGCGAGCATGTTTGTGACTAAATCTAGTATTGACGCTGTGGCTGCCCTCCTGCGCTGTTGGGAGGCACTTGTCTTTGCTCCGCCCCGTCCCATCTCCTTGGCTTCCTAAAATGCCTTGTCCAGGCTATGAATGCACCCTGTGCAGCGGCTTCAAGTCCTTCTTCTTCTATTGCTCCGTGTCCGTGCTTGTTGCCCAGATCCTTGAAATCGAGCACGCTGAGGCCAGGAATTGCCAAGACAAAGTGACAAGTCAGTCAGCTGCTCAGGGCTGACCCTTCGAACATGGGGGGAAGTTGGCCAAACTTGTGAGTTGCGGATGATTGCTTCCAGGGACTGTGGGAGACTGGACAATGTACCTTTCAGTAGCAAGAATAGGAAAGGTTTGTGAACTCACTTCAAGGATTATCGTGAATCCCTGATTTTCTCAGCTATCCCGCATGTGACCTCTCCGATCAAATTTGAACTGGTGTTTGCGCTCGCCTTTGCTCACGAGTTGCCTCGACTACTCAGGTGTGCAGTGGCACTCGTTCTCTCTTTTGCTTGGAACATTTTGCACTGGGCATGGTCAACGCGAAGACGTGGCTACCCTTTTTATCATTGTTTGCAACTGGGCCTAGATTTCCAACAGCACCCTTAGCAGTTGCCAGCGCCACACAGGCGCTGGAAGAAGCGTCGGCAGCTCGAGTAGGCACGGCTTTGAACTGAACCGGTCGAAATGGGCAAGGCGGCTGGGGTTCCTTGCGTTGCCCTTACAAACATCCCTCCGCCTAAAAGAAACTTCCCTGAACCTGGCGTAAGCGGCGATGCTGAGAGATCTTCAACGGAGGAATAACAGGAGCCCTTGGTTGTTATCCGGGGGTGCGCGTGACTGAACAGTCCAATCTTGTGAGCGTGCAAAGCATGCCGTGAGACAGTGTTCGTCAACCCGAGGGCCTCTTGTTTTGCGAGCTGCCAAAAGCCAAGGCTCTAAATTGGGTCAATTCCACCCTCATGTTGGCTGACTATTCAAAGAGCACCCGGAAGGGCTCCCATGGGTTCCCAGATTTGCCCGAGCTTCGCTGGTCTCTTTGAGGCGACGATGGCAGCATGCTGCCAGTGAGCAGCGAGGCCCCATTCCCGCAGGCCAGGGGACGATGGAGTGAGTGAATGGGTAGGTGGGCAAGTGGTTGGTTTGGCTGGTGGGTGGGTGGTGGGTGCCAAGTAAACTGATGTTTTAATATCTTTCAGTCTGACCGGGAAAGTGCGCGAGCGTACGCTACATTGGTTCCCATTAACCAGTTGTTCGCTTGTCTCTTGTGTTTCGAACGCCCTGTTTGGCAATTGAAAGCGCAATGTGTTGCGCGTGTGGTTTTTCAATGTGTGTACCTTCATTCCGGCGACAACATGCGCAGCAAAGGAGTGCGCTCTGATCCAGGGCGGTCTAGGATCTGGACCTGCTGAGCTGGGGAATGCTCTTGGCCCGAGATAAGAGTTATGACACCCTGGGAGCGACAAATCTCTACACATTGTTTATGCCCCAATCGACCTACTGGTTAGGCCTGTCCAACGCTCAACTGATGGGAGACCACGCGCAGCCATGAGCCACGCGAGCCTCCAATTTGCCAAGCCAATTGTGGCCCAGTGTGGCCAAGGATATCGCTGCACAAGATATCAACAACTTCTAAATCCCAAAGCCGATGAAGAAGTGGACACACATATACTTTATAGGGATTGGTGGCATTGGGATGAGTGCGCTTGCCCGTTGGGCTAAGCACATAGGCAAAGACGTAGCTGGCTATGACCGGGTATCGACACCTTTGACCCAACGATTGGAGCAGGAAGGCATGGCTGTACATTACGCAGATGATTGGGCGCAAGTTCCAGAAGGCTTTACGCATCCAGAAAATACACTGGTCATCATCACGCCAGCGATCCCTCAGCTCCACAGCGAGTGGAAGCATTTCCAAGGACAAGGCTTCACCATCATGAAGCGCTCAGAACTGCTTGGGCAGATTTCGCAAGACTACTCTACCATCGCTGTAGCTGGCACACATGGCAAGACCTCGACCTGTTCGCTGGTGGCCTATATGCTCCGCAAAATGAACCGAAGCTTTGTGGCATTCCTTGGAGGCATCGCCAAAAACTTCGATTCCAACTTTGTGATCCATGACGGCGAAGGCGAAACCATTGCTGTGGTGGAAGCTGACGAGTTTGACCGCTCCTTCCTCAAGCTGCACCCCAACATTGCGGTCATCACGGCAGTAGAAGCAGATCACTTGGACACCTATGGCACGGAAGCAAACCTGGTCTCTGCATTTGCGCAGTTCGTTGGACAGATCACTGCTTCAGGTGGAGTGGTCATTGCACAAGAAGCCATTAAAGGATTGAGCAACACGGCTTCCTACGGCATCCAGCATGGCGACTTTAGGCTTGATGTTGAAAAGCTGGAAAGTGGTATCACGTTTTTCAGCTTCTACCACAAGCAGGAAAAGCGATTGCAATCAACGATTTCACTCTTCGGGCTGCACAACATGGAGAATCTGTGTGGGGCATTAAGCGCGATCAGTTCCGCTGACCAAGCTGGTCTCCCCATGCTGGATGATTTGACAGGCTACAAGGCTGTCAAGCGCCGGATGGAGAAACATGTGGACACTCCTGGTTTGATTTACATCGACGATTACGCGCATCATCCGACTGAAATTGACGCGCTGGTCGACGCGGTAAAGACAGCCTATGAAGGCTGGAGGATACATGCGATCTTCCAGCCACATCTCTTCTCACGCACGCGCGAGTTCCAAGAAGCGTTTGGCAAATCCCTAAGCAAGGCTGATTCCGTGAGGCTTTTACCAATCTATCCAGCGCGCGAAGAACCTATGGAGGGCGTGGATTCGACCTTGATCTTGAATAAGGTCACTACGACTGACCGCGCCATCATGGACAAGGCCGAAGTGCTTGCATACGTCGATGCCATCCAGCAAGGCGTCATCCTGACGGTAGGTGCTGGCGACATCGACCAGTGCGTCCAACCCATTGTTCAATCTTTAAACCAGAGGCCATGAAGATCCTCAACCAATATGTAAATATCAGGCTTCGGGGCGTGGCAGCCGCCATCGTTTTGCTCCAGTCCTCGGAGCGCCGTCTTTGCCGTGACGATCAATGTCAGTCTCAGTGGTGATCAAGAAGTATTGTTTCTGAGGCCACGGTCGTTGAAAAGATCAAAGCCAACAGTGAAATGGATTCTGGTGGGGTCAGGCCAGGGCGGATACCGGAAAACTGGAGAAAGAGATACTGCGCTGGGACTGTATCAAAAGCAGAGAGGTATCGCTTGATACCTCAGCAAGCCCAACCGTTGATTTCGTCGGGGCGCCGTTGGTCCGGGTGATAGGGAGGGCAGGCAAGGGCCTTTATCTGAACAAAGCGGCGAATCTGATCCCACGTATTTGAAGTGATCCAGTATACCAGCAATGACCCGTTGTGGAGCAGGTGCGACGCTCCAATATATTATGTTCCATTCCCGTAAAGGTACGTTACATTTCACTACAAAATGCCATGGAACCCGAATCCCCCTTCCCAGGGTGACCCGACATGGTTCTGTTTACTAAGGCCTTAGCAACGGCTGGCTCCGCAAGTTGACGTGCAGCCTTACTAAGTGAAACCATGCACCTTGTCTCAGTTCAGTTCCAATCATCTACCAGAGCCCAGTGCCACAGACTTCGAAAAGCACGCCGCATAGGGCGACCTGCAAGCTGAAAACGCGTCCGTGCAGGAGGGAACTGATCTTCCAGAGGCCTCATTCAGGTTCCACATTTGTTTTTGAGAGGGCAACATAGTGTTGCAGTGAATCAAGGGGGGAGTTGTCCGTGCAGAGAGGCCGCCAGCTACGACCGCCCGGGCATCTATGCAATTATTCGTCGGGCGGCGGTGGTGCCAACGGCTGGGCCCCCGGAAACGGCACCTGTGAAACACCAATTTGTTAAAAAAGGGAATCCTGTTCGTGTCGACTCAGATGAGGTTTCCCTGATTTTGGCGTCCCCAGAAAGTGGTTGCTTATTGGGGGGGGGCCGCATGCCCTGGTTTGCATCGTGTTCGCTGGAGAAGCTATCTTTGTTTTGTGGCACCCTCTGTGGGAAGCATCAAGGGATCCAACCCCCTCGCCTACTCCCCCCGGAAAGCACAAAAAGTACACCCAGAGTATCCCAGAGTCCTTCCATTTGTTTTCCAAAGAGGGCGAGCAAAGGTAAACTTTGAAGGGATGGACAACTTCCATTTTAGTCAAACCGCCCCCAATTTGCCATCCAGTTTGTGGCGCTGCGGCAGATCAGCCGCTTATGCGGATTGGGTAGCATGGGGTTCTATGGCAATGCGAGGGTTGTGGGATAAAGCTTAGGCATGCTGGGCCGGGTCGAAACCGAGAGACGCTTTTCGTTTTCGCCGTAGGTGCACCTCTCTGGCACCAAAGAGATCAGCTGCGTGCTGAAGGTGGGGGGGGGGGGATAGCAACACCTCCAATCAAGCGAATGGCTGCTGTGGGCGGCACGGGTGTGTTTGTGTGTATGTGTGGGTTGGTGTGTTTGTGTTTGTGTATATTTGGTTGTTTGTTTGTTTGTTTGTTGTTTGTTTGTTTGTTTGTTTGTTTGTTTGTTTGTTTGTTTGTTTGTTTGTTTGTTTGCTTGCTTTTTTGTTAGGTTGGTTGGTTGATTGGTTGATTGATTGGTTGGTTGGTTGGTTGGTTGGTTGGTTGGTTGGTTGTATTTGTTTGTTGGGTTGTTTGGTTGCTTGCAGACTCCCATACTGGGGACTTTTTTGTGTCCAGGAGGCACTGGGTCTTCCGCCCTGCCTTAGGCGGGTGACCTGGTTGAAGTGCTGGAGGTGGCCCAAAATCCGGGCGAGCAGAGGCCAGCACTGCGCGCGGCAGGAGGGAAGGTGCGAGGCTGGCGTTGTTTTTGTTTGCGGCACGGACAAATTTACAAAGGGTTAATATCGCGCCCCAGATGCCAATGTTTGCCATGGTAGGGGAGGGGCATCCTTTGATCATCATAAAGTTTGAAGTTCTGTCATAGCATAGACAAGCTCCCAGGATCCATCCTTGATAGAATGCACGCGAAGCAACCCAAGCAAGCAGTGAACAGTGAGGCCTCAGACCTTCAAAGCAACTGGAGAAGGCCTCAACGACTGTAATGGCCACGGCGAGGCGGCCAGCCTGCTGTGTGCAAGCTGAACATAGCTCATAGATTGCCATTCATGTCCAGGGGCCCAAAGTTGTGCAATACATTTGCACAACTTCACTTGGCGCCAGGGTGCGCGGGCGCATCGCAAACCCTCCAGGCACGGGGCATGTTGCGTTGGTTCACTGAGCAGCCAATGCTCGGCATTCAAAATTTGGTATTGCCTTGCCAACTGCAGAGGCAATGAAAAATAGCGCGTTCGTTCCGAGGCGGGTGGGGTATGATGTGAACCCGCAACAAACAAGGAGGTATTACTATGTATTAATAAAGGTATTTATTACCTTGCAAAACCTTGGCTTTGTAGACCATGCCCTTGACGAACGTGGGTAATTGGGGTACGGGTGCCGGAAGCTATGACGCCGCGTTGGTGGGTAGCAACCTCAGCCACTTTGTGGCATGGCGTGCTACGTGGGAACTGCATGAACAACGATTTCGCGTCAGCATTGCACCGCAGAGGGGGACCATTCTTCCAGCAGAAACCATCAACGTGATACACAGCGTGACATGTTTATGAGCCTGTCCCAAGCTCTTCAGCATGGCACATATCTGCCAGTCAAATGCTTTCAGCATGCACATCTATGGGCATCCTAGTGAATCTTGCCGGGTGACTTTTGGCGGGGGCTCGCCTTTTTGGTAGCAATTTTGATCACCTCACACGTGCTTCCTACAATCCGACTGGTATGTTCACCGCATATCAGCGAAGCTCCCCTTCAAATGCATTTACAAATTCGCCAGGGACCTCATGGGTTTGCATGTTGCAAGGGAGAAGGAGACAAAACGGTTGAAACATTGAACCTCTTGAAATCTTGGAAGCACAGACCACTTGCTCCAGGTTGGATCTCGCTGATGGATTTGGAGGACGGCCACTGCTGGGCAGAACGGCAAGAGGCCCTCGCGCGCGCGGGCGGCGAGAGATAAGGTGGTCCCCGGACGACGTCGCAACAAATGATCTGCACTTCCTGTGGTTGTCGTTTCACATTGCCTGCGTCTCGCAATGGCTACGGGGATAGACATATTTTGTCAGTCAGCTTCAACTGACAGTGACCCCATGTACCTATGCAATGTGGGAGGGAACAGGTTGAGCAGGATGATTTTGGGCGAATCGTGAACGCCAGGGCCGACCGGACGTGGAGGAGAATCTCACTCGGCTCCTGGTCTTCCTGGCTCTTTGGCTGTGAGGGGCTCAGATGTTGCTCCGGACGACTCGCGCACGGGTCAGGGGGAGAGGTAGTCCGGTCACGTGAGCATGTCGGGCGTGCTCGGATGCAGAGTAGAGGGAACTCAGAGGATAATCCGCCCATTGCAACGCTTATCAAGCGTTCCTAGTCTGGCACGCAGCCATGAAGCTTGCATGCAGAACAACTTGAGCTAGGCAACTGGAGCTCATGGTTGGTCTCGCTTAATGCTTGCCCAAAGAGTACCAACCCTTCAATCGTTTGCCGCATGCCCTTCTGGTGGGTAGGTTTGGGCCAAGATTATTTTGACACTCCTTTGGAAGTTGATGCCCAGAACAATGCTGTCTTTGCCCTCGTCACCAAAATGGTGAACAGGACAGCAGATTACAAGAGGCTCCAAAAAACTTCAGCTTGAGTTTCCGGATCCACTTGACCGGAAGACCGCTAAGATCATGGGGCAGATGCGGAAACGGGCTTATGCCAGTTGAAACGTGTTCACCCTTTCCAGGCACCATGGACCGCACGATGTTGAGATGACACCGATGATGTTGTGTGGCTTCATAAGACCGCAGAAGGCTCTGGTTCCTGGACACGCACTCGCATGCACTGTGGGGTGATGCGGCTGTTTTGTTTGAAGCCAGCCAGGGTGGAAAGGACACTGCCTGAGGATGTGAGTTGGAGTGAGGGATAGATATTGGCGGCAGGCTGGGACGTGTGGAAGTCAGCAGGTGTCAGAGCCAGCGGCATCCAGCGGCATGGCACATTTGGAAGCTGCGCGCCACCAAGGCTTTGCATGTTCACACTGACGGCGCTGCCAACTCCGCCCATGTCGCTTCAGGCGGGGGGAAGAATCTGAGCCGCCATGAGCCGCCCGAACATGGCTGCATGAATGATCGCCACGAGCTCTCAGATCGCACAGGACACAAACCATGGCCAAAGTTGAGAGTTTTGGATACGACTTTTGCGAAATTTCAGAGGTGATCACTGGGATGATCCTCAACAATGATTGGTCGAATTGAATCTTTGTCAGTGATGGCCACCACAGGGGGCCGCTATGATCTCGTGGGGCTGGCTTTCGTCGCAGGCATCCTGGCAACCGATGCCTGCGGAAAAACACAAGCCTCGGTGGCCTTTTGCCAGCTGTTGGTTTAGGCATGGTCGACCCATGTGAATGGACCAAATGCTCAGGGTTACTTGTTCAGCTGGGATCAGTGCACTTTAGGCTTCTGGGAAGCCCCCTTGGCAGGGTTTGGCATGCAGGTTCGGCGATCCCAGCCAAGGCCGGAAGACATGTCCCATTCCTCCAAGTAAGACTAAGTAATGGACCTTCAGGCTCAGAGCAACCGTTTTCCGGCGCGGTTGCCTTCATCCAAAAAAGGCAGATTAATTAGTTACAGTTACAACTGTTTCTATCCAGCGCAGTTCCCTGCGAACTTGAGACACGCTGGAAGCCGTGTAGATTGAGCGACTCGAATTTGACAGGCGCGCTCCGGCGGGGTTATCATCTATCGCCAAGAGCCCGGGAGCCCACAGGGAGGTCCGCAAAGGCCTGCTTGAAACGAGAGGCAAATGGGCAGGGAATGAACATGGGAGACAATCTTGACACTCCGTCTAGGTAGCAGCATGCCGTCAAGTAGCGTTTGAGAACCCATAATGATAAGTTGACTGCAAACGCACGCCACAGGCAGATTGCAATGAAGGTTCACTCAGCCGCCTCCTAGCCCTTCAAACAAGGAGAGCCTTACGATCGACTCCTGCGCCCAAGTTGTGCGCGACTGCTTGCTACGCGTCTTGGCGTGAAATCCAATCTCCGAGCACTTTTTCTTACAGAGGGCCTTGGTGACCTGTGAGTTTGTCTCACGAGGGGTGTTCCTCCAAAATTGTATAACGTGATCCGGATTCCTCTTTCTACTGGGACGCCGGTTCCTACTAGGCCCCCATGCAGTTGTTGCGGCACCTCCCCGCTTGAGGCCCACACTTTCGCAGCTGTTCCACGCTCTGTGGGTGACGGGGCTCCCAGCCCATGCTGGAGACTATGTCGCTGCATCGCCTTTGAAGTGTTGCTCAGGATCTGTTTGATGGTAACCCAGGATTTATAAGTGTTTTGTTGAAGTTGTATGGGTGTTGCAATGCAAGGTTAGAGAATCCTTCTCAACCCTCCAGGTCGATTGATCCGGGGAATGATTATTCACGATGTCCTTTGTACTGTGTATATAGTGACATGGTTGGCTTTGTGTACTCGCTGAGCATGTGATATTTGTAAAGCCGTTGCCTATACAATTCTCCCTGTTTAATCCTTTCAAGGTAGAAAATTATGCCTGCACACATGTCCAACCCCATCCTGAAAGGATGTGACACATGCCACTGCTGAAGCACACCTAACTGCCTGTGCTGATGTTCGGCCTTGTGTGGGCTATTGCGCTGGGGATGTCTCCTCGGGGGAGGGCCTGCCTCTCTGATAGCGTGTCAAAAAAAACACATGTTGGACAACGTTGACATAACATACTGCGGAATGTTTATGAGGATGTATAAGGGGGGACTTGTTTTTCTTATTTGTTCGAATCAGAGGGGTACAGCTAACGTGCCTCTGGTGTTCACAGAATGACGGAACTCGTTTGGGGATCCTGGTTTGGACAATTTTCCTTTGAATTCGAGGCCACTTTGTTGGGTTCCATAGGGGCCGTTACTGTCGACAGTAGGCCCCTTTCTTCCAGGCACGGTGCAGGAAAGTAATTATTCAAAGAGCAACAAAATCGTCGGGCTGTGAGGCCAACCTCCGAGTCCAGCTCTTTTCACAACACCCATCACAGGTCGGAGCAGTCAGATCTGTCCCTTGCAAACAACAGTGGTTCTATATAGAGTAATTAACAGTTGAAATCTAAATGCGTCCATTTCATTTCTTGATGGGGCTTCCTTTGAAGTCAACTACGGTAAGGCAGTCCCTGCTTTTTTCCTGGAACACTGGTTAAAAGAACATAATTGTGTGTGCTTCGAAATGGGACACCCCTCTAAATACGCAAAGCAAACCCAAAGTGGGCACCCTCCAAAAGAGGACGCAGCCAAGTGAGCAGTGTCGAAACCCGCCTGTTCCAATTTTTCGTAGGTGGTTGACAGCAAATAGAAGGAACCGCCGGTGAGTTTTTGTGCGCTGCAGGGTGTTCCAAATCCGCGCTGAGGCAGAGTGAGCTCTTCAGCGCCCTGATGGCCTGGAAGCTTAGGGCGGGTTGCGCTTTGCTTCCTTTTCCGGAAAGATGAGCAAAACAATTGTTACACAACACAAGCAAAGCCAAGCAAGAGGGAACGCCAGTGCTGCTAAAGAGTATAGAGCCAACAAAAGGCAAGAAAACAAACAAAAGGGACAACCAGTTCAAGTCAACCAGCCGCAAGGGGTCAAGCTCCTGGCATTCTATTGAAGACACGGGTGTGGGGTGCACTTTTGAAATTATCACTGGTTGAGCTGTTTCAGTATCAATGTGTGCCCTCAAGTGGGTCAAGCAATATGTCAGGGAGGGTTGCTTTGAGGTTGTGTTCTCAATTGGGACAGGTCATTTGTCCTACACAACAAATTTTACAATCATTATTAACCACACCAGTGCACCTGGTGCTAAATAGTGCGTCTGGGAAAACTACCCATCTAACTTTTGGCGCTTAGGTAAAGCAAAATCGGCTATTTAGCACCCAAACCATCTACGTCTGAATGACTTCCAGTAAGTTGGCTTAGGTTTGCCTATAGTTTTAGCCCTTCTCAGGAACATTGAAACCCTGCTTCCAGTTTTGACCACGGGGAGCGGAGAATGAAGCTGTTTCAAATTCTTCTGGGCACCACATCAGGCGGGGGCGAAAGAGTGGCTTTGGTAGAGTAGTCGTGAAGCAGTCCGTTGGTCTGTCTGCAGCGAACGTTGGCCAAACGAAATCAGGGCAAGCAATTTTTGCATGAGCCTGGTTCGATGCATCGCCTGGTGGGGTGGTGCCGTTTGGTTGGACCTGCAGCTGAGCTGGCGATCACTCGAATCCAGGCCCAAACGGTATAGTCGAGTTTCCTGCGTCGGAACAGGGCCACTACAGGGGAATCAACCCTGTTAGGTGCGAAACAACTTTGTCTTTGTTTGTTTCCATGGGAAAGTGGCTGCAAAGCGAGCTGTCCACTGTGGGTCCGTTGGGTTCAACTCATTTACTAGTGACACATAATTTGTCCCGAAACGCATAGGAGAATGAGCCTTTGGAGGTCCTGGTGTTGCTGATCACTCCCCTGCTGTTTGCCATCATCGCCTTGGCGCGGATTCTTCTCCATCGGCACTTCTTGGACCCCGTGTGGTCTAGGCGGGGTACCTCGGGATGAATGCAAGGGGAGGCAAAGTAGAGGTAAACAGTAGGAACAGTAACGAGTAACATCCACACCAGGTGGCTGACAGCAGATCCTTGCTGTTTTGTTGTGTTTTTTGTTCCAAGTTGCGAGCTCAGGTCTCGTATGCGACGTAGCCAAGCTCCGCCAGGTTCTTCCCTCCGTACGGAGATCACTCTCAGGGGGTGGTGAACTTTTTGTGCACCCTCCTAGCGCTTGCTCACCAAATTGAACTCTAGTCGCCCTGCTTTGTGTCAAGAGAGCCCTCATGGTTGGTCTCATGAGGTTCTGTTTGAAAGCCATTCCTAAAGTGGCAGAGGCCCTTATATGTTTGCGGTTGGTTTAAACATTGCTGCTGGGGTGATGTTTAAAGCGGACAGCCCTGAATGGGAGACTAGGGTGGGGATGCCTGGCATATCCAACACTCCTATCATGCCAGGGCCGGCAAGGCACACATAAGCGGTTGTCGATTCCCACAGCCTTACGATTCCAAATCCAACTTGTTACGGTTAGGCTACTCTGGGAAGAGTACTGTTTGGAGGGTCCCAGTAGCTTTAACGGTTAGTTCCAAGCGGCTTTTTCGGACCGAGCTCCAGTGAGTCATTGGCCCAGGCGCCTGTGGCTGTGTGAGGAGATCCTGAAGCCATGGGCCGAACCCTGAGTTCGCGAGCGCCGGGGGTGAGGTTGGGTTGCTTGTTGATGGGGCCAGGAATCCGAAAGCAAACGAAATTGCACAAAGCGCCAAGTTTTTGCCATCGAGTCTCCAAATCCCAGTTGCGCTTTTGCACGCCACTGCTTGCAGGGAGTGATGAGACGTGTGCCATAAAGTGGCACCTCACATTTCTTCAACAAAACCTGCGCGCTTCTTTTTGGACAAATGGGTGGCATGCTGGCGTCAGGACCGCAACTGCTTTGATGTGAACTGATTGTCTGATTGTCGCCTGGAATTGGGACTGCGCAGGGCGTTGCACCTTGACATTTGCAGCTGCTATTGTGTGGACATTTCTTTGGCCAGATTGAGCCCACCCAGTGATGCCGGGGGGGGGTTCTGCTACTCGCCTTGCCTGCCCATGGATGGCGTGTGAATCCCGGTGTAGCTAGAAGTGTGTTGCATGTGGTTTTGTGATGGCAAGCCAAGTGCCGCTCGCCCGTTGGAGATCCCGAAGTCATATGGCCAGCCAAGGGAACTGCAAGAACTGGCCCCCCATCCCCATCCCCCCCCTACCAGCAGGGAGCAGAGTAGCAGGCACCCAATCCAAAGAAGACCCTGCAAAAGTGCTGACAGCATGCAGGCAGCGCAAGCCCACACTGTGGCAAAACATCAGGGCAATATAACAGGGTCGCGATATTGAGTGCTTCGTTCTGCTTTGTTTGAAGAGCAGATAAGGCGAGACCTGTCAAAAGAAAGGTGACAGAGCAAGGTGGCCCTCACAGTTATGCAAATGTAGGCGACACTTGCCGTGTGGAAATCAGACGGGCGCAAAGCCAGGAGAGAGATGTTGGTGCGTCGGGCAAGCTGGTTACAGGCAGCCAGGGCTTCCGCTCCAAATGGTGGATGATTGGCGTGCGCGCACACGCACACACGCACGCACACGCGCACGCGCACGCACACGCGCACACGAACACGCACACGCACACGCACACGCACACGCACACACGCACACGCACACACGCACACGCACACACACACACACACGCACACACACACACACACACACACACACACACACACACACACACACACACACACACACACACACACACACACACACACACACACACACACACACACACACACACACACACACACACACACACACAAACACACACGGAGTTCGTGTGTGGTTTCTGGCGGGTTATTTGCCTAGGTCATGGGCGACGTTGCCGCAGTCTCCATCACCTCCCTTTTCCTGTCCATTCAGGACGGGTTGCCAGCTGGCCTTTTCTTGGCAGCAAGCCCTATGTGCTGTTTGGGCTGGATGCTTTGGTTGATTGGGTTGTTTCGCCGGGCTCAGGTTGGTTGGGGCGACTTTCATTCGCACGGACTTGTTGATTCCGCTGGGGAGTTGGGGCATGCACAAGATATCATGACTCAGTTGCCCAAGTCACAAGCCCTTTGTTCCTACTCGGTTGTTGTGTGCGAAGGGCAACAACCGAACATAACCGAACAACCAACACGCTTTTCCTGGGTTCAGAATCTGTCTGTCCATGTACTGTAATATGAATGCACGGACGCACAAATTCTCTGGGCATATAGGCACTTCTGGACATGTATAAATGTAGACGACTGCTGACATGCTGTTTGCATGTTTTATGGAACTAGCCTGCCAAGCACCTTGGGGTTTTGGAGCATGCCATTGGCACCGGGATTCGAGTTTTGCTGGGCAATCCGATGGGGTGCTCCTAAAGGAGAACCAAGCAAAGCTTGCTTTAGCGAGATGTGTTGAAACCACACGTTCGAGCAGCCCCAGAAAAGTGTAAAAAAAAAGGCGGCCCCACTTCTGGCGCTTCTAGATGGTTTCAAAGGGCAACCCGCTACCGAGATGTGAAAAAGCAATGTCGGATTTCCACCCAGGCGGCGCTAGCGCTTTGCTGTTTGCGCTATTCCCCCGTTCAGATCGGTCAGAGCACGAAGATGCGGGGAACTCTGGTTTGGGCTGCGCATTTGTGGCTTCAGAACTGCCAGGGCAAGAACAACATAGATCACAATAGTAGCGGAACAGATGTTCTGCTAAGAAATGCGTCAGTGATAGAACATTTATAGAATTAGTTTGGGCCTCGAGAACCCACCACAGAAAAAGCACGCAGACCCTCACATAAGCTTGTACCAGAGCATGCTGTTTGTCCTTTACCGAGTAGCTCGCAGCTGATGCAAGCTTTGCATCCGCCATGTTCAGCCTACATGTGTCGCTCCTGAGCGGGCAAGCAGTGGAGGTGAAGGTATCGGCACAAACGCATATAGATGATTTGAGAGCGGAGGCTCAAGCACTGCTCGGCCTCCAGCAGTCGTGCCGGCTTGTGTCCGGAAACACCCAGCTCTTGGGAGGCACAATCATCGAAGCTGACTTGAAAGGCGACGACTGCTTGATGCTTGTGCGGACGCCTGTGCGCATCTCGGCTTCTCAGTGGTCATTCGCTGCTGTCATGGCCAATGGGAAAGTTGCGTCCTGGGGGCACTCTGATCGCGGCGGTCATCTTGATGACAATGTCCAAACCAAACTCACCAACGTGCAAGAGATCCAGGCCACGCAATCTTCATTCCTCGCCATTCTTTGCAATGGATCCGCCGTGGGTTGGGGTTTGAGCAGCTGCTGTCGACCCATCGAGAACATCAAACAAGTCCAAGTTTGCACCGAGGCCTTTGCTGCCATTTTGAAGGACGGATCCGTCGGTACTTGGGGTGATCAAAAATGCGGCGGGGACAGCAGTCTTGTGCAGACGCGCCTTAAAAAGGTGGCGCAGATCCAAGCTACGTATGGTTTGCAGAAGTATGAGAACAAAGGTGGGGCCTTTGCTGCAATCTTGGAAAATGGATCCGTTGTGACGTGGGGTGATCCAGAGTTTGGCGGTGACAGTAGCGCCGTGCAAGCAGAACTGTATTGTGTGCAAAGCATCCAGTCGACCCTCCATGCCTTCGCAGCAATCCGGAAGGATGGAGGTGTTGTGACGTGGGGCTTTCATGACTATGGCCAAGGGCAGAAGTACGAGGAGTACTTTGAAAAGGCCCAAGAAGATCTCATCAATGTAACACACATCCAATCTACTCCGCGTGCTTTTGCAGCAATTCGAGAAGATGGGCTTGTCGTGACCTGGGGCGACGATGAAGCCGGCGGAGATAGCAGCAAGGCACGTGACAGCCTCAAGAATGTCAAATGCATCCAGACTACAAGCTCGGCATTTGCTGCCCTCCTGACGGATGGATCTGTGGTGACTTGGGGTGACGCGAGCTACGGTGGTGATTCGACCGCAGTGCAGACGCAGCTCAGGAATGTTGTTGCCATTCAAGCGGCCCGGGGGGAGTCAGCGTTTGCAGATGGCGGCGCTTTCGCTGCACTCCTGGGAAATGGTCGTGTTGTCACTTGGGGCCATCGCAAATACGGAGGTGACAGTGCAGATGTGCAAGGCCACCTCAAGGATGTTCGCGAGATTCAGGCCACGTGGTATGCTTTTGCTGCCATTCTGGGCGACAACTCTGTCGTGACATGGGGTGGAAGCCAGTCAGGTGGTGACAGTTCGCGGGTGCAATCTAAACTTATAAACGTGCGATCCATCAATGCTACTGACGAAGCTTTCGCCGCGATTTTGTTTGATGGTTCCATTGTCGCATGGGGAGAGCCTGGTTCAGGTGGTATAGCGTGCCAGGTGAAGAGTGGTGAGCCAGAGGAAGAAGAAAAGGAAACGAAAGCGGAGGCGAAAGAGGAGGCGGAGCAGGAAGAGGAAGAGGGATCAGACGCACAGTCGCCGGGCAGCCGTGCGACTAAGGCACGACGGCTGGCGATGTGAAAGGCTGATTGGCCTGAGTTTGTCGGTTCACACTGCTTCAGGGATCTAGAGCGAAACTGTTAGACGCTTGGTCAGCGCAGGGTTCATCCGGATAAGTTTTGGGTAGGACCTGGAATGGTAAAAGGTAAAAGGGTTCATTGCATGTTGATTCTTGAGGCTCAAGGAGTTGCAAGAAGGCCGTCCGTTTGGAATGATTTCTTGGGCCTGGCCAATGCCCGTTAAGCAAAAGGTTTGGCGCCGACGGTCACGGAGTTGCTCTCTTGAGCCAATATTGTTGTTTTGGGTTGTTTCGTTTAGGGAAATCCGAATCGCCGCCATGTGTCGAATTCAAGGGGTGAACCCCAAAGGAGTTGTGCAATTTGGGGATTCCGCGTTCCTGCCAGGAGCCCTCCACAGATTTTGTCTTCCTGTGCGTCAGGCTTGCAATGCCGCCGCTGGGCAGAGAGTCTCTGGAGTGAGTGCTCACAGCCCTGCCTGCCGGGTCAGATGGGGTCAATGTGGGGTCATGCGTTTTCAGCCCAACTCTAAGAAGCACCTTGGAGCCCAATCGAATGGCCCCAACCCCACACGCACTACCCGGAGAGGATCACCGTGCTTACTTCGAAACTATGTAAAGGGCCATGCCCGCTTGCCCGCGAGGGGTAGGGCCTTCTCAGACGCATCTGGGCTAGCGCTATGGTTGCTTTTAACAAACATTGCTAAACTGCCGGGGGCAGCAGATAGGCAAGCGACTCAGGGGTTTTTAGGCTCCAGTTCGGCATCCTCGATCCCTCCCAAGGCCAATTGGCTTCCTTGCGTGCCTGGGTCAAGGAGTTGCGGCGTCTCCGGCTACGTTTGGCCCAGCCCTTGCGGCAAGCGATTTGACAAAAAACCTTGACGTGGGTCCCACCTTGCCAACCTCGTGTTTGTAAGTCCTTGATGATCGTTTGGCTGACTTGCTCATCATCGCGGTGGACATTGGTACAACCAAAAGAGATGGAAGGGTTACTCTTGGCGGAAAGGGGGATGGACACGGTATTGTGGCAGACACTGCGTGTTACCTATCCTGGCTCAGGTTGTCCCAAGTGCTAGTTGTCCTTTGGGAATGAGTGTTGTTTTCTTATCACCCCTCATCAACATGAGCTACCTGACCAATTGTTACCAAACTATTTCTTAGTGTAATTTGTGCACAAAAACTGACATTGCTGGAGGTGTGGGTGTTAGTTTGAGTTGATTTACTCTATGTTTCCGGAAGGACTTCAGCGTGAGATTCCAGCATCTGGCAACCATTGGAAACCGTTGACGTGAAAGGAACCTGGGCAGATTTTTTTCAAACCACCGCTTGCAGTTTCCAAAGCAGTTTGGCATATTCGACATGTTTGAACACGGGCCAAGCGCCAAGCCGTGAGCCACTGACCGCCAGTGTTGGGGCATCCGCTGGTGCACTCCGCCCCTTCGTCCCTCCAGCGCCTGGGCCTTGGCCCGTGTGGCTTCACCCATGGCCTGTGAAGCTACTGTTGCAACCTTCTTTTTTTTTTGGGGGGGGGCTCCATATGTCCTATGGCTCACCTTGGTGCCAACATGTGCCAAAAACCTTAAGTTCCATGCAATTTAAGCTCCAAAGGAATCCAGTAGGGGATGGATTGTTTAGTTGCTCTACCCCCCCCCATTTCGCTCCAGTCTCCCCTTTTGGTTATTTATCTTTCGTTTTGTGGACGCCAAACAATGCAAGCCATTCCTGACACTCTATATACTTTTTAGGAAGTACTCGTACAAGTTTAGTAGTCAACAACATGTTTGGCCAACCCACTCATGTGTGGAGGGGGCTCATGGCACCACATCCACCACTGCTTTCTGACTTCGGCTGACCTGTCCAATGCCAGACTTATGACAGTTTGGAGCTCGTTTTAATTGTTGTTTTGTTTTGTGGTTTCTGGAAAGAACATGGACCATTTCAACACTGGTTTGAGCGAGGGAGATTGCACATTGTCAAAAGAGGAAGCTGATGAACACAATCGCTTACTTTTATGACCCATGCCATGTCTTGGAAACAAGGTCTAAGCTCATGTTTGCAGCCCTCAGAGTTGCAATGCCAACAAAGGAGTTAAGTCGCCTCAGCTTTCACAATGTGCCCTTCCAATACCAAACTTGAAACCTGACAAAGGCCCCCAGCATTCGCCTTTTCTCACTTCTCAAGTTTCTTCGGACTCTGAATTTCATACCTGTGGACCATTTTGGTGGCAAAAGGCCGGCATATACTCTTTCAGATCAATTTTCTGACCAACCGCCTAAGGAAGTGAGCTTGAAATCCTTTTGGGGATCTTGTATGAGATTAATTTTGTCATTGCGCCCGTTGAGGCTGGTGCGTCTGCCAGCCGGGACGCAGAGGCCCATCTACGCCGGGGCACCTAGCCATGGCGAAAGTGAAGCCCATGGCTTCCGTCCAAGGCACCCCCCCTATGAGTAAGCTGCTCTGCCACGGGCCAAGTCATGACTACAAAAAGAAATAGTAGACCATATATATATATATATGTGTAACTATTGTCTAGTGTGATGTGATGTGACGGTTTGTGACATCATTTGGAGCGAAGCGTTCTGAGAACTTGCTTTGGTGTGATGTGGCTGACGCCACATGATGTGCGATGCTATGCATCCATGACAAGCATTCCAGCCTGGCGCCACGCTTTCCAGGAGTGGCAGAATAGGCAAGGCAAAAGGCTGCGCCCTCTTTCTCACAATCGTTGAAGCTGGCAGGAGAGTTTTGGAAGACTATTAGTACAACAGGGCCCTCACTGCATGATTGTTGGAAAGTATGGTGATTGGTTGTCCTGCGTTAGGCAGACACTTCTTTGTGACGTGCTCGCCCGAAAAATCATGATCCTTCTCATGGGCTTGGATAGGCTCAATTTGGTCAGGGACGGCCAAGAGGCTCAATAAGACTGCCCTGGCAGTCAATGACAAAGTCGACGGATCCCTGGCCCCTGCAAAAGGCGCACTTCCCTGTTTGCACTGTTGATGTCGCCAGGAAGGTACATGCTTCCCACTTTGGCATAACTTTAGCAACGTGGCAAGGTTCGCGAGGCATCTTTGGTCCATCCGAGGCATGTCGCAGGGCACCGAGCGCTCGCCGCTGCTGTCGGCGCGAGCCCTAGTCGGGCCGCGACTTGCCGCGACCGAGACCTCGTGGTCGGCGACTGAACCGTCTCTCGAAAAAGGCACTCCCATGTCCGTTTCCAGTGACGAAGTAGTCGTCAAGCATGTCCCGTAAGTTTTGGATCACCCGATGATCGGCACATTGCCATCACTGTTTCAGGGGGGGCCAGCAGACGTTTCTTTGCATAACGCTGCATGAAGGGTACACTCCCCCTGGCAACTCACAGGGGACGCATCAAGTTGTGTGGAGTTTCATTTTGTTGGGGGGAATCGGAGGGTCGGAGTACGCAGGGTTCTCCCAAGATGCATTCGATCAGAAAGTTGGGCTTCCAAAGCAGGAGGGGCCTTGGCTGTGCTGCATCATCACGGTGACGGGGCCTTCAACGACACTGACTAAGTGTGTTGGATTCTTTTGCAGTTGCAGTGTCGCGTTCTAAGGTGCCCTGGACCTTACATCACATGTGTCAACCAAACGTGGGGGCTGATAACAACAAGAGTGCCAGCTTGTTTGATCTCCCCCATGGTTCCGTAGTTTCGTGTTGCCGCGCTTTGCTCATTGTCCCTTTGGACACGGAGCTTCAAGCGAGCAATGCAACCAATGATGCTCCTTCAGGCAGCTCAGCGAAATTCAGCGAAAAGGGGCCAATCCGCACTTGTCAGCATCCCGCGGTTCACTGGGCATGACATGTTTCTTGGATCCCCACAGTCAGCTGCAGTGGTGCATGACATTTGCTGAATCCCCATGGGATTCAGCAAGGGCACCTTGAGTTGTGGAAGGCTGGGCCCGAGCCCAAATCCACGCGAGGCCTTTGCTGCGGCCTGGGAATCGCTGCAGAAGCCTTCTCAAGGCACCTGGCCAAAGCTTTCAGCGGTCAGCACTTGGGGATAGACTGGCAAATTGGCGTGGAAATAAACACCAAAGAAGATTCCTCTACAAATAGCGGTTTAATCGCCAGGGCAATGAACAACACTGCCCCTGGCCGTTAGCAACAGGGAAGGGGGTATTCCGTTTGGTGGGGAATGGTGGGGACTCCCAGTAAACATATGAATTTCAATCGAGAACGCACTCAAGCATCCCAATAGAAGTTGAAGTTGGCCAAAAAGGTCTCCAATCAGCACGTCAACTCTCCCAGAGGAGACCGGGTGCGTTTGAACGCGTTGGACTGCTGACGGGCATGTTGGAGCCTGGCTGGTCATGTCAACAGAGTAGCTTTGGAAGTATGTGTTTTTCACCATGGATTTGGGTGTTCGAAGTTTGAATACCCGTAGCTGGGGCCCCGATTAACACGTCGCTTGCGCGCCAATATTTTGGAAAGCCAGACGCTCCCCACCACAGTAAAACTGTATTTGGGGGGTGGCTGCGGGAGTTCCATTTGTAGTTCCATTTCTCTTTGTGAGGGCTGGATACATGGAATGGGGCAACCCCCACCTCCCTCCCCGTAAGGTTGTCAGCTGAGGGGGGGGGAGCTGGGGACACGAGTGTGATTGCGGCAGGCAAGGGCCCTCGCTGGAGCGGCATCTGGCTTTGCAGTTTGGCGCCAGCCCCAGTGGTGCCAGGCGTTTCTATGCAAAGGTCGAAGCGAGCGAGCCACGGCCAAGAACCAAGGGCCACATTGCCAGGGGAGAACGATAAGTTTGGAGAAGATGGGGGGAAACGGATCGCTAGATCACACATCGTGCATAGAGTAGGGGACCAGCAACCATGACATCATGACATATCACAGTGTAGTTATTGTTTGTTGCGCATCTGTTGCTCGTGGTTGGTTGGTCGCGGGCACAAGCAGCTGCTGTCTCTGCCAGACTTTGTGTTTATGCAGGGGCGCATGCGTGCAGTCCAGGCTACATCTCCCCGCGCTGATTTCACGTAGTTGTGGAGCTGTGGCGCATTGTCCCGTGTCGGGCTAAAGGGTGGCAGAAAGATTCAGTCTTTCCCTTAGGTGTTGCGACTGAGCCTGTGTTTCCGATGCCAGCTTTCTCAAGTCAACGGTGCTAATTACATGTGAGCTTCCGTGATTGTTGGGCTTGACTGCAGCCCGCTGCCAGAAGAACCAACCAGTTGATGTGGGAGGAGCAGAGCACCGTTGGTGCTTTTTGCATATCATTTCCCGCTTCCGATTTGGACAATGTTTTGCGCAGAATGCCAGCAAGCCCACCAACCTGATGGCTTCTCATACTCTTGAAGAAGGCATCATTTGGGCCGTATCAGTGGAAAATTCAAAGCGGGGGCGGGCAAGGTACGGGAGCTTTTTGTCCCATGGGTTTTTGAGAGGTCCACTCGCTTCTTGAAGGTCTGGCGCGAGATCTGCGTGTGGCTGTTCTGGTTCACCATCTTCTGGCAGCGCGGCCCTTGGTGAATCAGGCTCTGAGGCGTTGGCCCAACAAACGTGTACTTCTGGGTCTGTCTCAAACTGGGGGCAACACTTGGCAACCAACCTGCAGCGGCATCATGTCACTGGAGAATGCAGGCGAAAAAGGACGTCAGCCCGTAGAACTTCACGTGCTTTGGGGAAAGCCACGGGCTTTCGTACATCATGAGAGGCCTGGAAATACTATTGCCGCAATGCGCAGGAATGCGAGGGGCAAGCGTTTATGTTCTCAGAGTGTTTGTTTTGCAGCAGCATTTTGGAAGATGGCTGCAGCTATGACCCCTTCACTGTCAGTTCTTGGCATGTGTTTGTGACCTTGCGTGCTTTTATTTACGACCTTCCTCCCCACCTCTCCATGCATTGTTGCCGGCACTGTGTACTTGAGTAGCACGTTTGGAGGGCTGGGCAGGGGTCATGTTTGCCATTGGTATCAATCTGCTTTGGTTAATCGTTTGTAAATCCAACATCAAGATTAGCATTGTAAGTAGGAATATTCAAAAACATATATGCATACCCCATACTTCATTCTATACGGCAGCAAACAACTTGAATTGGAAATACGGGCACGTTTTCCCTGTTGGGTGATGGGTTTCCACATTGTGGAAGGAAAGGTCGAATGGCAGCTCAAAAAGCCAGTGCCCGCCAATGACAGAGAAAGAGAGAGAGAGAGAGAGCGAGAGCGCGTTTTTCTTGTACGCATACAGTACCGCATTCGTGCGGGATGAGGGGCCCAAATTCAAGAAGGGCGTCTAAACCGGGACCAAGTTTGATAATCATCATGTCGCATTTTGACGTTGATCATGGACCGGAGACCTTGCACAAACATCATAACACTTAGTATGGACCTGAACCGAAGAGGTTGAATTCTTATATATATATATGTGCTGTCATGTTCAAGTGTCAAACGCCGCCTCGGGTACGCAACTCGGATTCGACGGTGGGTCGAGACCTCAGGCTAGGACCCCATGAGCCTCCTTCGGTGCATAGTTTGAAGGAGTCTCACGCTCGCAGCGCGCGGGTCGGGGAGAGGCAGTAAGGCGGTTATCCGCCGAGTTCAGTGGAGGTTGCAGACGTCACTTCCTCCAAACGCAAGCCAACTTAACTGATATGTTTCTGATCCTTTAATTTCTCATCACCTTGCCTTGTCCAGAACCCGGGCCGGCAGAACAAGCATGATGCAGAGGCCGAACACGTTGGGGGCGCACATGCGTACAACGCTGATGTTGACAGGCGTTTCACGAAGGCTTTGCCTGGCTACTTCCAAGTGGCCTTGAGGTCTCCATAAACCGGTCCTGATTGTGACCAGGTAGTCATGGACCCGCGGCTCGGAGCCCATCCTCAACCAAGTTTAGCTATGGGAGCTTCCAAAAACAGGCAGCCCGCAGCCTTTTTGGATGGTGTTTCATCACAACATCATTGGAAGCTAAAGGCAGGCCAACACGTCTCTGTAGCCCCATTTCTTGAGTCAGACCCTTCAAAAGCAAGCACGGAATCTAAAAGAGGGTCCCTAGAGGAAAATTGTCTTCTGCACGTTCCATCCTTTTGGGAGGCTAGATGGCCTTGAGGACTTGAGCCTTGAGGGTACCCACATGGTTGTCTCTCGGGCTCCTAAGCTTCTCCTTAAAGCTTTGGCTTGTGGACCGCAGCTGCCATCCGCAGGATCTCAACTTAGTGCTGCACCAAGAGGCGGGCTCAGCTTCGCGCCACGCCTGGTACACCATCTTGTATGTTTCACATACAGGAGAGAGAATTGAGTTTTGCGGATTGATGGCTTGCAATACTTTGGACTTGCAAGCATCCCCTTCAGTTCTGTTTCCGAGTTTGTGAATGTGAGACAGATACCACTTCACGGGCCGGGTTACCTTAAGAATGGCGGAGCCATGAAAAGTAAATGGGTCCAATACTTGAGCTGCCTCTTTAGGCCATGCTCGTCAGAAGAGATGTTTTCTATTGGGAACCTTGATGCTGTTCAAGCAGCCCACCCCCTCCCCCCCTAAAAAAGAAGAAGAGTTGAACACATGCGTTGATAAGACTTAGCTCGCATCAGAAAAACGCTCAAATGTAGGAAGCAAGCTCCAGGAACATTCCAGGAAGCCCTCCAGCAAGTTAGCCAAGCAGACTCAACTGATAAGCGTACCTGGCAGCAGATGTTGCATCGCCCCATAAATACTGAAGGGCTGTCAGACCCGCAGAGATTTTACAAGCATGTCGTGCTGTTTTGTGACCTTACAATCCGTCAGAAGCAATGGCAGGTGCCTCGAATCAACAAGTTGCTCATGGAGAATGTGCCAGCCAGCCTCGGCCCCTACCTCAGACATCGGGGCTCATTGCATGATGTCCCGGTGCTCGGGAAGGTTGGTGAGGTGCAGCCTGCATCCGCAGAAGGCGCCGCAATTCTTTTCTGAAGGATCTGCAGCTTGGGTTTGACACCGCGCTACCTCCCAGATTAACATGGGGTCCACCAAAAGAAGATTCGTCTCAAAATCACGGGTTTCTGGGCTCCATGCTAGTCTGCAAGGAGGCAGGCTGGCCGCTTGGGCCTTGGCCAATGCTCGCGCCCAGGAGATTGCGCGGCTCTGCAGGCGCACAGCCCATCGGACGAGGACTCATTCGGGGGAAGGACGTGTTTGATGAAAAATGAGGGGCCCACACCTTAGTAGCCGCCGGTGAAGCGGCTTCAAGTTCCATTCTGAGAACGAGCGCAGGCGCAGGCGGCCCAAGACTTTGACAATTCCCCACAAGCTCGGGGTTCACTGGTGAAGGAACAGTACACCAGAGACGCATTGCACATGATTGCACTATGTGACATGACATGTTTGTAGAGCATGCATGCTTTGCAAGATGCACATACTCTCTAAATCTCCATGAGTAGGCACAAACTGCAATTTTGCATGTTCTATAAGGTGCGGTATGAATTATGGATGTTGCTTCAAGCTTTGGTTGTTATTTTGCGAGGAGTGCAAAGAGCTGCCCATGGAACCCATGGACGCTTTTCGGCTGCAGAAGGGAAGCTCAGGTCAGCGTGGTTCCAATTAGGTGATCTAAGCATCACACGTTGGGTGATAGGGTAAAGAATGCGTTCCTTTGGGGTAAAGAATGCGCGTAAGGACATTTGTTGAGGCTGTTTGTCAAGATTCCCCCCCGCAGATTGGGTCTTGTCATTGTGATCGGGCCCCTTTTTGGGGTTTCGCGATACTTTGCAGGGGGATGTTTCAATCCAAGCGGCTGTCGAGGTGTTGTGTGTTTCGCACTTGTTCATGAGCCAAGAGAAGTCCCTGAATTTGACACTGATTGCCTGAAAGGTACCTTTCAAGTGGGGGCTGCAGCCTTTCTGGGTAGCATTCAGGGAAGGCAAGAAGGGTTCTCTTTGCGACCTGTCAAGTTGGCCAGATGATGCCAGACGTCGCACAGAAAAAGACTTGGTGAATTGGAGAAAGCAGCCACAGCCACCTACAGCCCAGCACGTTCTGTGCCCAAAGCAACCCGAAGATTCTATGCGAGCACGGTAACGGAATACGCGCTGGGCGCACTGATAGCTGGGAAAAGCAGTTGATTGGCCCAAGTTGCCAAATATTGCTGGATGTCTGAACAGCATCGACCTAAACTGTCAGGCACGGTAGGCTGACGTTAGCCAATGAAAGCATAGCCTGGCTGGTCGTCAGGGGTGGGGAGGAGGGGGCACGGTCTGCAGCTTTGCTTCGGCAATGTGAAGCCGAAAGCCAAGGTTTCGCCCGTGGGCCTTTCGGCCCGCGTGGTCTTTATCGATGGCCTTTCCAGTTTGCGCATCAACAAGCTGAAGGTGCCAGCCTCAAGTGCCGGCGATAGCTCACTTTCATGGCAAGGGCAAGCGCATGTTTCAAAGGAATTGTTACTTCATGTTCAACCGAAAAGGGGGGGTCAACAGGCAATTCCCTGCTGCTTCGGGCTGCTCCTAAGCCGTTGGGAAGCTTGGGAGCTTGTTGCACCCAGGGGCTGCGTGGTTTCGCCTTGATGGGGTGGTTTTACACATCACCTGGGTGAAGGGTTCGGCTGCCAGAGCTCACGTGGCAAGTCGCACGCGCTTGAGTGTGTTTTGCATCACTTCCATGAATTCGGAAGCCAACCCCTAGTTGCAAAACCCATCCAAGCCACGAGAGGGGGAGCAATCGTTGTGCTGACGTGTGCCTACCCCCCTGGGTTTGAGACATGGTCCATGTCCCATGCCTCAGGTCCTGCCGCCCAAGAGCCCAAAGGCCTGGATCGAGCCAGGAGCCAAGCGCCTGGGAGCCCGGAACGGGAGGAGGGCCCTGGGCCGGGAGGGCGTTTCCGCTGGTCGAGGAGGGCGACCACGACTTGTCGTTTCCGTTTTTTTGTTTTGTTTTTTGTGCAGGTGAACCAGAAGATGAATAGGGGGTGCGACTACTCCCGAAAGTGAAGGATGCCTTCCAAAATGGGACACTCTCTGACAATCCACCGGTTGCAAGGCGCCAAGCAACAATAACTTCAGGGCACACCACTGAAACGCCCCTTACGTGTCGCGATGTGCTTTGGCAATCGCCATTGTGGTGTCAATGTTGCAGCTATCTTTCGTTTGATTCCATCGGTGAAAGCGGGCTGCCACTCGGCACCGGGTTGCCGGGTGCCCCGGGTGCCCCGAAGGGTCGGTGCCAGGCTGGGCCATTGAAATCGGGGGCCAGTTCTCGGATCTGAAGATCTGGGCGCAGGCCACCAAGGCCGGGAGCTCCATGGCACTCGCCGCATCTCGCGCCGTCCGGACGCCAGCGGACCGGCATCAAGTTGGTACGTTGTGCGGATGAGGTGGTTCTTTCAACCAAAATAGACGGATGTACGATCGACTTGTCATTAGAACAGCTGGGCAGCCCTGCCTTGGACCACCTTAAATGATGGCTGCATGCGGTGGCTTGAGATAGCTTGAGTGTGTTTCGTTTTGTCGCCCAAGTCGGTGCCTTGGAGGGTTCATTGCTAGAAGTTGTGCAGGGCGAAGTGTGTAGCAGGCAGCCTGCAAGACCAATGTTTTTGAGGGCAAATTTCTGGATTCCACGCTTTTCATCAAGCCCGCGGCCATCCGCGTCTTGCTTTTCACTGCCAGGGGCTGTCCAGCCTGGTGGATGGCTATGTGTGTTGTCCAGCCCCCAGGCAGGTCTTTGAAGTGAGCTGGATCTAGTCTAAACTGCAGTACCGGTGCTGCAAATGCAAGCCATTTAGCGGGGATGACCCTTGTTGAACACCTATTCGGGTATACAGTGGTTATAACAAGCTTCGGCCTGACCAGGGTGCCGTGCCATGTTTATGTCGACGTCGTGGAGCAGCACGAGCAGTAACTGATGTGCACAGTGCTGGCGACGTCGAGTTTGGATTTTTGGATTTTTTTGGTTCCCTTGGTGCGGAATTTCATTTTGCCCCACTCATTGCACACTCATTTTGCACGCGGCTATCACTCTTCCAGCGCTTGCATGTTGGAATGCATGATTTAGCATCGGCCCTGGCATCCACCATTGAGCCTGCACAGTACTTAGCCTTGTTGGAGCAGCTCTTCTGGAGCAGCTGAGTAAACACCTTAAAAGATATGATTCGTGATGAGCGCGGGCAGGCCTTACTTTCAAGAAACTGTTGCATGACTTTGAGGATTCTATGAGGCATTTGCTGGAGACAATAAGATTGAGATGCATTGAATGAGGCAATCAGCACGTGGGCCAAAGTTGTGTTTGTGTCACATGGCTTCACCCAACATGGCCGCAACACGCAAACCTTAGTGATCCTCAGATTTTCAAGGTCGGCCCTCATCGGAAGGGCCCCTCTTGCACGCCAGTGATTTGCCAACATTGAGGTCTTGTGTAGCTACCAGAAGCATGAGTCATTTGGTTTCTTGCCCTCCGACGATCAGAATGTCTAGACTTAGATGCAAAATGGACTTTCAGACACACCTCATTTGGAGGCACTGCGCCATCTGCGACCTGAGCCAAAAGGCAAGGCTCCAGCTTGGAGTTAGCGCCCAAGAGGATCCCTTGCCTGAAGCAAGCATAGGCCCAGCCGAGATTCAGCTGCAAACGGGCTTGGGACCCGGGTGTGACAGCCCAGGTCACAATCCATACCATGTGGGTCTTCAACTGTCAGTGCTTTGTCTCTCGGCTGATACAGATGGGCCGGGTTTGTTTGCTGTCTACTTAGACAGTAATTTTGACCATGGTTATGTGTCCACCTGAATAACCATGGGTTTTTCCGGGCGATCGAATCAACGAACTGGGTACTCCCCTGACAACTAGCAAGGAACCAGGGAGGGTATCAGGAAAGGGGCTCAACATGTTGAGACCCACCCGTGTCCACACCCGTTTTTGAAAGTTTTGGCTTTGAAGGTCGGTGAGGCGAACCCTAGGCCCACATCCTTTCGGCCCCTTGCTGGAGCTTCGAACAGTATTGCGTCAAAGTGAGTTGCCGCCCTTTTGCTCCAATGTTGCCATTCCAAGCAAATTCCCACAGGAGACTATTGCCCTGGGCAAGATCCTGAATTCAAACAATTCGCGCTCCTAAAACGTGCAAATCCCGATGAGTCCTGCAATGATTCATCCCGATTTAGGCATGACACCAAACCCCTTGATAGTCCACCAAACGCTTGCATCCCGCGCTGCTGAAGGTTACATTGATTCAAGACCCGACATGTTCTTGACATGTTCTTGCCATGTTCTTGCCCAGCATGTGTGTTGATCCTTAAACTTTCAATGGAACTTGGCGCAGCCAGTGCCACCATCAAATTGCCCTTCCCGCCATGAACAGCCCATTTCTCTGCAATCCTGGACATCGCAATTACTCTGGAAGCTTCCTCACTCCACCTCATCCAGCCTTCTTATGTATGAAGTTCAGGACTCCAGCTTGTGGCCACTGACAACTGGCACCTGGCAACTGGCGGCAGTGAAAAGGCATTAGCCGCATGCATGGGTGCGTGTTGGTTTTGAATGCTTTTTTGCGCGCACCCTTCTTTGAAGTGTTTTGAAGGCAAAAAACACACACCTGGAAGACCGCCTTTGCCAAGGGATAACCCCAAATAATCGGACCATTGCAACAATCGCATACGTAAGCAAGAGGCACCTGCAGCATAACGGGGATGAATAGGTTCTTCCGAGGAAAAGTGTAACTGGAACAGCTGAGGGTTAATGAAACGGGGTTCCGATGAATTACACCGATGACGCAAGAAAAGCCTATGCGAATTATGCCGGCAGAAGGCATAGGCGTTGATTCTTGGTCAGGCAGTGCAATTTCCGACTGCGCATGCAGTAGCCCTCAGGCTTGACCTTTCTAGCTGTGTTTTTGTCCCGAAAAATGCAAAACTGTTACGGCTCGGGGCAACCGCTGATTTGATGATATGGCGGGAACTCCTTCTGTCCCGGAGAAGCTGGCTCTTGGGAAAGTTGGCTGCATGTGGACGATTTCTTTCGAGATCTTTCGAGCAAGGCTGATGAATACCTTGGGTTTGTAAACCTTCCTGATATATCACATTTTTTCCCCTGGTTGCATCACTGGAAGTACGCCATCAATGGACGATGCCATGTGCCTCCGCAATGCTGCTGGTTATCCTTGCGTTTTGCGGCCTACCTCTTTCTATGTTACTGACCCCTTCATTCCCCCAAAGTTTGCCATGCTTTGCCTTTTAGATCATGGCACTTGCTATGTGGCTTGTTACCTACCATCATGGAATCATGGAAAATCATTGTGGGCGATTCCTGCACCACACTGACTTCGACCGTTTGGTTTTCCATTGGCCTACTGCCCTGTGGGCAGTCGTTCGCTTGGTTTGATCCCGCCATTCGGCCCCTAGGCTCGAACCCCGAGGGCTTCTCGGGCAATGTCACAGCACCAGCCCAAGTATAATCCGTTTGGAAGTCGCTGGCTCTTTGTTTGCAGGGTGTGCGACAACGCCAAGGGGCCTTGAACATGAAGTCATCCGGGTACCTTTTGTCACATGTATCCATTGGGTTATTGGGACCTGCATCAGTGCATCACCTTAATCCAGACCATTATTTAAAGAGTTGCCTGCAGGGGTGAAAGCAAGAGCACTGGCTTCAACGCATTGCACCTGTAGCTCTCAAGAAACCAAGAGAGCATGTGGGCGACTGTTTCAACGCCCAGTGGATTTAGCTTGATTGCAGCGCCCTTGTTGAACAGCGGTCTGATTTCATTTGCACTTGTTGCGACAGTGCGTGCTAGTGACGCATGAGCGCATTTTTTCCCAACTCAGTATGCGCTGCGGCAGTTTGGAGGCAAACAACTTTTCAATGCCAGGTGAACATGTGAATTGCTTTTGCAGCAAGCCCAGGGCTCAAGAAGAGTTTCTCAGAACCCTTCTGAGGGATTCTTCTAAGAAGAAGAACCCTCTCCAGAGATGGGCCTTTCGTGTCAGGTTGATGACTTCCACATCGACCAGGTGAGCTTGAACACCAAATGGGGTGCGAGGATGCGTGGGTGCTAAGGCATGCAAGGCTGAAGAAGGGGTCAGAGGCCCGTCCTTGAGCCGCACGGCTTACTCCAACTCCAGGAATTCCTGCGCAGACTGCCTGAAGGATTTCTGTGGAAACTGACCAAAATGACAGTCACAAGTCATTCTGCGCCACTTGATTGTTTCATAGGGGTTTTCTCCATGCCAGCTAGCGCAGGGTTTTGCCCGTCCACATTAGAACGTGGTGCATCAATGCATCAAACATTACTTGGCAGAGGCCAAGCTTGCCAGCCGAGCGGCAGCTTGCAGCGATCTATATGCATTTGTTTGATGCGTTCCATTTCAAGGAGCCGGCTTGGTGGGGGGGTCTGGTGGGGGGTCCGGGGGGGGGGGGGGGTAGTGTGTGGGGCCACCGAAACATCGAACAAAAAAGGAAGCGACATGGCATACATAGCCATGCTTGTCAGGAGCTCAGACGGCTGGTTTTCTTTCCCTCCCGAGCTTGAAATATGTGGATGTTTCCACAGAAGTTTTACCACTATACACTGATTGGTTTGCTACTGGCTCGCTTTACAGAATCCCAGAAGAGCTCCATTACACATTTCTGGACGCCCCCAAGTTGGATGGCATTGCCCTTCATGATATGACCTGTGCACAGCTTAAGTGTTGATGAGCTTGCCAATCCGGGTGTGAAACGACCTCTCCCTCATTTCTGTTCGGTTTTTGTGATGCATGTTAGTTCAACAGTTGCTCCTGTCTTAAAAGCTTCTCATGATGTCTAAAAGCTATATTCTGTTCCCCGTGTGATTTATGTAATGTACCCAAACTTTTGGAGTTGTGTTCCATGGAAGCCAGCAGAAGCTTTTGGGGGACTGGGAGGGTCCCCAATTTGCACGCGCCCTTTTTATGGCGGGACCCGTGTCTCTAAGCAGTCTTAACTGTTCGCTTGGCACTTCCCCAAGAAGTCAAGTGCGGTTTCCCCTCACTAAGCAGCAAACAGTTCGAGATTCGGATTGTTGCATGGCACTTGGCGAGACACCGGATGCCCTTAGGCCCGGCGCAGCTGAACAAAGCATGCGGGGGCCGTCAGGGAGTGAATGGGCTGTGGGCTGGCGCCAGAGCAAAGCCCAATTCAGAGCGATGTGTTGGTTTGGCTAAAGGGGCCAAATAACCCAAGGGTCATTCCGTTTTGTTTTGTTGTGGTGTGTCTTTCTTTTTTTAGAAGATTATTCAGCACCCAATGAACTTTCAGGGTAATCTTTTTACACAGCGGCAGAAAGTGCAGGAATTGCCACAGGATGGAGACACGAACCAAGACACGTACTTAATCACAGCACTCAACCTTAGATGCAGACACATGTGAAACTGCGTTGAGGTCGTATGAGAAGAGGGACCTGCCATTGTTTGATGGCAATGACGGCTTTCTGACCATTTGAACTTATCGCAGTGTGTAAGCATCAGGCGGACATGTCAACTGAAGGACCCCTTCTGACCAGGATCAGTTGGCTTGGCCAAATTGAGGCCTCAGCGCGGGCCTTTGGAAAGAGTCCTTAACACCTCAAGTCCCAACCAGGAAATGTTTGATGAGCTTCCCAGATTTGCCTTGTGACGACTCTTAGTGCGATTCATGCTGGGAAGCAACTTCAGCAGGACACTACCCTGTAGGGCATGCCTACTACCCTGCATGGTCTTCGTTTATGCCCCAGGACGGCACATCGGCGGATGGATTCAAAGCGGCGACTCCAACTTTGCATGCAAATCATCATTTCGCAGTTTCCATTGGGCCTGTTTGTGAACTCGGCGCTGCTGCGCATCCTAGGATGCTTTACCCCATTTGGTCATGGTTTATTTGTACGTTGGGCAACTTGGTTGACCCATGGCCATAGGGCTACCCTGCTTGCCAAGTAGCTTGAATATCCAAACGGTTCAACATTTAAAGGGTAGTTCAGATTCCGGACCAGATCTTGAAGCGTGGATCCCGGGGTTGTGGGTAGACTATCTCGACATATCGCTACCTTTTGCTCACCATGGGCTCTTGGAACGCCGTGTGCCTTTCGACATGCATCTCAAGAGATGTATGCAAGGGAGGAGTACTTCCAGGAAGGAAGCCCTGGGGCGTATAGTAGGACGGTGGCCCCCAACCGGTCTGAAGTGGGGGTTTTCCAGCATTGGCATTCGTGAACATTTGATGGCGGGGATAGGATCTTTGGACGCGGGTCGAGTTTGGATGGTTTTGACCTGACCCACGCCTGCGCAGGAAAAGGTTAGCGAAGCAAGCAGCTGGCACCTTGTGGACGCTGAGGATTATGTAGACGCCGTCTACATGGTGCTTGCCGCCGCAGCCCACGCCCAGGCAAACGCCGCGTGCGACGCGCTCGTGTGGAACCCGCCCGCGGATCAGTTAGACGTCGTCTACTTCTTCTTGGCGGCCTGCGCAAGCCTGGGCAACTCCACGCACTCTGTCGTCCGCCCGCCTTGTGGACGCTGACAACATCCACGCGCTTGGCCCACGCGCGTTTGGGCAGCCGGTCTTGGCGCCTCTGCCCAAAACATCAACATGTGTTCTTTTGATGATGGTGCCGATGGTGCCCTTTTTCGCCTCTAAGTCAAACCGTACGGAACCATCTCTGGCTGCTGACGGCCGTTCACATGCACTGAATCTGATGACCCATCGGCCTGAGGTTTGAGATCGACATGGGCGGCGATGCACCTGAGTCCGACCTTATTCACGAGGCCATGGGTCATGCGGGGACAGGTGCGATTCAGCACGGAGGCTTTCATTGGAGCATGCATCAGGTGGTTCGAGATGGTTTGGCACTGTCCCAATACTTGTGACCTTTTCGTTTTCCTCTTTGGTGCATTTGTTACAAGCTGAGATTGCACGGAACATGTCCTGACTTGCTGCAGTGAATGCGCCAGCTTCAGGCCATCAAGAAACACCTTGAGACCATTATCGTGGACAAGACTGGAGGCAGGGCAGTTTTGCTGGCCCAATCCCGTGCGAGGGGAAGAACATTGGCATCCAAATTGCTGTTTGAGGACTTATGCTCATTTGTATGTTGACATAGATCAAGCAGCCGCGATTTAAAAGGCATGCAACCGACTCGAGCCCCGCAGTCGCAACCCGCCGTAGGTGCCAAGCCGGTCAAGGCGAGGTGCCCGGGGCAGGCAAACCCCGGTCAGGTATGATTTGAAGATGTATCAATAGGACCCCGCAAAAACCACGAGGGTCCCTGTTGACCCATGGCCGCCTTTATTCGATGGAAGTAGAGCCAACAAACATGCCTTGCCCAGAACATGATGTGCCAATCAGTTGTGGCACAAACGCCAGTGAAGGACAGGTTCGCCAGTTTGGTCGCGGGCTTTGAGTTCCTGGTTTGTGACTGGTTTGACTTGGGATCCAAGTACCCTTTGGCCTGGGCTTTGAGGTTGTTTTGAGGGTTCGAGCCTGGGTTTCATTACTTTGGAATGACGACCCCCAGCCTGAAGCTGTTTGGCCACGTCGTTTGTGTTCAACATGCTGATTCCAACAGCTGCCCGGGTCAGGACCCATTAGGATTTAGGTGTTACATGTTGTTGGTTGTGTCCCTCCTCTTGCCTCCAACGTCATTTGACATCATTTGATCAAATTTGATGTATTGAATTCCTCCGCAGCACATTTGAGGGTTCGCGCGCTGACTGGAAGGCTGGCTTGCCCGCGGTGTCGCTCACAGAAATTCTGAACAAGGTGCCAGCAGCTCAGATGCTTCAAACATATCGGCAGTCCCGTCACAACTTAGGAAGCAATACCCTAGGCAGCGACGTGTTGTGATAGTTTTTGTTTCTCCAATATGTAGAACTACAAGGCAAGGCACCCTGAGCCTTTCTTGGGAGAGACAAGCATGGACAATGAGACACGGGATCGCAGTGAATGTGGCGATCACCATGGTATGCTCTGTTTGCTTGATAATCAGAATGTACTTGTTTTGTCAACTTGGTCTAAAAAGGAAACGGTCACGATGAGTAAATATATGTGTGCTTTGGTGGCACTTCGAGCAAGGGCACGTGAGCGGTCGCGTGTTTTGTTTTGCGTTTGCTTCTGAGGATCCGCTTCAATGGCGGCCACCACTGCCCAAAGGTCTAAGGACGGGCGCCAGCAAGGTCACGCAACAGTTGAGGAAGGGTTTGCGCTGACACTGGTGTTATACCATGGGAACCCAAGGAAACTCGTCAAGGAGCATATTCAGAGTGTGTTCGGTGGTCAAACCTTGTGACAAAGTCCGAGACGAGGAGAGAGAAAGAGAGAGAAAGAGAGCGAGAGAGCTTGTAGTCTAAAATTGTTATAAGTTATTACAAAGTTTGATGTAACTGATATGTGGTACAGCTGGGTCATCAAAACAAGGACGTGCTTCTAGCCGCTGAAAAGTGGAGTTGCCGGGTAGGGGGGAGCTTCTAGCAACACCCACTTTAATTTCCGGGCCAGTTTCAAACAGTTGCTTGTTTTCTCGCGAAGGCAACGCCTCCATGCTGGGTTTGCAGACTTTCTCCCACGGTGCCACGTCATTTGTTTCCGCTGGGCGACACCAAAACTGCAACACATGAAAGCTTGTTTTTTTTGTTTGCTGTCAGGGTAGAAGCTTGAAGTGAATGTGACATATCCCAGGACGTTCAATCACGGGGACGCCCATCGCATTCGCAATTACTTGTCCAGGAATGACATTGGGACTCCCTACCCATTCTGTTTTTGTTGTTTTTTCTCCCCAGAAGCCTTCAGATCCCCCTTCAATTTGGTTTTCTAAAACTTGAAGAGCCTTCCTTTTCTGCGCGTGTGGGGCCTTGGGGGCCTTCGCTACTTTGTTGACCCCCCACTTGAACTTTGCCAATCGCTCGTACCAGTCCTGGGCGATTGCCAGGAGAAACTGTGCCACATTTTTGCCCGGGGACGAGATGCTAGGCGCAAAACGGACTAGCACTGGTAGCTTTTGTCCACGGGCCATCCACTCCCTGTCTCGGCACGTTTGCTTCTCCATAGGTGGGCACCTTTTGCTCAAGGTGTTGGCTCTAAATATTGACACCTGAGCTGAACAAACATGGCGCGTAATTCCAACTTACTCGATTCACATTTTTCCACTGATTGCTCATTGCCTGGCTTAGCTTACCTTCGTAGCATTTTGCATTTTCAGGGCTTTGTCATGTTCCATTTTAGACCGTGCGGCCCAGCACTCAGGGCCCCATTGCAGAGCATGTCAATGTGGAAGAATTGTGCCTGGTGGGATTTCAGGGTGCACCGGGTCAATCTGAGGACAAGCTCGTAGAGATCCCAAAGGTTTGGGTTCGACGGTTCACGCAATGGTAGGGGTGGTAGGGCTTGATCATGTCGATGAATCCCACTTCCTGTTTGCAACGACGGCGACATTCAGCAGATTGAGTCCACAACATCAGCCTTTACCCTTGTGGTATGTAAGGGTTACATGACGCCAACATGTCCGAGAGGATTTGCCCGGCTCAGGTTGGGCTTGTACAAACTGCTGAGATGGCCTGGACTCAAGCGCCAGGTCACTTTTCTCGATGCACGCGTTTTTTTTCCATTGCCGTAGCTCGCACAAAGCGATCCTGGTGCAACAGGATTTTGGACGGACCGTGTGCTCTCGCAGGCGACATGTAATTCAGGCCGGAAGGCCTTGTTCGAGGGATGTCATTCCCCTAATGCATGATGTGCTTTCCAGTTCAACTTTGGCAACTCGATCTGATAGTTTCCCGGTTGCCATTCTTTGCTTGTCACGCCTCCCAAATTTGGATGAGCCAATTCCCGCTTCTGAAACAGTGACTTTCATTCTATGTTTGACTTGAGGAGGCTCCTTGTGGGTTGTGGCAAGTGGTCGTATATACCAGCTGGATAGAATTGCACAATTCGTTGGTAGCTTGCTTGGCTGAATTCAGCGCGCAGGCCAGGAATGGGGAATAGGTGATTAGTTGTTGGTGGCTTGATGTGTTTTCATACATAGGAGGAACACGTATAAAGCATCCTGCTTCCCCAACTGGCTGCTTTGAAGTTTCGATCAGCCAGCCTGTACAGCTTAGCAGTTTGCCTGCCAGACAGAGCCCTTCGAAACGTGTCCAAGAAGGCATGTTGACAACATGGTGACAGCCTCAGCCTCTACGTGAATTGTTGTGAGTTGTTTATGCCCCTTAAAGGACGCAAAAGCTACGGGTAATTGTTCGCGGGATTCCCAAACTATTTGCGACGGGCCAGTTGTCCACCCTGGTCTAAACCTATAATACCGGTACTGTCCGGCAGAGCAGGGGGGCGGAAGTGTCAAAATATGAGAACCATGTTTTGGAGCATGCGTTGTTTCACTTTATCTGTCTCGTTGTATCTCTCTCTCTCTCTCTCTCTCCCCGTCGCTTTCTCCACCTTTCTATTTGTTTTTCCTGTTTTCTTTGTGTCTCAGCCTCTTTCCCTCTTTCTCTATTCCTATGTTGCTCTTATTGTCTTGTTTTTCTTTCCACCTCGTTGTTTTTGTATTGCTCTATTTCTCTTTCTCCCTTTCTATGTCTCTCAATATGTTCTGCTTATGATGTTGATCCTTCTTCATTTTTATATTTCGATGTCTCTCGTTTTCTCTTTATATTTATCTTTGCAGATGTTGTTTATCTTTTCTCTTTTTCTCTTCTTCTCCTTCTCGCGTTATTTGTTTCTCTCGTTCTGTCCTTGTCTCGTTCTCTTTTTCCCTCTTTCTTTTCTTGTTATCTTTTCCCCATTGTCTTTATCAGTTGTTTTCTTTTATCCATCTCTCTCTCTCTCTCGAACTCTCTGTCTCTTTCTTTTATCCCTCTCTTTTTCTATTCTCTTAACCCTCCCTCCCACTAACATGACACCTGACAGAGCGTCCCTTAAAGAGGATATTGATCTTCCAGGTGCCCTCCCACAAATTCTATGTTATTTGGTGGGAGGGTAACTGTCTCTCTTTCTCTCTCTTGCTCTTTCCCTTTCTCTTCCTCTTCTCTTTTTCTCTCTCTCCCTCTCTATCTCTGTATCTCTCTATCTCTCTCTCTCTCTCTCGCCCTGAGTCTCTCTCCCTCTCTCCATCTCTCTCCCTCTGATTCCCTGTCTGTTTCTCGTTGTTTATGTTTGTGTTTGATTTTTGTTTTGTTGGGCCGGGACGGGGACACATTTCGGAAGAAACGAGTTATGCCGCCTGCGGCTTTTGAGGCTCCAGGTTTGCGTCCAGGAGTACATGCATACGCACTTTTGCATGTTACCAGGGGTCGGCTTCTGGGGACGCAGGGGTTGAGTGTTGAGCGCCGCCTTGAAAGCGCAAACCGGCTTTACTCAAGGCGACATCCGCTTTTGTGGATTGCAGGCGCCTGCCTCCACCACTGATCTTTGTGAACTCGTACTAAAGAGAGTCTTAACAAGAGTCTGAGGAAAGGCCATGAAGTGTTTTTGCTCCGGGGCAGCAACCTATTTTCTCAACGAGCTCAGTCCAAGAAATATCAGTATGGTTCTTGGTACAGTAGTAGACTGATTGCACATCTCGCATGTGCTGAGGCAGCTTCTTCCTTCTTTCATTGGTTCCGGAAGGAGGTGGTCACGACTGGACGGTGCCAAGATCATGGTGCGACAGGAAGCGAAATGCCTTGCCACCACTCCATGAGAACTATTCGTGCCCCAAGAACGGCTCTCAAAACTCTTTCTAGGAACCCCTCGGGTCGGGCTCTACGACTCTCCCCCCTCCGGGTCCGTGGCGAAATCCGAGCCATGCAGCGGCTGGTCGATGAGCCGGACTTGGAGGAGCTGGACCTGGAGGGCCAGTTGCTGGGGAAGAAGGGCGCCCAGAGGCGCGCAGGGCGCGGCGCGGATGCGGCGGAGGGATCCGCTGGAGGTTTGGTTCGAGCGCGTTGGTTTCCCAGGAACCGTTTGAAGGATCAGAGCAGAAAGTCTTGTTTTTTTTCAGGGGTGGTGGTTGGGGATGTTTTCGTCCAATTTAGGCAGTTTGAAGGATTGACACTTGCGATGTTCATCCAATTTGGGCATAGGAGAAAGATGTGTGATAGTTGATACCTCTCCTTTGCTGGATTGCAAGTGACTGGCATGGACAGCTGGAAGCAGGTGAATTTGTGTCCACCTTTTGTTCATGATTCATAGCCAGGTGGTGGGACATTGAGTCATTTCGGAAAGCTATGGATTTTGACAGTTGCTTTCCATAAGCCAAGGAACTGTAATTTGGGAAGTTAACACTTCATGGCGGAACGGGCCCAGTTTCCCAAACCCTGGCCTGAAAAATGGGTGCCCAAAGATACGAGTTGGACTCGACCCCTAAACCTGGCTGACCCCGGGCACAACGAGAGGTGGGAGTCTTGGCTCAGTTTGGTGACACATCGATGGGTTTTCACTGGTTCCACATTGGTTCCTCCTCACCAGCGTTGAACCCATCGATTCCAAAGGGACACGTTCCACTGGTTTCAGATTGGTTCCAATCACTTGCAAACGGGGTGGGTGCTTGGTTTATTAAGTGACACCAAGGGGTGGGTCGAGAAGGGGCCTGGTTGCTTCGGCGTTGGTTCCCCAGGCTGGCGCGGGGCCTCTTGAGCCATCAGAGCCTGCGGGAGCTGAACTTGGCGCCTCAGCGGTGTCGTTTTGCTTACGGCACGGTACTCGCTTTTGCGAAGGGAAGGGAAGCCGAGAGGCGAAAACCACAGGTTTCTTTCTCTTCTTGTTTCTTGACTACCCCAAGGTAGACTGAAGAATGGAACCGTGAAATCACCAATGCCTATCTGTAGACTGTAGACGCCAGTAGCCGCCAGATGTGAGTCATGGCGGCACGGGGTGCGGCAGCAACAGAAACCGGAAGCTGTGCACGTAGTAAGCAATTATTTAAAGGCTCGCTCATGTTCTTCAACGTTTGAGGGTGTTTCAAACCATGATTACATGATTCAGAGTTGATGGGCCTGTCACCTATCGAGGGGAAGTCTTCGAACCGATTATTCTTCATACGCGTAAAACATTGCGTGTAGAGGCCAGGTACGTCAGTCGGAGCTTGGAACCTTGGGCACTGAACAATGGGGTTTCAGAAGTTTGGCAGGGGTGATTCGAACAAGTCTGACAAATTGGTGCTTGTACTCGTTGAATTTGCATCGTCTTGTTTATTGTATACACGTGTTTAACCTTTGTGTGACTTTGCCAAGGTGAAACGAAAGCCAACGATCCCAGCATGTGAAACGTTCAGGGAAGTCTGCGCATTTCTCTGGGACCGGTCCTCCCACTAGTTGAGCAGATCCCGGCTGGTGGTTCTGACAGTGATGCAATTGCAGAATTGGGTTTGTGTTTGTGAGCGTGCGTGTGCAGGTTGAAGTGTTTCTGTGATTCATTAGCCACCTTCGATGGCCCACGTTCATTATTCAAATTAGTAGTTATAGCCTGATGCTTGGCCAGCCCGAATGTTTGATTGGCGGGTCACCGAAGGTCCGTCAACATCCCGAATTGTCGCTATTGAGCAGCTCTGACTGAAGCAGTTTGTTTGTTCTCCAGCTCGGGGACCCCTTCAAGAAGGGTCATCTCGATTTGGGCCCATAGAAATTCGAAAAAGGACCAAACAAGTATCCAGACAAAAATATACCAATTTCGCGAGTCGGCTTGAGGCAAGGGCCAGCATCGGCGATGAGGGTGCCGCTTACATTGCAGGTGCCTTGCAGAGGCGGGGCCAAACCCTGGGAACCTTTGTCCGGTGTGTTGGTATGTATTGTTTCAGGGCATTTCTTTCGGACCTTAAGAGAGAAAAACCAGGAAAGCCATCATTTGCGACATCCCCCCATGAGGGATGGCCACGCGCCTCATGCCGAAAGTGGCGTGCAAAATGTTTGGCAAGTGGGATGTGCTTCGAGAACTGGGAAGCTGCCTGGCCGCGTTCCTTTTGGTTTCCTTGCGAGCCCTTTCCGCTTGCTTGCCCAAAGCAAATCGACCCTTTCACCTTTGTTTTGGAGTTTTGGTGCAGTTTGTGGCCAAAAGGCAATCCATTTGTTTGCAGATTTGTTTGTGTTTTGTATTCAAGTGCACAAGTCTTCAAGGAAAGCCAATCGTCAGGTACCCCTTATATAGTTGGTGGTTCGGATTGGTGGTTGGGGATTTGAAACCCTGGTTCTTGAGAGGGTAGATGGGACCCCCCTTAACCACCAAACCACCAATCTAAGCCACCAATCAGAGGGAAGCTGAAATCTGGCATGTGACCATGTAAAGGCACATTTGGTTGGGTGGGTTGGTTGGTTTGTTCGTTTGTTGTTGCACTGTTGCTTTGTCTGTTGCCTGAAAGACACCATGGACAAGACATGCTTTTGACGGATGCGGAATCACAGTTGTTCTTTTACGGCATGTGGACTCCATGTAGGCCACCACTGCCATCACAGGGATTTGTGTTGACATGATGCTGGTCAGGCTCACTGCTTCTGCAGACCAGGATCAGCATCCAGTTTTTTTTTTTTTTTTGTTGGCAGTCCCTCACCATGGTTGATTGACACACGTTTGGAGTCCCATTGGCGACATCAACCTGTTGTCCCTGTTTTCAAAAGTACATGTAGATCCCCGATACTTGGTTGACTTGTTTTTGTTGGCTTTCCGCTCAACATCAACCACATGGGGTTCCAAATGTTTACGGCAACCTGGGCAGGGGTGTCTCTTTCTGAGGGTACGTGCACTTTTGGGTCGGCTTAAAAGAAAACCAAGCTTGTTTCCCCTTGGAGAAAGCATACAGACCCCAGATCACGCGTCTTCCCCAGGAACCGCTCCTTGGAGTCGCTGAACCTCCGCAACAACGGCATCGGGGACACGGGCTGCGAGGGATTGGCGGAGGCGCTGAAGCCTGGCAAGAAGAAAGCGGAGAGTGATGCCCTAGCTGCTGAATCCCACCTTGTGAAGAACGCGCCGCATTCTTGGAACATTTATGTGAACACGTGGCCATTCACCTCAAGATGTGGTGGGCCACCTAGGTACTTGAGTCACGCGGCCGCGCCCATGCAAAAGAGTCTGCCTTCCGGCAGCGCGCTGAGTGCTTGAGGGACTTCGTTCGCCCTCGAGATCTTGTTGTGGTAGCGGAGCCGGCGGAGACCGGCACAGGGAGTTTGGTTTCGCCCTTGAGGAGCTCGGCAGCCCTCAGAGAATGCCTACAGTGGCAAAGCGGACTCACACGTTCCGGTCTTCAGCAATCTGCAGAAGGATTACCGTGAGTACCGCAAGAGGGCCGAGCTCTACAAGAAGAAGATGGAGCTTGCCGGGCGTCAACAGGAAGTGGTCTTCAACCTGGTGACGCTGATGACCGGCAGAGCTTGGGATTTGGTGGACGATATGGAGATGGCCGACCTTTAGAAGGAGGACGCGTTAGACAAGGTTTTTGGTCGCTTGGATGCTGCCTTCAAGCCGGACCTGATGACGGAATTGCCAGACGACTTCGAGGCTTTCTTCGTGAAGCTGCAGCGGAAAGCCAGACGCTTCAGGAGTATCAGGCCGAGTTCGGTCGGGTGGGGCGCAGGCTTCGGGCGTCGCATCAGGTGGAGCTGCCGGAGAAGGTCAAAGCCTGGTGGTTTTTGCGGAGGAGTGGCGTCAGCCGGGAGCAGCGCCAGATGGTCATGACGCAGATCGGCACTGAGCGCCTTAACCTGGCTGCCGTTGAGCGCGCCATGAATTTCATCATGGGTCAGGACTCCAAGGTGGACGCCTCCCGCGGTGGCCATGCCCACAAGCAGAAGCCGACCTACGACATGTTCTACTCAGAGGAGGGCACATGGCAAGAGCCCTATGAGCCGGACACCGACTACACCGGAGTGCACTGGCAAGAAGATGAAGATGATGGTTCGTACTATGACATTGCCAGCGAGACCGGAGGCCAATCGGACGGTGTCTACATGGCCCAGGATGAAGGCTATGACGAGGTCTTCGACGTGGAGGAGTACGACGATGTCTACGCGACCTACGTCGAGGCCGTCACCCTCCACGTCGATGACATGATGATTGGGGGCGACCACAAAGATCGAGACTTTTCGGACGCCTTGGAGCGCATCAAGAAGAGCTTCGACTTCGGCAAGTGGGCCGTCCTCGACGCGAAGAACCCCATGGTTTTCTGTGGTGGACGAATCAAGGTGACCGCGCAGGAGGAGCTGACGCTAGACTACGAGGAGTTCTTCAAGAAGGTTCTGCCCATCAACATCGTCAAGAACAGGAACATGGACGAGCCCCTCAATGCGAGCGAGATCAACAAGGCTCGTGGGCTGATCGGAGCCCTGCAATGGCCTGCCGGCCAGGGAGCCCAATTTCTCAATGCCTCAGTGTCCATTTTGGCGGGAGGCTTGAACAAGGGAGATGGCAAGTACCTCCAGGAGCTCAACAACATGCTCAGGTTTGCAAAGGCCAACGGCCAGGTGGCTTTGCGCATCGCGAAGATCGCCCCTAGCCTGGAGAAGGTCTGCTTCGTGTGCTTCAGTGACGCTGCTCTAAGCGTCAGGAGTGACCTGTCTAGCCAGGGCGGCTTCATGATCGTGGCGTGCAATGAGGAGGTGCTGATCGGCAAGGCGGTACCCTACACCTTGGTGTCGTGGAGGTCCTTCAAGCTTCCACGAGCATGCCGTTCGAGTCTAGCTGCGGAGGCACAAGCATGTGCCATGGCCCTGGACGAGCTCATGATCGTGAAGGTCTTTTTCGGCATGATGCTCGACTCCAGCAAGGGCATCGCTGACAGCGCAGAGCTCTACGGCAGGGGCAAGTGTGCCATCGTGACCGACGCGAAGGCCCTGTATGACGCGGTGAAGCGCGAAAACATCTCCCAGAGCCTGGACAAGCGGGCTGCGCTGGAAATCCTCTGCGTGAAGGACGCCATCAATTCATTGAAGGCGGAGTGGAGGTGGGTCAGCAGTGAAAGGCAGATGGCCGATGGGCTGACCAAGCTCGCTGCGCGACAGGATATGGCAGATGTCATGTCGTATGGGATGGTGCAGCTGGTGCACGACCCGGAGTTCACCGCGGCGAAGAAGAAGACGCACAAGGAGATCGAGAGGTCCCGGGAGAGCATGACGGGAACGATCAGGAAGAAGAACAACGGAAAGGGGGCCAAGTCGGGGTCCAAGGTTGCAGATGCAATCATGGTGGCGATGGCGGCGGGCAGTGCGACAGGAGCAAAAGCAGAGAGACCAGCTATGGTGGACTCGGCGGCTGGCGGTTTTGAGTTTGAGGTGATGATGTTGGTCATCATCTTCATGGTGGCAGCACTGGCATTCATGGTGGGCCGCCTTTGGAGCCGGAAGACCGAGCAGGACCTGGCTGAGAAGGTCAAGCACCTCAGCGACAAGATCAAGCATGTCGAGGAGGTGGCGAAGCTGGCCCGCGAGGACAGGACCTCTACCAGATGAGGACTCGTAGATATTTCATGGCCAAGCGAGGTGTGAGAATTCACACACGCCAGGAGTGCCAGTATTTGCGGAACAGCCAGATAGAGCTGTATCTGTGTGAATGGTGCTCGGGGCGTGATCAGTAGCCCCCGATGTGAAGAACGCGCCGCATTCTTGGAACATTTATGTGAACACGTGGCCATTCACCTCAAGATGTGGTGGGCCACCTAGGTACTTGAGTCACGCGGCCGCGCCCATGCAAAAGAGTCTGCCTTCCGGCAGCGCGCTGAGTGCTTGAGGGACTTCGTTCGCCCTCGAGATCTTGTTGCACCTCAAAAGCGGCGGGTGAACATAAGGGTCCCAAGTCAAAATGCAAACCCATATGGGCCATAGGAGTTTCGAAGGGAAACCATTCGCGAAACCCGTCAAAAGCTCATTTGCTTGGGTGGTAGTGATGCCCCTGAATTGCGCATTCTATTGCCAGACTTACGCTACAGCCCGCCCTGCGTGAGTGTGAGAACACAGACCTTGCCTTTGTTGCCTTCCGGGGCAGAGAGTCATTGTGGAACTGCGCCCAATCAAAGCATTTCATTTGGCACCCCTTTTCCCGAGACAAGCCATTGCTGTCAAGCAGTCACTTGCAGAGAGGCAGGTGGAGTGGAAAGTGTGGCCGCACTCCAAAGATTTGAGGTCCTGCGCTGGATGTCACACTTAAAAGGACAAATGGAATACTACCACTGGACCATCCAGCAAGAGTTAACTTGTTGCAGACGGGTTGGGTCTGGTCTAGTTAAAAGTGGGAGTGGATCGAAATTGGGGCCGGGACCCACGATGATTGATTTCTTTCTTTAGTCCAAAGACACCGATATCAAAATCGAAAACATCAGTGCGCAGGCCAGTTTATTTTGTGAGCTTCCCTTTGGTGGAGTGATGTGCAAGAGGGAAGCATCAGCAGCCTGGCTCAGTAGGGGTGCCCCACCGATTGAATCATTGAAGACAAGGGTGGTGAGCCAGGGCTGAGCGCAATAGCTATCGTGCAGGTGGTGCACTATCTTCAGTTGATTCAATGTGTGTGTGTTCCCTCAAGCCATGAGATCATTGCTGAGAGGATCAGGATTGCGCGCTGTTTGTATGTGCTGCACGTTCAAACTTGCCACAAACTGTTTCCTCCAGAGCCAATGAAGCTGATAAATTTGACTATAGGGGCTTCAGCTTCCACGCCGAGTCGGAAACTGGCGGGAGACCCAGGAATGATGTGGATGGCAGCCTCACTGAGTGCGTGACCCAGGAAATAGCTTCAGACGTCGCGGGTTTTTTTGGGAGTAAGGCAGAAGCCGCATTTGAGGAATAAACAATTCATCCTCGCAGAACTTCTCAGTTCCCCTTAAGGTTTGTGCAATACCTTGGTTGGCATCGTCTAGCTACCCGCTCAACCCTTCGCCGCTTGATCACATCCTCGAGTTTACAGTTTGAATTGTGGTTTAAAGGGGAACCAAAAGGGAATCGCTCAAAGGGACCCAGAACATGTCCAGAAAAAATGGGCCCCCCACATGGATGTTGGACCCCCACTCCCTTGACATTGGCGATGGGTGGGGGGCTGTTGCAGCCGGCGCCAGAGGCTGAACCTGAGCCACAACTCCTTTGGAGACGTCGGCCTCAGCGCGCTGAAGGCATGGAGCGCGCGTGAATGCGCGTGACACGTAGGCCTGGGCCCTACTGGCTTGTTGTGTAATGTTGTGTATACATGGCTGTGGGTCAAAACCAATGGTACAATTTTGGGGTAGGTGCACCACCCATTTTAGTCTATTTTAGTGGGGATTGGGATGTTCACTGGGGGTACGGGCTTTTGACCCATGGCCACATGGCACTGAATTTTGAACATAGGGCAACCTCAAAACGGTTGGGGAACATGAATCATGAATCCAACCTAAATCATGCTCGCCAAAGAGTCCCCTCGCTCGCAGGACAAGCGTGGCTCTGAGAGAATGCGGTAACAAGAGCGTCCCAGCACATCTTGATGCTTGATTTGCTTTTGTTTCATTTGTTTTTGTTGGACGCGTTTTCGTTGCGTGCCGCTGTTTCACTTTTTGGTCTTCTTTCAATGGGGTCACCGTCCCAACCCCCGGATTGTGACGAGTTCTTGGCCGACGGCATCGAAAGGGATCCAAGGTAGTAAGTGCCGGACGTGTCGGATTCAGCAAGCGATCGCCTTACAAGTTGAAGGCTTGGATTGGTACGAGGAAGCGGGGGTACAACTCAATCCACCAACTCAACTGTCCTTTGTGTGAATGGGGCACCTTGGTTTGCAACTACAAAGCTTGCGTTTTCAATTCCGGCAAGGCGTGGTTCCAATTCTTTGTGTACCGCCCAGCAGATCCCCGATCTGGGTCTGTTGTCAACATGGGGATGGGCATCAGAGCTGACAGGAGTTTACCGACGAGTCGGCATGGCTCTAGGAGTCACTGACTTTAGCGCCTGGAAAGTTCAATGACTCAAGGGTGCCAAAGCGGGTTCTAGTAAACAATTCACGGGTTCAGGGTTCCATCGAGTTCCAGCTTGCGCCAGGTTCTGGCGCAGAGCAGTCTCAGGGAGCTGGACCTTTCTGGGCAGAAGCCACTCAGCTCGGAGCGTGATGCGCGAAGAGTGCAGTCCGCTTGAAGCAGCCGCAAAAATGGGAAACCAGCAGCCAGCAATTCGCGCTTTGTGAGGGAACCTTGCAGACCGATCTGCAGAGTGATAGGGGTGATTGTGCTTGCCCGAGAAAACGAAAAAGGAGAAGCACACCGCAAGCCGCCCATGCCGAAGGCTTCAAGCTGACAGCAGCCAAAGTTTGGGAGGGTTCCTCCGTCGGCCGAGGTCCGTCAGCTCCGAGGCCTGGAGCTCTTTCGCGGGGCGGCTGGGTCAGACCCGCAGCTCGGCAGTCGGACGCGTAGCCAGCGCTTGAGTCCAAAAAAGTGGCTGGTTTTGGTTGTAATCCGTGTCGCTTGTGGAGGGACACGTCATGTCATGCTATGCGAACTGCCACGGAGGAAAGCACGGAGCTGCCTTGGTTGGAAGAGTGCTCGATCATCCGAGGTTCCCAGACTTTCTGGCAGACAGTTTTGGGGCATCTACTGAGTCACTGAGTGTTGCTCGGAAGGGAATCAATCTCTTTCTGCCAAAAGAGGGGCACCCGCTTCCGTTTTTGTTTGTCCTTGTTTCTTCGCCTTTTTTTTTAGCCAACCGCCCAGGTTTGCGGGGCCTGAAACTGCGGCAGAACCCAGCCCTGGCAGACGGCTTCTGCGAAGCTCTGCCAGCAGACCTCGGTGCCTTGAGCCAAAACGCAGGGATTCCTCCCCGGTCTGGGGACTCCAGCCAAGCCCAGGATGGTAATGGGTTTCCTGTTGGTTCACCTCTCGTTCACCTTACCCAAAAGGGTTTCCTGTTGGTTCACCTTACCCAAAAGGCGCCAAAAGGTGCCACTCCCCAACTCACACCAGTTCAAGCCACCAATTCGGGTGAGATGATGGTTGTAGTAAAGATCTTTTTTTGGAGGCTATATAGGGATGTTCATCGATTCTCCGAAAGGGATTGGACAACTACTTGGGTTTGTACGAGCTTGGTTGGTCTTTGGTGTGAACTTGAGCATTTAACTGCTGGAAAATCACAGTATCCCCCACACTAGCAATTCCACAAAGACCCTTGGAAACATAAGTAAGTTTGTAAACATCGATAATTCTCCCAGATGTGTTGGAAGGCATGGTGTTCAATTCTGTGGATAGCACGTATGCACACCAAGCAATTCCAACTGATTGCAAGGTAAACAGCTCTCCGAGGTCTGATTCCAGGATTTTGACAGCCGTTGCACCATCTTTGGGAGACACGCAACATAATTTATGTTACCGTGGTCATGTGTTTGGCGAGGAACTTGACAAGATATCCATGGGCATGCGAACCTTGACGAATGGATGCCGCGGAGTTGCTCAATATGGTTTCACTCAATGGCCCTTGCAGGGAGTTGGAGCGCCAACAGTTGCTTCAAGCATATGCATGGTGAAGCAATCGTGGACTAGGATTGTTGTCAGTTGCTGAAGCTCAACATGTCCATCAGCCATAGTTTTCGGGAGATTCGGCTCAATGACACATTGGAACGAGGCCACCCAGCATTGGGTAAAGATTTTCGGGTGGAGACAGCTCGAGCTTGCGCGCTTGCAAGGTTCACTGCAGGAGCTTGCGCCTCGGCAAGAGTTCGCGACTGGGAGTGCGGTTTTGTCGGCAAAAGGGGTCCGTCGCTGGCGTTTCCGGCTGACTTTGTGGAGTATGGGTTTGAAGTGCCTTGGGATGGCATTGAGGGCTGTTCCATCATGTTCCATCAACAGATGCAAGATCTCTGCGCAGTATCCATGTACTACGTTTTGAGTTCCGACATTTGGCAAACTCCAACTGCTTACACATGACCCGCCCTGTCCAGGTTGGTTGAAGGCTACAAAGACCTTGCCAAGTTGAATGGCTAACACAGACTCTCCCCAACTCTACGAGGCTTACTCAAGGACCTTGCTGCCGATCCGCAGTGCTTTACCCGCGCAGACTTTGAATAAATTTTCACAGGTCGGACCGCGGCTGAACGAATTTTGCACGGTTTTCCATCCCCTTGAGGCATGGACAATTTGGGGTGTGATGCCACGGGAATCGAAATTGAAATTGACAAAGTCATTTGCGGATGGGAATCTCCCTGAAATACTTGTATGAAACAAGAGATGACGAGCCTTGCCCATGTCTCAAGAACATAGACTGCTTACAACGAGGGACATGGCAAGCAAGATTTTGCCGAGGACGTGTCCCTTTGCTCAGTGAGCGTAATCAGCGTGGGGCGGCTGTTCTCGCTGTCGCACGTGCAGCTGCTGGGGAACTCCCTCACCGACCAGGTGATGGAGGAGCGGGGCGAGACATGTGGCATAGGTCCTATTCAGTTGGGTGTCTTTAGGTTTTCTCTTAACACCAAGAGGAGACGTGCTCATTTGGGTGCTATTGGGTGCTGTTCAAAACCATAGGTGCCCCTTGTGGGCGAAGTAGTCTGGTTGGCAATAGGTTGGGTCCACTGGTTTCGGTTTGTTTGCCCTCTCATTTGCAAGTGCCAGTATGTTTCCAAAAGGACACCCACAGGAGTCCTTGGTTCAGTGGCTCGCTGCCTTTCGGGCCAAGTTTCTGCTTTTCGGCGGGGTGATGCTTAAGGGAATTTATTCCGAACTTTGTGACACCCAGACTCTTTGCGTTGACGCCTAGGGCTAACCCTTCGAACCTTTTTAGTTCTTTCACGAAGGGGTCAGACGCAGCCCTTGGTTCCACCTGCATCCACCACCTTTCCTGGTGTTTCCTTCACGATATGAGCAATCATCAATATATATCCTCATTTGTAGTGAACGAGGGGATGACATTGGATTGGGTACACATCAAATTTCCATTAGGAAACAGGGGCTACTCACCAAACTTCCATGTCAGTTGGCGACGCAATAAGCATTGACTGTGGCTTATATGGCAAGACCGATGGGTGTATGTTCAACATGTCCAGCAGTTTAGTCCGTGGCTCATTTGGGATTCAAGACTTGGAGGAAACACGTTGTTGCCCAAACCAGGAGGCGAGCCTGCTGAAACCGGGCTCTGAACCCGACCTGGTTTGGTTGCCCCTTGGGCTTTCACCAGTACCCGCAAGAAAGGTACACCTTTTCTGTTTGTGGTCAAGTAGGGAGATGTGTGATGTGGCTGCTGGGAATCGGACCTGGCGGCTTCAGCGGGTTGAGGGTGGTGTATGACCTGATGAAGGGATGGGACTTCATTTTTCTGGTCAAAGGTTGGATTTGCCAAGAGCCTTTGTAGGAGCCTCTAGGCCTTTTTTCTCCCTAAGCAAGCACCTAATTTCTATTAGTTGATCTCACGAATTGGTCCAAGCTTTTGACTTGATCCAAGTCACCCACTGTGTCCAAGGGGTGAAGATTCTAGCACAATCTTGGCCATACCATCACGCAAGCACACTTGACATATTCAGCCAAGGCAACTTCCAACGAAGGCATTGTGTTATTTACTCTGCACACAGATCACTATACCATATCAAGGTGGTCGTTTTAAGACTACCTGATTGGACAACTGCATGGGCCCCAAGATGGGTAGGGTTCCTCGGCATACTTGTTCCAAACACAGGTGGCCAAACGACAACCCAAATTCGTTTGCAGGGATGGCCAACTGTATGCCAGCCTTTGCCACTCACTGTGTTTCCCACATCAGGGCTTTCCAACTAGACCTTAGGTTGAGTTCTGCTTCCCTTCTCCCCAAGTTGGACATGTGCCATGCATTCCTTGAGCGGCGGCAGGTGCTCAGTGATGCACTGGCGCCTGAGCTGCACGCCATTGGGTTCGGAGCATGTTTTGCCTGGCCCCTCGCTTGGAACAGGAAGGGGCGAGGGGGATTTTCAACCAGACTTGCCCCTTTGGTATCCCCACCGGGGGTGCCCTTCAAGAGGAAAAAGGATTTTCCAGGTCTACCAGAATCCCAGAATCTCAAAATGTCAGTTTTCAGCTTTTGGCAACCGCGGATTTGCGTTGCCTAGGCCAACGACTCTCCCTTGGAGTCCCTGGATTTTTCCCGCTGCGGCCTCACTGGCGCCTGCTGCGGTTCCCTGGCCCGCGCGCTGCAAAGAGCGGCGGACGAGCTCTCGAACCTGCAGACGCTACACCTGGACCGCACCTCAGCCGCGTTTCTGTTGGCTCGTTCCTTCGTTTGCTTGGTGCTTTGGTCGGTCGGTGGGTTGCTTGGGTGCTTGGTCGCTTGGTTGGTTTCTTGGTTGCTTGCTTGGCTGGTTGGTTGCTGATTGCGTTGGTGGTGTTTGGTGTTTTTGTTGCTCTTTTTGGTTTGGCCTCGAACTTGTTTGCTTTTGTTCCAAGCCATGTGTTTTGTCGTGTTTGTGCTTGCTGCTTGGGTCCCCTTGCTTGCCCCCTGTAAACCACAATTGGTTTTGTGCAAGGGTCGAAGACCAAGCAGATGGCAAGAGGGCCGCCTCAGGTTTGTCTGCAGGCACACCGTTTTATTCCGCTCGGATGGTCTACAATAAGGGGCCAACATCATCGGCTTGTTGGATGCGTCAAAGCCTCACATAGTAATTGCAGTAGTAGTACTCATGGAGCCAGCAAGGATTTTAGCTAAGAGGTCATCTATTTCTGTTTGCATCGCACTGACCCCTTCCTGTGGCGCCCCTTTATGCACAGCGGTTCCCTCAATTGTGGAACCCAGGCCGAATGCAAAGTTGGTCCACTCCTTGATACCCCTTAGAGGAATCGCCAGAAGATGGTTTACTCATGTTTAAACAGGAGGTGTTAAGGGATGACAAGGAAAGGGCCCCGTAAATTGATTGACGTTTCGCCAGCTGCTGGTTGGTTAGGCAACGACTTGGGCTTCCAGGGCGCCATCGCTCTGGCGCCTGGACTGCAGCTGGGGGCCCTGCGCCAGCTCACGCTCCGAGAGTGCAAGCTGGGCGACGGGGGCGTGGGGGCACTGGCAGAGGCCCGGCTTATTTCGCGCGCTTTTCTCGTGCTCAGTTTTCCAATGTTTTCCAAGAGGGCGATGTCATGGAAGCTCCCAGGAGCCCGCTGAAGGTGTGGGAAGCGCAAAACCCACTCAGATGCTTCATTCCATTCCCCACAGCTTTTGGTGTTCTTGGCATTGAAAGCAACTGCATCCTTCAACAAAAACCACGCACCAAACAAGCAGCTTCTAACAGCTACAAACTTCCATTTTGATTTTAGGGGTTCCTGTTAGAGTCGCCCAATGACAAGTGCATGTGTTTCCTACAGCTAAAGTGTTGCCTTGTTGACAGGGCAAACACAATGGTCCGAACGGAGCGAGGGTTTACGTTTTGCTTTGTCAGGTTTGCCAAGTGATTTTCGCCAGCACTGCAACATGTATCCAGGGAATGTAGATTTGTTTCTTGGGGTTACATGCTCTGGTAACTACAAGAGCCGAGTTACTCGCAATAAAGCGGATAATAAGCCAGGTGCTAGGTCCCAGTGGGCTGCGGATGACGTGACACTCTTGTGCAAAAATTTGAGGGTTTTGCCGGTGTTGAGAAGGGGCTAGCTTCAAGCTTGGAGATGCAGGAACAAGCAGAATGGTTTACTTCACGATATCAAGCAGGCATTTTGCCAGAGGCAAACAAACTGGATCCAATTTACTCGATTCCCCCCCCCCAAGCTTCAAGACAAAACCGTTTCAGAACAGTTGTTTGGCCCGCATGTGTTTTGCAGATAGGGGCAGAATCGGTTTCAATCGTTGGAGTGTTGGGGGGGGAATGTTTTGGACCCGATGCTGTGCGCGCTCTTGGCAGGAAGTCCACAGAGGGTCCCTTTATTTCGACAGCCACTCTTATGTATGGGTGTGTTTTTTTGTTTGAGGGGCGCTTTTGGAGGTTTTCCAGGGCCATTTCGGGGCCGGGGGGTGCATTGGGCAGGCCTTGGAAAGCAACCGCACGCTCAAGGAGCTGGATCTCGCCGGAAACGAGGCAAGCGGACTCGGGAAGGAATCGGTCCACTTCCAGGGCCAAACACCCTTTTGGAACTGGGTGAAAAGTGGGCGGGACAACCTCCCCCTGCAAGTTTTTTCATCCTCTTGACTTGCGGACATGAAGGGAAGCGTGCCATTTTTGAGGTTTCCATTCAGGGAAGCATGACCATGGTACATGTGGAGTTTTGACCGTGGCACATGTGATTCGGGTTGGTTGCCCGCCGTTTGCCTGCATTTTCCCCAAGCAGTGTCTACACTGAAGGGTCCTTAAGTGCAAGGCAGGGTGCCATCAGCTTCCTTTGGCACGATGTTTCAAGGAGATGCAGGGCAGAACCGGAGGTTTTGGGCTGAGGAACTGGGCCTTTGGGTTTGTGCACGACATCCTGGGAACTCGGATGGAATATGAAACAGAGGGCTGGGCAGTAAGAGATGGCTAGCACAAGACAAAAGGCTGATGAATGGGGCAACCAATATTTAGGGCCCGCATTTTGGGATGTTTGGGCAACCATAGGGACCAGTGTGCCAAAAACAAAGTAATTCTCTTTTCGCTGTTTTGAGGGTGCTTTTTGTGGAAAAAAAAACACGAGGCTCAAGGGGCAAGTCACTTCGAGTTGGCCGGGAGCAGTCGCCTCTCCCGGGGTCGCCCTGAAACTGGCCCTCCCGAAGTTGCCCTGGACCGGTCGCCGGCAGGGACCGGGACTTGGGACCCTGTCCAGGCTGGTCCCAGTCTGGCGCGGTTTGACTTGACGTATTGGACTCTCTTGCAGAATAGATCCAGGGATCCTCTACTACCACAAGGACGTCAATAACCGCACGGGCCGGTTTGGTCGCAGGGAGTGACGACCTGGGACCCTGTCCAGTGTCCTGGGTGCCAGTCCGGAAACGTGTCTGGAGCGGTTGGAGGTGGCAGCGCAGCAGTTTGAATTGGGACCCAATACCAGCGGTCACACCAGGACTTGATCCCGGACCGGCTTCCGGGACCGGTCCCAGGACCAGTCCCAGGACCGGTCCTGGTGGGACCAAACCGCCGGTCCCCTTCGGACACCCCACGAGGCTCAGGGGATCCAAAGGGAGACCTGGCCGCCATGGGATCGCCATGGGATCGCCAGGTCTCGGACCTGGGCGCGGAGAGCCTGGCTCTGGCCTTGGAGAAGGGGCTGGGAGCCCCAGGAACTTCTCGCGCGCGAAGGGTTGGTTTGGGCGCCCTGGATTTTGGAAAGTGATGAAAGTGTTTTTTTGTTTGCAGGCCAGCTAGGTTTGCTTGTTTTGGGCGGGTAGGGCGGGAAGTTCCTGCGTAGAGCGATTCTGGCGAGCGATCTTTCAAGATTAAGCGTTTGGGCTGGGTAGCATATGCGGGGAGTTTGATTGCTGAGGTACTTCAACATGCTGTGTGGCTTTTGGTTAAGGTTTTTGTCAGGAGATCCTTCAACTGTTCGTTTCATATTCCTGGAGGATTGTTGTTGTGAGATTCTTCACTTGTGTTTTGTTTCAAAGCTTCAGTGGGAACAGATCAAACATATCGGGGTTTGTCAACACGTCCTTCATTGGTTGGAAACTGTGTCTTTTGCGGTGCTTCAGCGTGTCATTTCCCTGGAATGTGAACACGGCAAAAGTGTTTTCCCCTTTAGTGCCTACTGGCTGCCCTTTTTCCCAGTACCCCTCCCCCCCCATAGGCTTTTCTCGGTTCAACCCATAGGCTCCAAAAGGACAACAGGCTGAGCACCCGTTCGTTCTCGTCCAGGCCCCGGCTGATGACCTTGGGCCTGAAGACCAACCTCATCGGCGCCGAGCTCGGCCTTTCCCCTGGCCCCCCTTTGAAAGGGGAAAGCGACGGGAACATATGGGCCTTTAATTGTTTATAAACCAAACAAGGGTGTCCACCTTTTAATTGTTTTTTCCCCCTTTTTTCATCTTTGCTTGGGGAAGTGCCTTACATGTCGCTTTCTGCGCGGAACACTTAGGGTTAAGAGAAGCAAGTGCCGGCAAGCTGCCCCCAGAGTTACGTCCGAATTGACCCGTTTCAGCGTGGTTTAGTTTGGCCTCATCGGCAGGATGCTCGCGTCACCAATTGAAGGTTGAGGTGAGTTTCGAGGGGCATGTAAAGGACTCATTACTTGGTTGCAAACGGGGTCATACACCTTTCTGTTCCAATGTCAAACCACAAAAAAAGCCTGAAAAAGGCAAGCCCGAATAGGCTATAGCTAGCCTACTTTCCGACGGCCTGACATGGGATCTTGGCACCCCACCTCTGCTGGACGGCTTATCGATGGTGTGGCAGAGCGAGAGAGAGAACCTACTCCCCCACCCACTATCAATGAAGCTGACTGGGGATCCCTTTCAGCGGAGACTAGTTTTTCAGGGGATGCTCAGCAGTTTCCAAAGACGGAAGAGGGTAGGGTTTCATTCAATTGAAAGCTCCCAAGCGTTCCGAATCGGAGCTGGCCGGTCAGGTGACGCAGGACGGGGTTGGCCAATGAATGAACCACCACCAAAATCAATACGGAGATGTGTCAACATGGTGGGTCTCTTTTTGGATGCTGTCAACCTTCGGAATGAACGCCAAAATAAATATTATTGATTTGGAACGGGACATTTCTCCAAAAGTTAACCGCCTTGTAAATAATGTCCTCTGCATGGCCCCCAATTCAAACTGACATACCGGTGAGGAGCGGGCAATGAACACCCCACTCCTTCGCGTGGGGGCCCCTATTCCACGTATCCATTGCAATCATACCCGACAAAGGAGAATGGGTCGCCGCAAATGTAAATGGTATTCCAGGGGTGTTGAAACTCACCCTCGCCCAATCAACCATTCTTCAAGCGGTAGGGGTTGCCCACAATTGCCATGCTGCTTAAACCATTCTTCAATTAATTAGTGTGTTTTCCTAGTTTGGTGAGAAATTTGGTGAGTCCCATCCGTCTCCCCAAATGGACCAAAGACTCCAACGAAGTTCTGCCCTCCTTCAGATGTGTCTTCGGAATCCGAATGTGTTGCCATCAGAAACCCTGCAGACTAAGGATCTTTCAACTAAACAACAACAGTGAAACTCACACCTCTTTGGGGAGACCAAAGGGACGGTTGGGCTAAGCCATTTAATCCAGTGGTGGTGGTTTGTGCTTGTTTTGGGAGCCCGCTTTTGGTTTGTCTTAAACATTCACCAAAAACAAGCCTTAGCCTAGTTTGGTGCCATTTCGGTTGACTCGGTTGTACGGTTCCACAATGTTGCACAAACGCAATTGGTGCGGGCTCTACCGTTCCCTACTTGCAGTATCTAGCAGGATATCGGATCGCTTCAAGCCTTGAACAAATGACCAATGCTCAAGTGTCAAACATTGGTTTGGTTTCCTTTGGGGCTCCCTTTCATCACTTCTCCTACCTTCCCCTAAACACAGAACTTCTCAAACGCGCCTCCAGCTTTTGTCTACGTTAGTTTTCCCAAAGTGTGTGGGTGTGCGCACTGGCAGGGGCGTGGGTGTTTTTGTGGGGGGGTTCCTGCAAAGATGGCTGTGGTCCGGGTGTTTCACCCAAAACGAAGAACCCCATGGACAATGCCCAAAATTCGCGTGTTTGCTGTTAGTCCCCCCTTTAACAGGCGAACCAAACAGGGGTTCGCCATTTTCAGAAACGCCCAAGCTGCAGGAGCCGGGGCTTTGGCCAAAGCCTTCAGCAAGAACTCGGCCCTCGAAGAGTTGGACCTCGGGAAGAACTGCATCACCATGCCAGGTGGGTGGGTGGTTGGTTCGGTTGCTTCGGTGCCTGTTTGCCTGCTTGATTTTGCCCGCTAGTCGCTTGTGTTTGTGCTTGTGATGTCAGTTGTGCAGTTTTTTTGGTGATTGTGATTATGCTTGCGTGGTTGATTGTTTGCTGGTCTTGGTTGGGTTAGGCTTGTTGGATCTTGTTAGTTGGTTTTTGAGTCATTCAGCGAGTCAGGGAGTCAGTTCGTAAACTGCCATCTCCAGCAGCGAGTGAACCCAGAAATGGGCGGCGCATTCGTTGAGGAAAATAAGGAAGACCACTCCTGGCAGGCTGGCTGAATGGGCCAAAACTCTAAAGCCAGGCACGGCAGGAATCTTTTGAGGCACATAGGAATCCTTCCCCCCGAAATTCCCCTATTGGATTTCCCCGGCTACATGTACACGTTATTCGGCCTTGTCCGATTTGTGAGGTTGGCGTGGGGGAGGTGAGGTTGATAGCATACTAGAAGTCATTGCACCCCGTGACGCCAAGGAATTCGCTGTTCTTTCGATTTAAGCATTTGATGCTGCTTGTTTTGGGTCACTGGTTGGTCGGTCGGTTTCTTTGCCCACCCGTTCGTGCTTGCTTGCTTGCTTATTTTTCTCGCTTGCTTGCTTGGCAGGGTGGGTTGGGGATGTTTGTCTTGGCGATGTGTGGTAACGAAGGCCAGGGGTGGAAAGATGGCGGCGTTTGGAGTGCTTAGGCATCAGCCAGCTTTGCGCAGCATTGGAGAAGAACGGCAGCCTTCGAAGCCTCGTTCTGGATGGCAACGAGGTGGGGCCCGGGGTTGGGACCCTGGATAAGTTACCCCCAAGTGTGGTGGGCACTTGGGAAGTTTGCCGCCGCCTTTCTTGGCCAATGCTTTTTCAGCACTTGAGGCTTCACTGTTCAAGGCATGGGGAAGGGGTGGACAGGTTCCTTCTGCGGACGCGCAAGACGTCAGCCCTCTGAATTTTCAGAGCCGGAATCTTCACTTATTGTTTCAAGAGATTCTCCAAGTGCAGCGGAAACTTACCCTGGTTGTTCATGTGGGGTATATGTTCACTAGGCTTCCAACATCCGAGGGATGTTGCAAGACAGGCATCTAAGGAACCTTGAAGGGGATTTTTTTGCGAGTCTTTGAGTTGTGTTTCTTCCAGTGAAGGGACCCCCTTTCGGTGAGCGACTCTGACTGCGAGAGAGTTGCGGTTCTAGGGGGTCCCTTTATGTTCCCGTGCTCCCTTGCAAAATCGCATCTGGAACCTCAAATGCTCTCCAAAAGGACATTGTTTAAAAAATTATGTTGCCTGTGTTATGCCTGCGTTAGTTTGCGCGAGTGAAGGGGATTGACATGCCTGGTGGCGAGCAGGCTGACCAGGAAGTCATGGACACAGTGGAGACCTTGGCTGCCGATGTGATGTCTCGCCGCGAGAGGCAAGACATGAGTCCACGGATGGATCGCCTTAATGCACTCATGATGCACTCATGATGTAGTCATGATGCACTCGATGTCCTGGAGGTACTGTTGTGGAAGACCTTTTAAGTGGAAAACGACAAGTTTGGGGTTCGCCTATTCTCTCTCTCTCTCTCTCACGTTGCCATAGCGGGGGGAAGTTGGTGGTATGATGGTAGTCTCCCACAGGTCCGGTGTTTGAGAAAGATCTCGAGCATGGAGGCCTTTTGGCCAACTCATGCTTGAACATGCAAGCGCACGCAGCACCACCCCTATTGGAAAATGGCCTGAGGGGCCAAACATATTTGAGCATATAGACAAGTGTTCGTTCCAGTATGTTCAAGTCATTATCTTTTTGCAAGGGAGTAGAGAAGGCTTTTTGGCGGCCTTGTTGCGCATGTTTGGAGACGGGGTTGCAGCCCTTTCGAGGCTGCCTAAGCCTGTCCCGCCAGCACCGCCTCACAGTTCCGACAGCTGGAGGTACTGTTGTGGAAGACCTTTTAAGTGGAAAACGACAAGTTTGGGGTTCGCCTATTCTCTCTCTCTCTCACGTTGCCATAGCGGGGGGAAGTTGGTGGTATGATGGTAGTCTCCCACAGGTCCGGTGTTTGAGAAAGATCTCGAGCATGGAGGCCTTTTGGCCAACTCATGCTTGAACATGCAAGCGCACGCAGCACCACCCCTATTGGAAAATGGCCTGAGGGGCCAAACATATTTGAGCATATAGACAAGTGTTCGTTCCAGTATGTTCAAGTCATTATCTTTTTGCAAGGGAGTAGAGAAGGCTTTTTTGGCGGCCTTGTTGCGCATGTTTGGAGACGGGGTTGCAGCCCTTTCGAGGCTGCCTAAGCCTGTCCCGCCAGCACCGCCTCACAGTTCCGACAGCGAGGTGCGGGCAGGGGAGGGTCAGCGTCTTGAGAAGGAGACTTCTTCCGGAGTCCAGTTTGCAAAGCTTCCTGTGCACTGTTTCATTCATGGCTTGCACTGGGGGTGCGGACATGGGGCGTCCCTAAAAATTGGCCGTGAACGCGAGGGCATGAGGCCTGATTTTGCCATGTCCCAGGCGCCCAAAAGTAAGGCAGGCAGCATTCAGAGATCCCTTTCGTTGTGTTGCACGCGGCAAGTCAAATGAGTGGAGTGTTTCCCGCTGAAGCAAAATGTCTAAGGGACCCATACGTCCATTCAGACTAAAAAAGGCAACTAGAACAGCCACTCAAATGCAGCTCACTGGGCGAGCCCCCCCCAAACTTAACCACCTGTTTGCCCACTTGCACATGAGTGCTTAATTTTTCCCTTTTTTTCCAGCACCCAGCGTACGTTTGGCCAAGAGTCGGGGTAAAGCGAGCTCACTATATTTCTCGGCCCCGGGTGCTTCCATTGTCGATTCTTTGCCAGGATGGGTCCAGCCCAAGTGCATCGCAGGGCGCCCAGAGCAGTGTTCTGCCAATGCCCTTCAGCGTGTTTGGATCCAACCTAGCTGGTGGTTGGGCGCCAGGGAGCTGGGGAGTATCCAAATTTGCTATTAAAGAGGAAGCCAAGGAGCTACCAGGAGTTTGGTAAGGACATGGTAGCAACTGATCTCTCATCATGCATGTGTGTCCAGGCGCACTTCAGTTCCGGCATTTTCCAGCTGGCGCTGGCTGCAAGAATATAGTACATCCGCACACTGGGCAAGAGCACTATGGGCACGCCCTGAAGGATTAGCGGCAATTCAACTTAAAGCTGCCCAAGCCTGATCCAATGGAGCTGCCAACAATAGCATGAAAGTAGTCACTGAGGCAATGCCTTTCACAACATAACGTTTGCGAGCTGCAAAGTTTCCCTCTCGCCATCAATCAGGTGAATGCACAAGCTTTTTTGGAAGGCTACTTACTGTATTTTTGAGAATGGGCGGAGTGTTTTGCCTTCCATATTGTTGGTAGCAGGTTAGTGAAGGTTGTTGAGCGGTTCAAGACTCCGTCTTTTGGTGGCTCAGATTGCTAGGTTGCGTAGGTTGGTGCCCGAAAATGTAAAGCAAGCAGGGAACAAGCGAAACCCTGCAATTTGCTACGGCTTGCAGTTCGGTTAGTTGCAAAATTGAGTTGGAGCTGTCGGCGGCATGGCTTGAAAGACACCCAACAATCCAGATGCATCCATTTAGGCAAGAATTATAGGGATTGCACATGTTTTGCCAGAAAATGGTTTGGATGCGCCGTTTGTGGTGTCCCCTGTTCTTCTCCTTGTTGGTCCTTTTCTGCTAGTCTTTTAGTACAGGTTTAATATCCTATAGGGTAGAACCGCAAGCGCTGCATCCCACACGTTTCCTAGACAATTTGGATAATTTTGCCCGGGGTCGGATTCATTTGATTCGCTCAGCATGGCAGCACAGGTTGTGTATGTTCTCCGGAACTGGATGCCGATTGAAAGGACGACTTTGCGGATGCTTCAATTGTCACGTCACTGTTTGTTCCTTAAGCTCCCCGGCATTCCTCGGCACATGCCAAGCCGGAGGTCAGACGAAGCGTCAAAGCGGAAAGCAACACGTGAAGCGCCTGGGCTGAGGAGCGAGAGGAGACGTTCGGCGATCCCCACCTCCACCGCCTTTAAACAGTTGGGTTTGTGAGGCCTTGAGGTGTTGGGATTTCCAGTAGGGAATTGCCTATTTCATAAATTGAACTCTGCCCCACGACTTTGTTTTTGAACTGCACATGTATGTGGGTGACAGCTTTGTCCGGTCTGCAACATGTGGCGGGCTTCCAAGGTGCGCAAGGAGAAGGTCGAGAGCGGGGACAAGACAATGAGCATGGTGGATGACTTTGTGCAGCGCACCTGACCCGCAATGGTGGAGAAAAGATGCCCTGTTTTGTTGTAGATTGAACAAAATGCGGGAGGAGAGCCTTGGATGTGAAGATCCCCTTAAGTCAGTTGGGGGACAATAGATATGTGGCGCTTGTTTCTGTTGGGTTCTAACCATTTATCAGTATATTTGTCCAAAAAGATACATAGGTGAATTTCTGGATGTTCCACTTGCGGTTCTTGTAGGCGTTACAACATGCAGACTGGTTTGAGCAATGCAAGGTGTGGATGACCAGCTGACTTTTACCGCTTGCTACGTTTAGATACGTGGTTGACCATTCAAGACAAGCAGTGCTCGCAAGCTCGCCGCTGCTTTTTGTTTTGCGCCAAATGATGCATGACAATCCTGGCTGGCAGATTGCTTCCCTGTCAATGTGACTCTGGATGCTCAAACTTCCTGCGTTAGCCCTTTAACTACGTGCCCCGTCCCTCGGTCAAGTTTGGAACACTTGCATAAATCGAGAGGTGGGAGCGCGTACTGCGCGCATGTGTGTCAAACTCTGGAGAATTGAACCGAGCACGGCTTGCGACCATTAACTTGTATCATTTGGCGGCGAAACCGTTTACTTGGTGATGTTCTACAACGGGGAGCCACAATGGAAACAGTGGAATTTATGGATTCTATGTTTGTGTGATGTTGCAAGACCCCGTATGTTTGCTGCAGTCATGCATGCGTGCTGGTGACCTTTCGGCCTGCTCTGAGGCTTCGAGGAGCGCGAAAAAGTTGCAGCGACGCGGCTTTGTTCAGGTCCCTTGACGACTTTGGGAGAGTCCCGGTGGTTCCCTTTGAAGCTTTGTCGGCTCCTGGGGCTTATGCTGCAAGAAGAGAAGAATGTCCCCACTTCGCCCTTCTTAGTCGGTTCCTCAAGAATTCTTAGCTTAATTTCAACTCAAGCAGGGTTTGCCACACTTTGCTTCCAACATTTTTTGGGCATGCGAATTCGACAAGGTGCAGGAACTGCATTACAAACTGGCAATTTGTGTCTTGTATGTGTTTTGTTGCCAGACACAGGCAGCTTCCATGGGTTCACTGATTCTTCGTGTTGACGTCCTTTCAGGATCCCCTTCATCAAGCACACAAAGCAAAGCCAAACCCAGCCAGGCCAGAACCAGCCAAGCCAAGCCAAGAACGCCACCTATTAAAACAAAGGCACAAGCAAATCATGCCCTGCCTAAGCAAACCAAGAACTCAAGAAACAAGTGCACTACCTTTTCCACACCGCCGAAACTTGCCTCATTGGCTCAAAGCCTTCATGCTCTCCCCTGTGCGTCGCCTGGCCATGGAGGAGGAGGCGTCTTTCTGAGTGGGAGGTTTGTTCATTGTTCATTGCTTGGTGCAGTCCAGGGCCCAAACTTATTTTTTGTTTCTTCCATTTGGGTAAGGTTGGTTTTTACTTATTTTCCCCTGTTGGTTTTAGAAGGGATCGATCACTACTGGAAATGTGTTTTTTTGTTTTTTCCTTTTTTTTCAGGGGGGTCAAGCAAATGGAAGGTTTAGTTTTGTTCTTTGTAGTGGGAGACCTGAGTGAGTCCTCGTCGTTCTTGGAAGCTGCGTGCCATTTCTTGGGATTTGGGATGCAGATCCTAAAAGCGCTCAAAGGGAAGCCTGATTGGCCTGCAGGGTTCAGCTGTACGCCTTGCCATCCTGCCACTTTGCTTTGGAACCCTTGCCACCCTACAGGCTGAACCAACTTGGGGGGCGGAGGTTCACAAAATGCGTTCCCACTTCAGGAGCCCTGTTTAAAGTTGTAAAGTTGGCGCAAAGTGCCAACCGCAATTATCCAATACACAGAGTGTGGCGGGCCTCCCTTGCGGTGGCAGCGCAAGGGCCCTTGTTCGGGCGTCACCGGGAGGGCACAAGCAAAGGGCTTGTTATTTATTTGTTTGTTTGGTTGTGGTAGCGGTTGTGCGTTTGTTTGTTTGTCCGCCTGTCTGCATTCTTTGCTTGGCTGGCTGGCTATCTATTTTTCGGCAACGGGAAGGAAGGCAAGGAAAGGACAGGAAAGGAAACTGAAGGGAAGGGACGGAAAGGGAAGGATGCAACAAACAAAGCAACCACAACAACAATTCGGAAAGGAATGGAAAGGTGGAGGAAAGAAGCAAACAAACAAAGAACAAAAACAAGCAAAGGTTCAAACCCATAATCAATCAAACACACAAGCAGAAGCAAACATACAGCCAAACATACACACACATCCAAAAACAAAAACAACCAAAAAAGAAATAAATGAACAATAACAAAGCAAAACAACAACAAGACATTACCAACTCACGTTTAAAGAAAACACACCGACATTTAGGCAGACAGGCAGGCAAGCAAGCAAGCCTTCAAGCAAACACGCGTACAATCAATCAAGCAAGCAAACAAACAAACAAACAAATAATCAAGCACGCAAACAATCAACACAATACTCAGGCAAACAATCCAACAAACGAACGAACGAAGCAAAGCGTTCACACACACACATTGAAAGAAACACATACCAACAAACAGGCAGACAGACAGACAAAGACAGGCAGGCAGGCAGGCAGGCACGCAAGCAAGCAAGCAAGCAAACACAAAGAGATAAACAGAGAAATGCGCAAGCAAGCAAAACAAATCCAACCCAAACAAAGCAAGCAAACAAGCAGACAAACAAACAAGCAAACAAACAAGCAGCCAAGCAATCAAACAACCCAACAAGCAGACAAACAAACACACAGACAATCGAAACAAGCAAACAAACAAACAAATAAATAGACAAGCAAATAAACAAACAATCGAAGCACACAATCAAACAAACACACAAACAAGCAACCAATACAACACAAACATACAATTTTTTAAGCAAGCAAACGCAAACCAAGCAAACACACAAACATTCACACCGATCAGCAAGCAAATAAACAAGCAAGCGCGCAAGCAATCAAACAAGAACACAAGCATACAAATCAATAATCCAATGAACACAAAAGCAATCGAAACACCGCAAAACAATCCTAAGCAACACACTCAAGCAAACACTCGCCGTAGGTGCCGACGTTGGAATCCTGGGACTCTGCGGGCACCACCGCCAGCGAGCGTGAGAGACTGCTCTCGAAGGAGGCGGGATCGTTTGGGAAGGTCAACATCAATCAAGGTTTGTGTGTTAGTAACTCTTGACACCCAAAGGAACGCCAACCTTTTGGCCACCCTATTCCGGCCCCTCGATTTTGGAATCATCAAGGATCCTTTGAATGTTTTACCTGCTGAGCTGGCGATCACGCTGGCATCGCGAGCGCAGTTTGGTTGGCTGACTCCGGCAAAAGGCTGTTGACAGCAGACCCTAAGCACATTTTGCTTTTGGGGCTAAGGACCCAAGGAGGGTTAAATGCCATTCTGTTGCCCCGGCCCTATCGTCATTTCGAGCTGCAAGACTCCCAAGTGTCCATTCAAACCCGCGGATGCTTGCCAAAGGACTTGGGCGGGTTACCCCTTTGACCAGATCAGGCACCCCAGAGTTTCAGTCAACCTTGGGACGTCATCCAAACCTTATAGAAACGAAGCCAAGCAGCCAGCATGTTCAGGCCCACCTTTTGGACTACCTTATTGACAGGGTAGATCCAGGTCATGGGACACCTAGAATCTAACAGAATCACAAAGTTGTTGAGATTCAAATTGGTAGCGGAAACCATTTTGGGCGATTCCAAGTCATTCCTTCGCCTTCGGCAGGCTGAGACGCTGGAGGCCCGGGGCTCATGGAAGCGAACGCCAAATGGGCGGTTTCCCGCGAGCATCCCTTAAAAGCAACCTGCGAAAGGATACCCTCAGCAGAAAGACACACCCACACGACAGGGGCCAACCAGATTTCTGTGTTTCAGGCAAGGCTCCGAAGGAGCAAATATGATCCTTACATATCCTTACCATGGATGGGTTCTTGAAGTGCATTGGCTGCTTGAAAGATCACCGGTTCGACCTTTGTCCGTCACTTGCCGTTTTTGTTTGGTGGCAAATCCGCCCGAACGAGGCGAGCAGAGAAAGGAAGCGGGGATGGGACTGGTTGGGGCAAGGCATGGGCAAGGCCTTTGGCCAACAGAATGACGGGGGTTGGAAGTGCTGCACAGTTCTGTCGAAGAAGCAGGCCACAAGTTCCCAGTATAGTTGCTTGTTCAAGTTTGAACAATACATGAAAGGCCAAAAGGTGAAGTTCGAACCCAGGCAAAATCCAGGGAACTCCAAGGCCAACAGTTGCAAGGCTCATTTGAGCAGCGTTTCTTTCTTTGAAGGAGTTTAGCTTGGTCCGCGAAGGCTCACGTCCGCAGACGTCTTGCCAGGCGCGGCCGGCGAAGCCAGCGAGGGTCATCAAGACCAAGGGCCCAGCAGCCCGGCTGAAGGGAGCAGAGGCTCTGAGCAAATTACGAGCTCCCCTGATGAAGGCCCCTTACTGGAGGATGTTTGGTTTGATGAAAGGAATCTGTTCAGATAGACTTGGGAAAGAGTCCTGGCAAACATTTGTCTTCCAGGCCCTTTGGGCTGGGAATCCAGCATGTAGGAAACGTATCAGAGACCCTTCTTCGGAGTTCCATTGCAATTCTCCAGCTTGGAGTGTGCTGACCGTTGTCAATTCTGACGTCAAGCCTTGCGATGCATGTTGCCTGTACTCGTTTGCCCCCACCCCCTGCTCAGTGCGTTGCGGGAACGGCGCTCTTTTGTTAGTGGGGACGGATTCCTGTGTCAGACCCAAAGCGTGAGGTCTTGTCTCTTAAAAGAGGGAACAGCGCCTCTCACCTAGCAACTTCTAAATCCGTGCAGACTGAGGTGGTGCAAAAGTTGTGGTCAGAGCAGCCACTTGGCTTTCCAGCGAGACGCTTTCTGGAATCGGGGCACGTCGGAGTAAAGCTCAACACGCAAGCTGATTCCCCTATATGCCCCCAAGCAGGAATAGATGGGCATTCAGCCACGATAAAAGGGTTGTAAAACCCCATTCGGGGCATTAAGACACTTTACAAGACAGTTGGCAGGAGTTGCCAAGCATTGGAGATGTTTGAGTCCCATTCCTATTCAAATTCAACAGTGACCAACGGATCGAGATAATTATTGCATGAAGTACCAGGCTCCAAAGAGTCAATCCCCGCCACCACGATTGGCACAACCCTGCAAAGCGCCTGTTCTATGAAAACTCCCCTCCGAGTCTTTCCTGGAGGGGGGGGGGGTTCTTTGCATGTACCAGAATGTACCCTTTGCACATCGGCCGCCAAAGAGAAACGTGATAAAATAATGGCCCGAGTCTTCGAGATTAATTTATATCCATATGTTTTGTTCAATATACCGATATATATATATATATATATACATGTGTAATCATATGTATGTGACGCATGTATGATAAATTTGTATTCATATATTATATGTATCGGACCTTTGTGTGGCGATGCCCTCTAAATTATTTTTGCTTAGGGTCCTCCCCCAAAGAAATTGATCCCGAAAAGAATGGCTCCCTCGTCATGTTGCTTCCCGAAACGGGTCTCCGGCCATGCAACTGGAGAATGGTTGATTGAAGCAAGGGGGGTCTGTAATTCCATTTCTGGCAACCCGTTCTCCCTGGAAGACTGGGTAAATTGGTGACTCACAGGGTCAGTGGTTTGCAGGCAACTGTTTGTGGACAAAAATGGGGGAATAGCTCCCAAACTACACCACACACAAGACATATATATATATATATAACATGCAATTAGGGCTTCAAGAACCAGCAAAACTGAAGAATTGGAAACACGAGTCGCTGATCCGGGCAATTGGGAATGAGCGAGAGCGTGTGCTTTCTTAAAGTAGAATGATAAGCTGAAGCAATGTGGAAACAACATGCTTGACATCGAAAGCATCGCCCTGTCCCCAACAACACCTTGTCTTTTTCCGGCAAGCCATGTTCATCGGTGTTTGACGCCACTGGCAGAGATAGTCATATGGCTTTATTTGTTTGGTTTTTAGTTGCATTTGGTTGCGCCGCGTTGGCCTTTCAGAGTCTTAGGAGCAAGATCCGGGAGCAGCTGCAAGCCACAGACCGCAGCAACGCGGAAGGCAAGGGGAGGTTTGTCGCCCGGCAGATCCACATCAAATGGAAAGCGTGCCAGGGTGCCCTTTGCGTGTAGCGCGTTGGGAAACCATGGAATGCCAAAAAGGGAAGCCACAGTTTTGGTTCCCCCTTATTCTGACACATGCCCAAATGAAAGCCACCTGAACTTTCACAGCATCAGGGGTCCTGTTTAAGAGGTTTCAATAAACAGGTTCCGATCGCTTGCACCAACGTGTGTAGCATCCTAAAGGCAACCATTTGTTAGAACCCATTTGGAGTCACCCAACAGTAGGCTGACACCGTGCTTAGTGGGACAAGCCGTGTGGGCAGATCAAAATGGTACGATACAAATGCGGCACACCCGCGAACAAACATAATCTAGGTGGCCTTGGCGGTGGCCGCTACCCCCGCAAACCATCGGGACTGCAAGCTGCGTGGTTGTTTTGTTGCTTTTGGAATGCTCGACTTATTCAAACCCGGCATGTTGACCTTTGGGTTTCCCATGTTGGTCCATGCTTGTCAAGGTCCAACACATAGAGCTTTTACCCTCAGTTCAAGATATGGTTGCCACCCAAAATGTAGGTATTCTCTTGGAGATATCCCAATATTTGTCCAGAAACTGTGGCAAATGAAGACACTTCCTTGAATACCTGCGGGTTTGCCCGTGATTCAACATAAAACATGTGAAGAGGCCAAGACTTGATGAACATGTTGTTGTTCAGACGCGTAGGGTGTGTGCACTTCCCAAGGCGGGCTGAGAGGGTGTAAGACCTATTTTGTTCGGCTTTCTGGCAAGGACGTAGCAGGGTACTGGTATCGTTTTCCAGGGTGATGTGATCAAGGAGGATCAGTAAGCCTGTTTGTGTGCATTGTGGTCAAAACTAAGCCTGTTGAGGGTTCGACTTGTTCGCAAGGGGTGGCTCGTTCGAAAATTATCGTTGTTTCTTAGGAGGCCGCCATTCCGCAAGGGGTATGCGGTATGCATAAAATGGGATCCACTTGGTCCGGGAGGTTATTTGCAGCTGGAATGGCAGCTGAACAAATACATGGCGGAGATGGAGGATGCCAGTGTCAAAAGGTGTCCTCGGTTGAGGTAGGGATGGTGTTCCTCCAAGGCGTGCCGAAACGATATTTTGTTTCAACAACAGTTGCTTGAACATGAATATGCGGCAGTGGTGTTAGGGAGGGACATGGGCCCACCCAAATTCTTGACAGCAAAAGGGGCTACGACGCCCAATTGTCTGGGAAACATGACAGAAGCACAGTCTTTCTGGGACTCTCATGAGCAGCACCCCCAGCTGAGAAAACGCCGAAACTGTTGGTCGTCCTTTAAAGCAGCCATGAGTTTTGACATACTGTGCATGGACGAAGTCCTGCACCGCTTTGAAACCATGGGAAACCGTTGTTGGTTGGTATTTTCAGGGGAATACCAATTCCTGCATTTCTTAGGTAGTGCAGGATTTCGTCCATCCACAGTATGTACAACGAGGTTTCCAGTTCAAAGCCACATCCCCTCCCAATCTGCAAAACGGATGAGAGGGCATCAATACACCATGGCCCATAAGGCAACACAGCATGTCGCCAGGGTCACAAATGTTGCCATTGTTCTGCCTATTTGGCAAACTCTGGAGGTTAAGCGAGCTCACCCCATGAGGGTTCCTTGTGTTGCTGGCTTTGGAATTATGATTTGCCTAGGCGTTTCCTGCTTGGGTATTTGTAGCGGGTGCCAAATGAGCAGCGCCAAAAACCCTCATGAAAGGAGTTAATTGAGGGCCTCACCTAACGAAGCCCGGCCCGCGAAAGCTAAAATGCAGGGCGCGAAAGCCCGCAAAGCTTGCGGTGAAAGTGGTTGAAGACGAGCCCGCCGCGAAAGCGTCGCGAAAGTGCATGTTTGCAGTTTCTGTGTTGCCCGCGAAAGCTCCGCGAAAGTCACCACTACAAAACACATGCCCGCGAAAGTGAAACGTGTGGCCGCGAAAGCATCGCGAAAGGGTTCCACGAAAGCGCTATAGAGGGTTTTATGTAATTACGCTATTTTCGGTGCCGCTCAAATCATGGTGGGTGGTTTGGTGGGGTGATGTGTAAAGGAGGAATATAGGGAAGCGTTGTTTGAGGAGAAGCACGCCAATGCGGAGGCGGTGATTCTGGATCTTGCGAAAGAGCTGGTGCGCACTGCACAGGAGGCAGCAGACAGTTCGATCCCTGTTTCCCTGCCTGCAGATCAACATGGAATCAAGAAGAGTCATTTTTCGAGAAACCACTGTTTGGGGGGCCCTTGTTTGGGGTTGAATGCCAAGTTGCAAGACTTGAAGTTCCACCAACCACACAAATGTGGCTTACTTTGTCCGGAAACATGCACACTGCTTAACTTCATGTTTAGTTCAAAGCCAAACCACCTGAAAGGTGCAGTTGCCAACCAAAACAAGTCGTTGCAGGGAGTTCTGCCAACATTCATCTCTTGACAGACCGGAACAAGTTGGCTCGAGCAGAAGGCAGGCTAGTTTGCCCCTTTGTTTTGATTGCTTTGGCTTGCTTTGCGAGCGCCAAAGCACAGCTCCCCGTGGTGTTTGCAGGTGGTTTAGTTTGACCAGCTCAGGATTCACCCAAGATGTGGGGAAATGACCGTTTGTTTTGTCAGGATGAGTGACATGCACATTGATATAGGTTCATACACACGTGGAAGGTTTTTTGGAACAGCCATTAGGGCAGCTGCACGCTTCATTCTCGGTTGATTCATCGATAAACACTTTTGCCAACCGTGTGCGTAAACGTTATGCACCAATTCATTGTTACAGTAGGTTTCAGCTGTCCTTACAGCGGGGGCTGCAAACTTCTGTGTTTGGCTTGGTGTCAAGCCAGGAGAGTTGAGAGATTTGGCTGAAACCAAGCAGTGTGGTATTCACCCCGTGACATCGCAAGGCATCACGCCTTCCGTCAAACTTGCGAGAGATGGCAAGTGCGTCTCATCTACCGATGCCATCTATTTTTCCCAAAGGATACCTGGCAATGGGTGACTCATCGGGCTTTTTCAACTGGAGATGAATGGGAAACCGAGCCCCACTGTGGAGAGCGGGGGCAGTTGGAGACAATCCCACAATGCACATATATGATTCTCCCGGGAGATCAAAAAGGAGAAGGGACTAGGGAATGGTTGAATGGATCCAGAACCCTAGTTACCAACTTGGTTAGAACCCAAACAACCTTGAGCAGCAAAAAAAACACATCAAACAACAAGTACTCCTATGAGCCAGTTTAAGTAGGTTGTACTGTAAGTACATCAGACACTCATCAGAGGTATTCGCACGCAGATTTGTGGTCACAAGATGTTCCAGTCAACAGACAAGGTGAGCCACTTGCTGAAAAAAAAACACGGGTAAATGAAGGGCTGGGGAGAACCCCAACCCACCAACCCATAACATGTGTGCAAAATGCCGCCATTTTTGTAAAAAGCACATCCTTAGATGGTTCTATTTGTGTGGACCATCGATCTGAGTACCAGGCTGTCTGACAGGTGGAGACCATCAACTCCCAGGGCGCAGCGGTGGAGGAGCGATTGGAGCAGCTGGAGTCGGTTCTCTCGCCCTTTGGCGGATGGGCTTGGCTGCTCGCCGGTTGGCCGGTTGGCCAATCAGAAGGCATGTCGGAAACGGATGGCCACTGAAACAGGAACTGATTGAAAGTTTGAGGGGATGGTGGGGATAGTGACGAAGGGGATTTCTTTTGTTGTATCAGCTCTGCAAGGGAATTGAAGAGTTTGGAGGTGTGTGTCAATGTGCATCAACCCCAAAGTGGACAGTGCTGGGTGCTGGGTGCTGCTTGTGTTGTCTTTGGTGATGCGGGTTATCGGATCGACATCTCTCAACATACGAGACCCATAAAACTGGGCAGTGTCCTTTCGGTTGCCCTGCCAACATGGTACCCTCAAAGGCAGATATCTCACGGCGAAGCTGATCAACTTGATTGTTGAAGGCTTATTCGGCCCGCTCACAGGCGCGCCGTGATTTAGGAGTTGCTTGAAACAACATGCCACATCATTGGTACGCTTGCTGACCCAACATCCAAGCGCAAGCATTCCTAGGAGGTAACATAGACCAAGCATACTTTGGTTGTGTGGTTATTTTCCTTCCTGGGTACATCTGCGGGGGAGCAACTTCGTTTCAGCAGATCGAATTTGCCATTGAAACGGCAGCTTGACTTCAGCAAACGTCTATAATGGGGGTGCGACGAAGCTCAATTTCCATTTGCTCAATATTTGCTGAATTTGCCCAATTGCTATTGAAGACTGGCAAATTAAGCTTATAGATTTTTGTGAATGCAGGACTGAAGGTTTCTGTTTGACTCGATTCTTGCACATGGGAGGTGACCCCCAAGACTGTCTGAAGGGAAAGCAAGAGGAAGCCCCATTTTTTGGGGGACAAACCCATGTGTTGCCCATTCTTGCCCTGATTGACGTTGGCGGCCAGAGGTCGGGCCGCGGCGGCCGCTCGGCACAAGCGGGCGATCCTGAGACGCTTTGGTTGAGTGGGCTCACGCGGCATTGAGAAAAACTCGGTGTTACTGTCCTGTGGGATGTCTGAAATGAAGATGGTCTAAGATGGTTTTCGGGCTTCATGTGAAGCTGAAGAAGAGTAGGTTTGGTGGTTTCTGTGAGTGGCCAAGGTAATTCAACATTGATATCGCAGAGAGGGCACATTCTCATAACCACGCCCTGCAGTGAAGCCTAATTACTGCCATTTGGCTTCAATTTGGCCGCGTTTCCCTATGAAATGAAGTCAACCAAACAAATGCGTACCCCTTTTTCCACTATCACTCACAAACCACACGTTCCATTGATGAAGAGGTGTGATCCACCAGTTGACCTGTCATCGAGACTGATCGAGACGTGTTGTGCTTCCCGTGCTTCCCTGACAGGTGAATTGCCCAAGCTCTTGTGTTGCTCTTCTGTTATAGCGCAAAGACATGAGGTTCATTGCGCAAGCTCAAGCGTTTGCCAATTTTTCGGCGTCAGCTGATTGCAAAAGGAGCACCCCGCCAGCTCAAGCCTTCACTTCTAGTCTAAGTTTCTCGTTCGCTTCACGCCGGAGGTTGTTTCCAATGAAGGGGGAGGGGGGGGGGGGGGGCGGGGGGGTTCCGGAATTTGTGCTTTTCATAAGCTGCCTTGACCCGTGGTTTGCCACATTTCCATTGAGCTATGCCCAGGAGCCCTCCAGGAGAATGCGGGGGAAGCGCCGCTGGGCTTAGATGGTTTTATCCAGGAAGCTGGACGCTTCCATGTTCGAGGTTCAGCCGTTTTCTGTTGGGGACTCTCCTGGAGTGATTTCTCAGCTGGAGGTCAAACCAAGCACATCCAAGCACCATTCACTTCTTGGGGGGCTCTCCGTTTGGAGACAAGCCATTTATCCAGCTAGTTTTTCTGGGAGCTGGGAAGACACTGTCCCAGTTAGTCGTTGGCTCAATGGAGCTTCAAGCGTATGCAACATGTTAGCTCAAGTTACATTGGTCAGAGAAAGTATCCCATACGATGCGAGCCTGCAAGCTCGTGCATCACAGGCGCTATTTTGAAGGCATGGCAATCAGTCCTGATGTGCGCTCAAAACACTGAAATATTGCAGCACTATATGTTTCCCAGCAGCACGACTTAGAATGAGTCCAGCAGAGAATGTCAGTGCAGAAGTAATTCAAGGAGCCCTTAACGGGGGACGCCGTAACGGGTTGGATTTCAGGCAGTTTCAGGCAAAAACAAAACAGCCCAAAACGGCCTGATAAACCTGCTTTGCTGAGAGGTGTGCGCCAGCCAAAATATCAAAAACCGCCCGAAATTGCCCGGGAAACACCCCGTTTGCGCAAGCCCCCGTTCAGGGCCGCCAAGGTAATACCGACATAATTGGCATGCCCTTTCCTGGTACAGTGCCACATTATCGCGGTAAGATAGTGTGACCGTGGTGACTCCTGTTGCAAGTCAAGCCTATTGATAGTAAAACAACATGGCCATCGCAATGGTGTGCGAACACCATAAAACATACTGTTGGCCCATCCGCGTATGACGGGCCATGCGCCAGGGGTTGTGTGGACAATGCCTGGCGTGGTGTGTGTGTGTGCGCAGTTCGGTGTCATTGTTTCGGTGTGAGACCAATGGTGGAAAGCGAAACCGAGACATGATTCCTGGATAGATATGGCTGACTTTTGCTGTTGCATTGGCCAGCAAGAAGAACACATCTGTCCAATTTTAGAATAAAACACATGTTAGTCTGTCGCGTTCGCTCTCAGAACAAAGGTATGTGCCTGTAGCACAGGCGTGTTCTTAATCAAAGACGAAGCTGCGAATTGAGGCCACAGATGGAGCATGTCTTCACTCTTGAGGCCTTTGGGAACACGATGCAAACATGGCGGACGCTCCGCACACAGATGGCATCTTCGTGACTTGCATGGGTTCTGCCGAATTCGTGCCGAGCTCACCCTGGGGATGAAACGAGCTTACCAGGATGAAGGTTCAAATTTGTGCAGATCAGAGTGTGGGGCTGACCAATGGAGGGACCTTTCCGTGCCCGGGGACATGTCGCAGGCATTCGCAGGCCGCTGGATGGCACAAAAATCATGTGTATTTACCCATATTATAATTCCATCATGGTTTGACTTGGATGCTGTCCGACGAGTGGCGGCGGTTTCTTTCAGGGTCAAAAGGTATAAATGCGTTTGGCCCAAGTTGGAGTGGAAGTCAGTTTTCGTTCAGGGGTTACCTTGGCATCTCGCCAGGCTCCTTCCGGCTGTGGGGAATCAGGCCGGTCAGTTGTTTTGCCTGGGGTGGCAGCTTGGGGCCTGGGGCCGTTTGTGTTTGAGTCCCTTGGACAGGTCAGGAGAGGTGTGGGCCGCATGTTTCTGGGATCTCATTGACATGTCAGTCGACAGCTGGTTAATGGGACACATAGCATTCTTCAGTTGGACGTGGTGCCACCTTTTGCGTCAAGCAAGTTTTACCACCTATACACCACAATAAAAAGCAACACATGATGGAATATGATGGAATCCGAGCAAAGAACTTCAAGAACCTAGAACCATCTGCGTCCGTTTACCCTTGGCTCGGTAAGCTCGCTCGCTGTACTCCCCTGCCAATGGCCATAGACACCCAAGAACCGCGAATTAAATGGACTCTCCTACCTGTTTTGCGGTTTCTTGTTAACTCAGGCGAAACAGACGCCCAGCAAACCCGCCACAATCAAGCTCAGTGGAGTGTCTACACTGTTATATTTCGGACCTCCAGTGTCCAGTGGTATGTTTGGGGGGTACACAACCTATCGGCAATCAGGATACAGTACGCTAATGAATGCATGCTACATGACCTCATTTTGCAGATCCTTGACCGTTTGCAACTGTGCAGGTTCTTTCTCCAGAATTCAGCTGGCGAAAGGCTGCCCCTCAACAAGTTTGCAAGAACCCTTAAACTGCAGTTGTTCTGTGAAAGGGGCCCTTGATCAAGTTGTGTAGGACACATCTCCATGTTCAATATTTTCCCTGGGGACACCTTTGAAGAATATCAGGGCCGTTCTAAATTGTCTAACATTTCAGAGAACATGCTTAACAAGGGCGGTGTCATATCGACCCGTGACGTAAGCAACATCTCCAACAGGGGTAAGATGGGGTTAGCAAGTGCTGAGCACACCTGGTGCGCAAGCCTTGTGTGTAAGCTTTGTTTTCAATAATAATTTGTTCATGCTCGAGTGCTTCCTTATGTGCTTTGCATTGGGCAAGAGTGGCGGCTGCCACACAATTCCTCTACTACAACCTGGTTGATCTTCAACCTTAAACTGTTCGGTTCTTCTTGTGTGTGTTGTCCCACCGGGCCACGCGAAGCAGCTTTCTTTTGCTCAGAGGGCAATGGGAGCTCGCAGCTTTCCAGGAGTACGCAGCTCTACGATGAGCCGTTTCTCCATGCAGCGCCAGAGGGGACAGGCCGCCACCTGGAGTGGCTATGTGGCGCCAGGCGAGGGGAGAGTAGGACTTGGGCAACTTAGAACGAGCTCACTTGCGGGTAGAACGAACTTATCCATCAAGGTCCTTTACTTCTTTTACTGGAGGTCTCTTTGATGTTTGTGGATGATAGTGACACCATGGGTGTGGTGGTTTGCTGAGGGTACCCTTTTGCAGTTTGGTTTGCAGGACATTTAAAACGGGACAACCAGCATTTTCGGGGCCGTCCTATTTTGACACATACCCGCATGTGGCTGTGTGCTACAACGAGCTCACCAGCGGATCGAAGGAAATGATGGTAGAGAGGGGGACCATGGCTACACCATAGACGCACATCGCAGAGACCATTTTCATTGGGAACCCTTTGTGGCAGAAATCTCTATGTCAGGCGAAGATCTCGTCAGCGCAGCACAACAGAAGTTTGCTACAAGGCTGGCCGGGTTGGTGGGGAGGGGCAGCCCCTGTCGGGCACTTAAAAGTTTCCAGATTGTTTGGCCCTCCGTTTTTTGGACGAAGTTTGCCATGTGCGCAAGCACATTTTTTGTTTGAGTGAGTGCCCATTCCTGAGCAGCAAGGTCACAAGGCTATGCTAGCAGACATTGTCCCCTCCAATGCTTGAGAAAAACTATGGCCATTTCTAAGATATGCTTTTAACAGTCTTGCCGTGAGCAGTTGCCAGGTTGTGCTCATACTCGGCAATGTAAGAACAGTTGCTTAGTTGCTGAACATCACCGTTTTGATTTGATGTTGCTCAGATTGATGTTTGACAGATTGCACCAGATTAGTTTCGAGGACGCGGCTGGCGCCAAGCAAGGTGCCGCGGCTGCAAAGGATGTCGGGCAGGATTTCGCAGGCCGCACATGATACCAGGCCTAGTCATTCTGAAAACAAGCAACTACCTCAGCTTTAAGACCAGCAAACACACATCGTATATCTTGATGTTGGCCCATGTTTAGAGGAACCTTTAAATGCAAAATAGGTGCAAACACGATCCCAGACGAGTCACCTGTGGCCTGATGTTGATGCCAGCCAGGCCAGGGCCTCTAGTGAGAACAGCGCAGCATTCAAGGATCGGTGTAACTTGGGCTTAGCTTCACTTGTTGAGGATGCTCATGGATGTGCCAAGCAATGTGAGCACATGCTAAATAGTGTATAGCAGTCGCATAAGTTGCGCCCTTGCTTTGAGGGAGCCTGCTACAACATCTAATTTGACCCTGTACAGCACCGCGCAGCAACGACAGTCTTCGCTCTGTCGCTCAAGGGGGAGGAGTACAGTGAATGTTTTGGAGTGTTTGCAAATTACTTGTGAGATCTGGTGGTTTCGCTCCAAAGCGGCAGAAAATAGTGTCATTTTGAGGATGGTACTTCCATTATTTGTGTTAAGGGAGCCCTGGTACTTGTAATTTGGTTGGCCAACATGTGTTGACCATTTCGGGGACGCACATCATCATGCACATTATACTCTTGGCAAGACCATTTACTTGCTCGTTTATTTGTTTGTTTCTTGTGTAATGTTCGGTCGGTGGTTTGAGTGCTTCGCTAATTGGGCTGGTTGGGCATCCACCTGTACTTTTTTTGGGTGCTAAACAGCCAACCAAACAAACAAACAAGAATGCAGGTGGAAACCAACAGGAGATGGGCAAGTTTGTTTTCCTGACTGGCCTATGTATGACCCAGCCTTCAAAGTGCTCACCTTGAGCCCACGGTGAGGCTAGCTTGGAGAGCCCCAGCGTGGCTGCGGCGGTGCTGCCGGCTCTGCTTCCGACGTGTGCTGCCATATGCATATATCTATAATTAATATACATATGTATATTAAGCTCACCGATCGGGGGGGGGGGACACGCTCCATGCAGAGCTTCATTCCAGTTGGGAATCGGGTTGTTGGTCCCAGCTGTTCAGTGGAGTTCACCAACATGCTTCCCCCTTTTTGGATTCACAACCCAAGGCAGGTTCCTTACACGTCCCTGTTTGGGGCATAAACAGCACATATGCCATCATGTGCCATTTAGTGAGTTTCCTTGAGTAGGCTCTGTTTGGAGGGGACGTAGGACACCCCGTGTGCTTTTTCCGGAATCTCCTTGTTACTGTTGCTTTTTTCAAGAATCTCCAACCATTCACCCAGAACCAATCACTAACTTGAGGCAAAAGGGTTTGTCTTTCATTTTGAAAGTGCCTTTTTTTTGTGGTTTTCAAAAAGAAGCCAAAAGGAACACGCCACGCCACCCCTTTGGGTGGGTGGTCCAACCCCAAAAAAGCCACGCCACCTGGGCACCCCAGCCGCCCCCGTGGCTCGCCCCCCGGCACTCGGCACAGAGCCGGCCAGGTGAGCCGCGCCTTGGAGGAGCAGCTGCAGCGCGCGGAGCGGCGGCTCAGCGCCTGCGCCGCGGAGCTGCGCACGTCGCTGCGCCTCGGCCGGTGGAAGGGGCGGGCAAAGCAGGCGCACGGCAGGTGACCGGGGAGCAGCGAGGGGCGGGGGGGGGCTAAGTGGCGTTTTGGAGGTGAGTTTGGCTGAAAACGGATGCCGCCGGTTTCGGCTGCCCCGAAAGCGAAAGGACACCTTAGGAAGTCTGGGAATGGGCGTGTACGTTTTGAGGGCGACCCTTTGATTTTGAAAGGGAGGCCAAGAAACCACGCATTTTGGGAGCGCCCCCGTTTGGAGACAACCCAAATAGCCCGAACCCTTATTTAGCGCCCAGAAAACTTTTGAGTCTCGACAAAATGGACAGCAACGATTGGGGCTATAGAGCAGGCTACAGAACTCCGTTCTAAAACCTGGCAGGACTAAAGTCAACGGGTTTGGGGAGCTGCACACTTCCTAATAAGGTTGTATCCGCGGCTGGGTTACAGACAAAAACCTGTTTGCCTGACATTTTAACTGGCTAAGATCATTTGCTGACAAAGTAGGTTGAACATGAAAGGGAGGGTGGTGTGGCCCCTTTGTTTTCGCGGTTTTTCATTCCGTGATCAACGAGGGGTTCATACGCTTAGCCTTTTGGCATCGTGGGATGAATACCGTCGAGACATGTGGGTGTGGGAGTTGCAACCATTTCTGCTGTCTTGACTCAGGGGGCCTTCAACGGGCTCCAATAAACGGGCTTCGATCGCTTGCACCAAGGGACGCATCCTGGAGCCCGGTTGGTAGACCCCGTTGGTCATTGACGAGTTTCCAACTTACGCGCTATGTGTCAACGATCCTGTTGGGTGGAAATCAATGGCCCCCAAAAGTGTAGGATTGCTCTTGGAGGTAGGCCAACCTTTTCCCGAGTTGGGGGGATTGCCTTTTAAACGGGATCTCCTAAATGTCTAGGAGGGCTCTTCCGGTTCTTAAAATAGAGGTCAAGAGGCAGCCCCTGGTTTGCGGGATTTGCCGTGGTAAAACGGCTTCAATCATGCAGATCATGACCCCCTTGAAAAGGAAAGAAACGGAGTTTTGCAGGGGTTGGAGGCCAAACATGTTTTGAACAATTCAATAAACAAAACAACATGAAAGGAGAATTACGCACCGGCATTTTTTGTAAAGGAACCTACATGCCCATATAAAAAAATCGCAGCCTGTCCTGATTTGTGGGGATGGCGTGGGGATGGAGCTCTGTATCAGGTTCATTTGCTCCCATTTGACCTGAAACTGGTTAACTCGTTAAGTTCCGTGTTGGAGATGGAAGGTCAGGGGGCAACTTTTTGAACCTTGCATCAAGAGCCCTAGAGAAGCAAATAACTCTTTTTTGGCGCCCCCAGGGCTTTGCTTTTGACGTTGTAAACGAATGCTTGTGCATTGTGATTTGGGAGGCAGGCGAACAGTTGCATGCTTGAAATGGAATCAGGACAGCAGCGGCTGTGGAGTCCCAGAAGCAGGCAGGTATGGCAATGGGAGTGTGCGAGGGCGTTGCACCTGCGGCATGGTTGCTTTCAATTATGGAAGTGGGCAAACCTTTTTGTTTCATGTGTATCACCGGGTTGATTTGTTGTAGATTGAAGCAACTGTTTTTTCCAGACCTCCGTAAACGGCGCCTTCAACAAAACGAGCGGACAGTTGGACAGTTGAACAAAGCAGTATTGTTGTGCAGTGATCCCATCGAGTCGCAAATTAAATTGAAAGCCCTTGAAGCCAGTGTCAGCAGGTCTTTGGTTTGCCTGGCAGGAGTTTGCGGAGGAGCTGGAGAAAGCCCTTTCAAGTTTGCGCTCGGCCTGGGATGCCGAGAAGATGAAGTCGAGGCTCGGTTTGTTTAGAGGATTTGTGTTGGAGCGTGTTCTTCGCTGGCAGGAGTCAGAAGTGGAGAGTCCTATCATGGGCTCATCATGGCTCATCATGGCTTCGTTTCAACCGCGTCCTCACATCACGCACATGATATATTGTGTCAATTTGTGCCGGGGCCAAATTCTTGCGCATGTGACGCACTGAGGCCCACTCGCAAGGAGAGCGACCAGGTGGGGCAGAGGGTCTTCGGGTGGTCTACGTTTGGTTTCCCAAAGCATGGACCGAAGCCAACTATGCTGGGGTTCTCCTGAAACTCAGGACCTTATTAACTTATGCTTTCCATCGACTTCCAAGTGCAATCGCTTCACTCAAGTCAGAAAGCCCGGATGTCTCGAGGAATCCATTGGTATCCAAGAAACTCGGAATCCAAAGACTCACTTTCCAGAAGACATGATCAGCCGGGTGGTTCCTTCACTCATCTCTTCACCAAGCGGTGGGCCAAAGCTTCGCTACGATCGCAAATTGTTGGGTGCCAGGCTGGCCTCCCGGAAAAGCAGGCAGCAGGCGCGACACAGGGCGCTCGAAGACAGTGCTCTCAGCCAGAAGCCCCAGAGGTTGTTTGGATGACGTTTCATCGAACCAAATTTGTCCCGAACCTGGGATTGTGTGTGTTCTTCAAGCATGCGGACGATCCTGGACAAGCCACGGCCGTTAGACATTTCTCCTTTGTTAGGAGGCAATGCCCGGCGTGCGTCTGTTTTTCTTTCCTGCAACCGCGACTGGATGTAGTCTAGTCATTGGAAGTTTGGGGGCACAGTCCACATGGACTGTGGTTGTTTGTTTGTTTTTTTTTGGGGGGGGGCAGGACGGGACAAAAATAGGCGGCCCTCTACACTGACTCGAGTGGAAGGTAAAGGGGCAAGATCTGTAAAGATAGTAAACACTACATATGTATGAAGGTCATACTCGTTAGTGCGTGGCCTGAACTCTGAATCGAATCTGGCCGTTGTCAACACTGATAAGATGAGACACATTGATGTTAACAAGTGCAAGTGATTTTGGTTTCTAAACATGAGAGATTTGAGCACCTTCCCAAAATTCATTTGGATCTGGTTTGGCGTTGTTCCGTGGCCATCAACGTGTCCTGTTTTGCTTGGGGGACCAGGCGGTTTGTGTGTAAGGTATTTTAAGGTACATGTTTTGATTAGCAAGCCACCCTACATGCAGCCAAGAAAATATTGATCATTCTGGCAAAGTCACCTGGGTAAAATGAGTTAACTCATGAAAACTCCGCACCCAGTGATTCCTCAATTCAAGTTGGTGAATTATGGTACTTAACAGAGGGATCTCCTTGTGGGGCCGTTTTGTAAGAGATCCACACGTACCACATGGACTCACCCTCCGTGCAAGTTGGCCACTGCCTTGTCAGGCAGTGGCTTGCTGGATGTGCCGCAGGCGCGGAAAAGTAATGTTTTGCCCAATCGCGCCACAATGGTTCGAGTCCCCTTTTATTGGGTCATCCAAAATTAAGCCGCAAAATCCCAAAGCCGGCTAGAAATGGTTTCCTTTGCAATGGTGTCCCACTACAGGTTTCGGATTCCAAAGAAAAAATCCCAACGTACGCCAGGTTTGATTTTTCTCTGTGAAACCACGAGGGGCCGACGAGGGGGATCTGGAGACCAAGTTTTTGTCTTTTAAAATAAGCCGACACATCGCGTTTGTTGGTATTGTTTTCATTCCTTCGGGCATGAAGGTGTGTCACTTCTGCAAAGACGTCGGGGCATTCGTTTCAGGGCCACTTGTTGTGAACTGAGGTTCAATCAAGTTTTGTGTCTCGGGCGGAATCAAACCATCAGTTGAAGCATCTAGGTTGCCATGGTCCCTCGGAGGGTGACACCCTGCAACGGGAATATATGTGAACAATGGTGCCTAGACATGTTTCAACAATAGATGGCTAAACCCTGCCAACATGTTGGCCTGTCGCAAACGGAAAGCTCGTTTCAACAGTGTCCAGATTTGAGTTGATTTGAAAAGATCGTTTTGGCGAGAAACAACCTTGTTGGGTGAATCCAATTCAATCCACATAGGAAGTGAGGATATGTGCGAGTGTTGTTTCAAGGTTTTAAGGGGATCCTTTTGAAGGGAATCAAAGGACCCCCCCCCAATTTTGGAGGTCCCTCTATTCACACATACCTTAAGTAGGTGTGTCTCTTTTGAGGGTACCACCCTTTTGGTGGGTTGTTTAAACCAACGCCAAGAGGAACCAACTCGTTTTTTGGGAGTTTCCTATTTGGAGACAACCCAACTGCTGCCCAGGAGAGCGATTTGTCGCCCAAGACGCGAACTGCGAAGCGGCGCCCCAGCCGAGTGCTGGGGGCGCTGGCTTGCCTGGGAGCAACTTGGATCAGTTGATGTCAGGGTTGTTCTTTTGTGTGGTTTCTCAAGGTGAAACTGGCAGCTTCCATCAAAAAGGGTGGTTTGGATCCCGGTGGTATGGAGGGGTTTTCCATCTTTGCAAAAGCGATTGCAGAATGGGCCCGTTGATAGGTGCAGCATGGAATCCCACAAGGCATGTGCCGGTCAAAAGACCGGTTCGTTCATTTGGGGTTGGAGGGGATGGCCATCAACCCGTCAAAAACATTGGGAACTCGCTAGATGTGGGACAGAGTAACTAATTTGCCCTTGTCCTCTTGGGGAAACAACATTTTGTTGATTGTGGAGGTGCCTTTTGTGGAAACCCCCATGATTAGTTTCAAAGGGCAAACAAACCGGTTTGGAGTTCCCTTTTTGTGAGACACCCCCATGTTGGTTTCGCCAGGGTTCACCTCGAAACCATCCCAAAGCATGTCATTTTGTGCGGTTTAGGCGGTTGCTTCAGTGGGCCATCCGCAGAATCTTTCCCTTCGGCTGCGCAAACTGAAAAACGGCCCCCTTTGTTGTGGTTCCCAACATGTTGCAAAGCCAGTGGGTTCCACTTGTTTGTTTTCTCTTGGCATGCCACTAAGAAACTTGGGGTGGCACACAGTTTGGTAGGAACCGGTTCCCCTTTCAGCTCAACCATCCCAACACAGGTTTTCTTTCTGTGCCCTTGGTTACTAGGCAATGCATCGTTGCTTGTTTGAAAATAGGAGCTGGGACACCGACACATGGTTGGCGTTCTATTTGGGTTCTTTTTGAAACGCATCCAACAAGGCTTCTCTGATTTCGACCTACACCTATGTTGTCCTTTCCCCTCTGCTTATCAGTGCATGGAACCTATCAATGAATACATGTTACCATTTGGGGCGACGGAATTGAGGAAGCGGCAAGAGGGAAGGGGTATGGTCCTTTTTTGTTGGACAGGTTACTTCAAGTCTCCAGCTGAGAAATGAAGAAACACCATTGTTGATGAGTTGGGCGGGACCCTAGTGCGGAATCCTAGTTTATCAGGGACAGTTTGTTAAGAATTACGTTTAAAGTGAATAGACCCTTTGTCAGGGTTAAGAAAAGTCGTTTAAGACACCCCTTGACTGATTGCCTGGCGTTTTTACTCAGCGTTAACGATTCAAAAAGATGTCACCTTTGCTACGAGCAACATCGACGTTGAATGGCCTTCCGAATTGTGGTGGGAGAGTGTGTTGTTGCTGGAAAAACATGGGATAGCAGTCGTGTGTGTGTGAGGCGGAAGTAAGAAGAAACCTTTTCCTTCGAAGTTGTGGCCGATGTTGTGATTGATATAAAGGAACATGTTGTTCTTCAGAGCTTTGTTTCTGATCGCATTTCACAGCATGCACGAAAGACGCTGGCAACATTAGCCACACTGGCTTGACATGAAATCAATGGAATGTCTCAGAGATGAGCAGCATGAACGCAGCTTGCATATGTGCTGGTGATTGGTGAATAGGTATAACCAACGCAAGAGCTCACATGAAGTGTGTGTTGATCGAACATGACTGGAACTATGACTGATGCGTTGGGATGATGGTACTCCGCGTGCTAAGTGTCCATCACCGCGACGTGCCCAATGCATGCCTTTGAGGTAGTGAAGTCGGCGAATGGCGAAGCTGACGATGCTTGATCTTGGAGGACAGGCAGCAGGAATCTGCACAAATTACTTGTACAAGGGGGAGCAATGTGAACTCACCCGCAAAAAAAGTCCTGCGCTTGGCATTGCAGGAGTTTTTTTCCTTGACAAACGTCAAAGTGGCATTTGTTCAAGTGTGTACTCATGAACTGTACCAACTAATATCATACTAGGATGTTTGTCCTACTCAAGTGGGCCACAAACGATTTTTGTTGATCTAACCTAGTTGAACCAGCAGGCACAAGTCTCGTGTCAACTCTTTCGGCAGCAGGAGCCTCCTGAGTTCCGAGTTGAGCGCGTGCCTAATTCAAGTTTGCATCCGGCACCTGGCCCAGACATCTTTTCTGCATGTGCAGCATGGTTGGTGTTCAAGCTGGCTGTCCATCGGGTTCAACTTGAGGCACGTAAGGTTTGTGGATTCGTCGGTTGGATCAGCCGTTTCACCACCAGATGCCCTGGAACATACCGTTTTTGTGGGTAAGTAAGAAATGGGTTAATGAGGATTTAAACGTTTCCGAAACTACATTTCTACTCTGGGGTTCTGTGGGGCCTTGCAAGCACTCTCTGGTTTGAGCCTATGCGGCCAATGCAAATCCCCCAACAGTGATTGGTTTCCTGTTGTTGCTCCGTTTCAAGATTATTCCACATGTGGATCCTCAATTTCAACGAAATTCTATTTGGACTCGGCTCCCTCACTGCTAGCAGTATGGCCTGCAAGAAACACCTTGCAACAGGTGCGGCGTAGGTAACTTGCCCTTTTGCGGGGCAGATACTACACGGCTCGAGCAGAATTTGCCAGGCGCTGGATGCCATGGTATACTTAGTTTTGCAAGGACTTGGCGATTGCCGCGCGAACACGCCGGATCTTTGCTATTGCGTGTAGCTATAGTGTGTTTTTTGATGTTTCCTTTGGTCAGGGAAAAACTTATATAGTATATGCATAGGTCATGAGCGTGCTGATTCATTTTCATTGCGACAACAAAGAGAGAACATGGAGTCAATTTTGGGCGCCACGGCCATCGGTCTAAACAGCGGCATGGCAAATGCCAAGCCTTGCCCCCTCGCCAGTTGCTTGCAGCTGACTCATTGCGGGACGTTTGAGCAGGCAGTCTGGACAGAGCTCCACGACTTCAGCACAGATCCCAGCGGTTTTTGGGTTGCCCAAAACATGGCATCGACCCCTCCTTTGGGGTCACTGGTTGCGACGGGATCTCGGGGCCCCGGAACCTGTCAGCCTCCCAAGGAGGCAAAGCTCTTCCATGGTCCCAGGATTGGCGCTGTATGGCTATTGTCCTCAAGGTGGCAAAACAGGGAACACGGAGAGAAGTCCCTAATTCGCGCTGTGTCTTTTGTTGGTGTGCCCTCCCCAACAAACATGGAAGCGCTGAACCCATATCCAAACGAGTGTAGTGTTCGAAAAGGGGTTGCACCAATGCTTGTTGGTGGACGAGTACTCGTAAAAACCAACCTGGAATCGAGTTGGGACTCCACCAGTGGAATCTTGGAAGGGCGAGATTTTGTGAGTCCAGCGGCCAATTTTCGGCGGAAAATGAGTCCAGCGCCCTGGCGCTGGGATCGTGAGGCAGAGCCATGACCGGAAGGAGTCAATGCTTGGGTTTCTAGTTGATTTGCCCAAAAGGAAGCTGCACAAGGGATCTAAAACGAGATGGATCCTAGTTGTTTGATGATTTTAGCCAGGCTTGAGTTCTTGACAAAAACGTGTTCACACTCGGACGATCCACCAGCCAGGATGCTGAGACATGCGTTAGTCTTGCGTTTCTGGAACTGTTTGATCCTGGGCTATTTGGCTATTCAACACGCCGCGATATTTCCATTGGCAAGGCTCAAGGGCAGAAATATGCGCGCATGCGCCAGCTTCAAGGTCATCCAATTCACGGCTTACGCTAATTTGGGAGGCCCCGGAAGCCGCACATACCTCAGCCGAACGCATGGGTTGGGAGCGTTTGTGAATTGCCGTGGGTATGTCAGCAATGTGGAAGACGCGAGCAAAACACCAAGACAGGATTTCTGGTTGTTTGTGATCCACACAGTGTAGCCATGGTGAAGACCATCAGCAAGAAGACTGAATTCGATGGATGCTTGAAGCTTGAGAAGTTTCGGCCTCAGCGATGTGATGGGGCAATCACGGTCACGTAATTGATGAGAGCACTGAGTCCCTATAGGCCTATAGGTGAATCGAACATGATGAGCCCCTGGTTTGTAGGAAATGTGAAGAAGAGTTAAGAGTCAATGGCGAGGACAAGTGGATATTGGAACGACGGACCAAGCAGGTGTTTGGCCCAAGAGGCGAAAGCATGGGGATTGCAAGGGCCATTTTTTTGATGAGACATGGGTTTCAAGCAGCACGTGTCCATTGACAACGCTCTCAGCAACATGTTATGGTGTCTTGAAAAGGGGCACCTCCCCCAATTTGGTCAGCTTCGTTTTGGTCTTCTTTGGTCTTCAAAGCCACCCCAAACAAGATTCCCTCCAAAAACATATCTCGTATGGCTGCTGAGGCTGGTGGTTTTCTTCTTCTCAGCGAGCTGGTGCCTGCCGTGCCATCTGATGATGCCAAAGTATCAGGAACTGGCTGACATGGCGGCGGCTCGGCTCTCGAGGTCCTTTCTTTTTGCAGGGGTCCCTATAGTTTTTTTTGTTTGGTTTTAAAAGTCACCTTTTCTGCCCATTCAAGGTGAGCTTCCCATTATGGGGGTGATGTGTTGAGGGGCAATATAGGGAGCCCTGTTTTGCCCCAAAGAGAATGAGACAGAGAGGTACCCCCTTTCGCAAGCTTCCAATACTCTTGCCAGGGTTCGCGGGCAACTGGGAAACCCATGCAAGAGTCTGGGGATGTGCGTTGAGATATACTTGCCTGGGTTCAAAGAGAAACCAAAGGGAAGCCAACAAATTTCGAGGTTGTGTAATTTTGAGACACCCTGTGTCATGGCAACACTCAAAGAGCTGGTACATTCAGTCGCAAAGGCCAAGACTGCGCACCCCATCTCCGATGCACCAGATAGTCTGCCAAAGGGGTGGGTTTTCCAGGTTTCTCTTAAGCACCCCAAACATGTGAAGCATTCCTGCGCGATGCTAATGCACGAACGCACTTTCATCAGGGAAGTTTGGGCGAAAGGTGGCTCTTTGACTCAAGGCGAGAAACATAAACAGGGTAGGACGCTGCCCCCGTCCACCAAAGAGCAGGTGCCATACCAACTAGCCGACTCGCAAGAAAAGGTACGTGCAAGAGAGTCACCCCCAAATGACAATGTGCCCACGCAGTGTTTGGATTTGTTTGGGCAGTTGGTCACAACATCAGGGGGTTTGGCCAGCGTGTCACGACTTGAGCCAAGTATGAGCAAGCTACATGTTCGCAGTTGGATTGCCCTGATGGGCCGCGCGGGCATATTTGGTTCCTTGTGCTACTGGCATTTGTTTGCTGTCCGAGAATGAGGGAGGACGTCCAGAAATGTAGGCTACATGGCTTTACGTTCATTGGAAATGTATTTCGCTGCCTTTATGTACTGACCTTACCAAAAAACGATGGGCTGAGGCATGTTGGGGTCAGCGGCTTACATATTTTTGAGGGAGGGGGGGGACCAAAATATAGGATCTGGTTGCCCAGGAGGGACATTTTGGAAGGCTGTCAGGGAATGGAAGGACGCAAGGGGGAGAAAAATGCACAATGAAAATGTAAGTTGCATTCTCAGACGTCCCCCCTTTTATTTTTTTTATAGGGCTGGGGATTTTGCTATCTTACACTTTACGGAGGGATTCCAGTTTCAGTGTTTATATATATGTATATATATATATATTATGAACTGCATGCGTGCAATCCCATTGTAGGCGTGAGTCAACAAAGTGCTCGCATGTTGGCTTCCACACTCAGGCAATTCAAGCAAGCATCTTCATACTCAGGATGTGTTTCCTGACTAGCCCAAAAGCATGCCCGCCACAAAACCTGAATGGGGCAGGGGCTGAGAGCAATCAATCACCCCGACTTAGAACGATCGTTTCGACCCCTCCCATCTCAGTTTGTGCCAGTCCCGCGTCCCAGGAATTTGTGAACATCGAGTTTGTATTGGTGGACGTGGATGAAGCGGAGGATTTTTCAGCGCCGGAAGCAACCCGAAATCTCAAGTGCTTGAAGTTAAAGCCCTTTGCACGTATGCTTTCTCCTCAGACTGTCGTTGTAGAAAACTCGGGTTTACGGCGGTTTACGTCCGCTTTGTGCGACAACAAGGGAATCCGTTTTCAGTAACAAATAATTCAGATGGATGGCTCACTTTGTGCCTGAAGCAGGCCCATTTCCTCATTGTCCCAGTTCGTGCACAAGCGCTGTAGCTATTTGCGTTCGACCTCGGTTGTTGCTTTGAACGTTCAGTAGACATCCCCAAACATGCCCCAAAAGTTTGCTTGCTTCCTCGCTTCCTTCCATGCTTCCTTGCTTGCATCCTTGCTTGCTTGCTTCCTTGCATCCTGTCGTCCTTGCATCCTTGTTTCCTTGTTTGCTTGCTTGCTTGCTTGCTTCCTTGCTTCCTTGCTTCCTTGCTTCCTTGCTTCCTTGCATCCATGCATCCTGGCATCCTGGCATCCTGGCATCCTTACTTCCTTTCATCCTTGCTTCTTTCCTTGCTTCTTTCCTTCTTTCCTTCCTTGCTTCCTTGCATTCCTTACATTCCTTGCATTCCTTGCATCCTTGCATCCTTGTTTCCTTCCTCCCTTCCTCCCTCCTTCCCTCCCTCCCTCCTTCCTTCCTTCCTTCCTTCCTTCCTTCCTTCCTTCCTTGTTTTTTCCCTCCTTGTTGTTTCCCTCCTTGTTTTTTGTTCTTCCCCTTGCTTCATTCCTTTCATCCTTGCTTCCTTGCATCCTTGTTTGCTTATTTTGTCTTACTTCCTTGCATTCCTTGCTTCTTTTTTTCCTTGCTTCTTTGCTTTCTTCCTTGTTTCCTTGCATTCCCTGCCTTCCTTCCCTTTCTATGCGTTTCTTTCTTT